ATTTTAGCTCTTCTTGTTCTGGGAGATATAGATCTTTTTGTTCTGGGAGATTGTTGATTTTTTTTTAAATAACCCTGTATCACTACATAGTATAAAACAAAGTCGCTTTCGCATAGTATAAAATAAGTAAGCTAGTATAGTATATAATAAAAATCCAAATTAAGGTTATCGCACATCCATTATCAGCTTTGTCTTTATTTTTGTGTTCTCTTTTATTCTGTTCTGTATTGATATTTCATATTCTAACGTACTGAAGTCGTAAAACCTAAAGAAGGTTGTATAATCTAAATATATATATAACTCAAAGGTGACTGACTGACATAGTGATCTATCAACGCACAGCCTAAACCATCGGGCTGAACTTTGCTATGCAGGTAGATGTTATGACGTAGACATCCGCTAAGAAAGGATTTTGGTCAATTCTACCCCCAAGGGGATAAAATAGGGGATGACAGTTTGTATGAAACTTTGTCAATATTAAACCGATCAGGCTGAGACTGCATGCATAAAGCTACTATGACGTAGGCATCTTCTAAGACAGGATTTTCATAAATTCCACCCCTTAAAGGATAAAATAGGGGATGAAACTTTATTTCGGGTATTTCACACGATATAATTAATAAATAGTCGCTAGAAATGCTGCCCAAAGTAACTTTACCACGCAGATGAAGTCGCGGGCAAAAGCTAGAAATGTAATATATTTCGTTTTAAAGTTGAAACGGCGCCGTTGCCGGAGGACGAGGAGTTGCACGGTTTCCTGCCGATAGAGCACGCGCTGGAGCAGCTCAGGTTCAGCAACCACGCCGCCTGGGACACGTACGGCGGCCAACTGCCCTCGCCGCCGACGGGAGAATATCAGTCAGTTTCATTCACAATAATAACTCCATATAACTCGTACGAATTAACGTGACATCCGAGGGCCAATTCTATTTGTCTTCGATTGTATTCCTTTTTTATAAAAGCTATTAAATTATGGAATTTTCTACCGGTAGAAATCAGACGTGCAAAATCACGTGACTCTTTTACGAAACAGTTCAAAGAACATTTCCTCAATCTGGATTTTTCCTCCTAAATTAAATTATATTGTCTTTTTTATATAAGGTATATAAGATATGTATGAGTATATATATATATATGTTTGTGTGTATTTCTGTTTTATAGTAATAATGTAGTACATTTACATTTATCATAGGTCAACCTACTACTCACTCGTTTCTTTAATTGGTATAATTTCCTTTAGTCAAGGGTAGCCTGGAAGAAATTGCTACCTTAGCAATAAGGCCGTCTTTTGTGTTTTGGTTTTGATTGTAAATGTTTTGTATAACTGTATTTATACGCAATAAAGTGTATTCATTCATGAGGAATTCAGAAAAAAATCGAATTGTTCGTATAACATTGTTAAAATGTCATTGTCGTCATTGTCATTGTTTAAATGTCAGCTATAAAGTCCTGCAAGGTTTCTGGTGTTTCACAAATAACCCTGTATATTATGGGAATAACTATGTTTGTAGGACGCCAACGGAACCTTGGACATGTCTATCGGAACCGGAGCTTCAGCATCGAGTGCGCGTCGCGAGACTAGTGCGGCTGACGCGGCGGCTCGCTCTCGCACGACCAGAACTCCTCACACACACGTGAGTTACGTTACCGTAGTAATGAAATAATTTAATTTGTTTTAATGTAAAACAATTTAATCATCATCATCACCATCCCTTTTACGTCCCCACTGCAGGGCCTCAGGCCTTCCTTTATGGATGGTTAAGGAGGATGGGCTAGGACCCTCCACGCTGGCCCAATGCGGATTGGAGGGTATAAACGACTGCAAATGCAGCCGGGACCAACGGCTTAACGTGCCTTCAGAAGCACGGAATAGCTCGAGATAATATTTTTTGGTCACCCATCCCGAGACCGACCCTTGCGAAAGTTGCTTCACGACTAATACTGTTAGACATTAGATGTGAAATAGATTGCGGAAATAGTTGTTGCAAATGATGACTTTGTCATGTCTGACTTGCCTAAATGACGGGTGCGTGAACTTTAGCCTATGATGATAAGTCAGTTTGTCTCGCAGTTCTAATTGCAATAATCTATTGCTAGATTCACAGCCAGTTGCACATACGTCCATTAAAATCTTCATTAGTTTAAAGGACATTACCCATCCAAATTTGACATTCATTAGAGCTTAAAGCGTCATTAAACCTTAAAGGATGTTTGTGCAACTGACCATTAATGCTATATATTTCCACATGGATATTTTTTTATCCAGTCGATGTTTACCTAAAATATATATTTTTATTTATGCGCCTCTTGTAAAATTTGCCTTCCGAAACCTAGAAAAGACTTAAAATAAATTTTGTTATTAAGAAGGGTGACCATAAAAATTGTAAACCCATAGCAATAATGCTAAAACATGAGCTCAACTGCACTTTGCAGGGCTCGTTATGCCGTCACAAATCCACGCGTAGTGGGTTATGGTCCGTTGGCCCTTCACGATTCTTATTCTGCCATAGGAAAAATGTGGAAGGCATACCCACTAAACCCCTCACTCTTGGGGGAAGGGGGTGGGATCCAGCAAGGGCTGCTCCACCCCCAGTAGATCAATTCTGTTAATGGTAGTGTAATTATGGAAAATCAATAGACACCTTATTGTTAGCAGATCACAAAATAATAAAAATCTGTCACCATTGAATTGTGAGGAAGACATCGCTCTAATAATATTGGTCTTTAGGTAGAGAGTGAAATGGCAAAACGCAAGTAGTCACGAGATTCCATTCCACTATTTTGGGATATAGTTAATTAAAACAAGTATTCACGGTGGCTTGTATATTGCGAATGAATGTGGTACACAGGTCCTACCTTATTATATACAACATTAATAATTATCAGATTACCTACATTACTACAGTGACGCGGTTATTTCTTAAAAATTAGCAGAGATGAGGTTCTATGCTCCAGCAGTGGGTAGATTAATAGATTGATATTAGACGTTATTTTGCGTAGTTCGGTGGCGTAGTGGATAAGCGCCGCGGCCCGCGATCGTAGTCGTTAAGCAACGCAAGGGTCGGTCACGGGATGGGTGACCGAAAAATTATTATCTCGAGCTACTCCGTGCTTCGGAAGGCACGTTAAGCCGTTGGTTCCGGCTTATTGCAGTCTATTTGCAGTAGTTAATACCATCCAATCCGCATTGGGCCAGCGTGGAGGGTCATGGCCTATCCTCCTTAACCATCCATAAGGAAGGTCTGAGCCCCTGCAGTGGGGACGTAAAAGGGCTGGTGATGATGATGATGATGTTATTTTGCTAAAACCCATTGCTATAACCGTTAAACTATGATAACTAGCAAGTCCACATCCAGTTAGTATTCGCAAGATCACTGCCAACCACCAAGTTGTTGGCACTGTAAGATTTAACAACTGAGGATGCTCTGTGGACGGCCGAAACGTAGAGTGGTTTTGCGAGACTTGTTGCTGTTTGTACATGTGAGTTCGTGTGCGGGAGGTACACAGCCGATCTTGCGGACACTGACTGGGCGTGAGAGTTGTTAGATGTCATAGTGTCACGGTTATAGGATGATATTGTGTCTGTTGGTCAGCGAGGTGGATGGCGTATCTACGTTCACATCGGCAAGTGGTAACGAGCAGGTGTTGGCGGCGGTACAACAGCTGCAGGCCGCACCCACCGGCGGGGACAGCCCCCCGCCCGCGCCTCCGCCCCCCGTCATCATATCCGAGGCTGACTTTAGGGAGAAAGGTGACGCTATATACATATACATATTTATATTAAGCGAGCCAAATAGCCCAAGTAGCACAAAACGCCATTATATCAAACTTATGATAGCACGAGTCCAAGCGTTAAGCATTATAATAAAATCGTATATCAACCGTATTTCTTTTAAACGACTCTTATACGTAAAATTTGGGCCCCCCCTTTGTACGACTTTAAGCTTTATAAAAGCTGTGCAATAGCACTACAACTTTTGTATAATAGCATTAATAAAGTCGGGTAAAAGCATTCTAATAGCCACAAAAAGTTCAATTTGCACCTTAAAGTGCTAATTGAACTTTATATGACTATATTAAAATTGATATGCGTAAATCAAAATTATAATACGTTAATTTAATATTATAAAAATGCTTACTGTTTTATTTCCTTTGTAAAAAAAGGATATTTAATAGATTTTAAAAATATATAATCGGTTTAAGTTATTGTTTTGTGTAAGTGTCATGACATGTTCTCTTGGCTGGTCTTTTAAGTTTTTTTAATATTGATTTAAACAACTCGTTATGTGTGAAATAAGCTGCAAACATCAGTTTGTGGAGTAAAATATACAAGTTTATGGTGTAAAATACACGCGCCTTCGCAAACTTCCTTTAATATAATAAAAATAATAGAAAATTTAACCTAGTAGCATAAATTTTTGTTGAATTTTAGGGTTTTTAGCATTGTTTTAACAACATAATTGCTTTTATAGGCATCTGTGCTCAAAATAAATGACTATTTACCCCTTTTCATCTGACACAGTTGACTTTAAATATTTTGCAAGAATTGGAAAAAGAAAGCAAATGGCGACTCGTAAAATTAAAGCATTAGGTATTCAAATATAGTGTAGTAGAGCTGTTAATCTTATTATGGTTTGACACAAAACTAAGAGCTCGTAATTCACCGTATAACACACTCCCATTTTAGGTACAGCCGTATTTTAACACTTCAGAAGTATCTTATAGTGCTTATAATCATCAAACGATTATTTCATTTTTACTTTGATTTTTAAAAGTTTCAATTAAATTGGTATACTCTTTTTTCAGTTTTCTTTTATATCCACCTGTTTTCTTTGTTTTTTCCCAACGTTTTTTGTCCATGGCGCCATCGATGCGTATAAAATGCCACCATTACAAAACAATACATAAAATAATTTAACATTTTAATTTTACATAAAAAATAATTACGATCTATTTATTACTTGTATCTCTATAAATAACTTAATATTGATCAAAATATAGCCTAATGTTTTATAAAAGCATAGATTAAGAAGATAAAGGAGCTTGAGCTTGATTAAAGAATACTTTATGTGCTACTTGTGAGCTTAGCTGTTATTTTAGTACTGACCGCAAATTAAATTAAGTTTGCTAAATATTTTGTTTGTTTCGTTTAACATTATCCATATTATTATGTTATATTATTGGTTACTAATATCAAAATTGACATGACTTTATCGATAATTAATCAAGCATATTTTCTAAATTGGTATTTTGCTATTTTTTTATCACTAACTTTAACGGTGGTCACCCTTAACGCGTCTTCATTTTATGACTTCGGGTTCAATTGCAAATGTTAAACTAGATCTGACCTTGCGATGGCCAAATTTTGTTCCACACCATAAAGTATGTTCAGTATACATAAATTGTCACCGTCAGGAATGCTTATTACGTGCGAATGTAACAGTTACTTTCTTTATAATAAATAATACATTAATTTTTTTTTTTGAGAAATGCTTTATTTCATTAACAAAAATCATTTGTTTACAATATTGTGGTGAGATTCCCGGTAAGTTTACAATAAACCTGTATTGGGAAACCACCACTCCTCCATTCGGTGTCTTAATTGTAAATGAAAATAAAAATTTGCACATATAAAGACAAATATTTAATAATATTTTCAGCTTTGTTTTTATGTGATTTATATGTGTGTGTAAGTGTATAACGTCAAGAAAACGATACATGCCTAGTATTATAGTCGATTTAAATATTATTATTTAATAAGGTTTAAGAAGCTACTTATTTTGTTGTTTATGTAATACGTTTTAATAGATTTTCAGTATCAATATAACTTAGTGATTTAATCCAAGATATTACAGTTTTTTGCAATCACAATTATTAAGGGGGTAGATATTAAGTTTTTTATTGACAATATTATATATATAGCTGGTTTGTTTCGTATTGTTTAGCAGCAAATTTGTTTTTACTAATTTATTGGCAATAACTTATGTATGGTGGCTTAATTACAGTGCGGGAAAAACGTGTAGGCATTCTGAAGCCGCAGGGATCTTTAGAGAGGGCACGCGAGGAACGCGCCATGGCCACCACGCAAGAGGAACCAGACGCTGTATGTCAGGTAGGAACTGAATTATTCATTATTTTAATCATTTATTAAACGCCTCTCCACTTATTTTAATACTCATGATAATTTGTGATATTTTGTACAAGTTAGTTACACTGCCCACCAGCACTCGTTGCATGACGAACTCGAGAACGTTTTGTCTACACTCAAATGTCACTTTTCTCGGGTGCGCTCATACTATATCTCACGACCCGAGAAAGTGACATTTGGGTGTAGTCAAAGTTTTTCTCAAGTTTGTCATGCTACACATACAGAAGTAGTGCCAGATGTAAAATCTTCTCGATACCTAGTTTCAGAAAACAATCAGCGCCATCTATCGGCGGCCTCAGTAAAGTAATGTAACATACAAAATAATATTTAAAATATATCTATTGTTTAACAATATCGGAATAATAACATAAATTAATGTTAGAATATCAACACCGGGTCCTATTTCCGTTGCATCATAAATTATCAAAATATATATATATTTTTCTTTGGAGTCGTATTAGCGGTTCCAAAATAATTTTGTTTTAAGAAACGGAATGCGATGACTAAAAATGATGAGTTAAATCATAGGATATCAATATGCCTTATTTTATATGAAAATTCTTCGAAATTATAAATATTTTTTGTGTACAGGACACAGACGGTGGAGAAGACAGCGGTAAGAGTGATGATAAAAAGGAGGTTCGAAAACCGCGCGTCAACATCGCCATGGCCGCCATAATGAGGAAACAGGAGGAGACCAACAAACAGGTATAATCACCTTGGTTGAGTAAAGTAATTGTTCGTAAAAATTTTAAATTATGCAAACTATTGTCTGTACTATATCCGCACGATAACTCGTCGGATAACGTTTTATGCTAATAAGTTTATTTAAATAAACACCAATCAATTGAATAATAATAATCTCGCTCAGGTGAAATTCGTGACGCCACCGCCGACGCCGGACTCGACGACAGATGTCACCGATAAAGAACAGGACAAACCAAAAGTGATACAACCCAAACCAATAAAAGGACTAGTCGCGTTACCGCTCGGCAGGAAGACGGGCGGCATACTGTCGCTGAAGGATAAATCCGCGGGCTACCCGCATCTCGTCAACGCCGAACCAGAATTACCGAAGAAGACCGAGAAAGAGGAAAAGAAGGAGATAAAGCCGAACCAGGCGACGACTCAGAGCTACCAACCGAAGCGGCAAGAGAATCCACCGTCGCCGAACTGGAGTCCGAACGCGCAGCCGAACGTCTACAATGAGAGCGTCAGGATGAGTTTCCAGAAGAACTATGGCGCTCCGAACGCGGGCGTTTACGCCCCGAACTATCCTCAGCCTAACAACGCCAGCGGACAAGGAATCCGACTGCCAGTCGTCAACCCGAAGGAAATAGACGTGAGAACTGCCGCTATGCAGAAGCAGACGTCGCGTACTGATCTGTTCCAGGAGGGGCCCAAGTTCGCAGCGCACGGCTATCAAATGTCCGGCGACAAAAAGAATTTCCTCAACGATCTGCCGCCGAGATTCGCCAACCAGTATCGGTACTGGCAAGCGGCGCACGATTCCCAACTCGCCGATAACAAGTTTAGAGATGACAGTTTCAAAACCGAGTCGCCGTTCGACAGATCGAATTGGAGGGCCCCGAGGCAACCGCAAGACGGGACCCAGCAACAGTCTCCCTGGAAGCCGGAGTCCGATTTCAACTCGAACTTCTCGCAACCGGTCAACTTGCAAGCTAATTTCTACTCGCCCCACATGAGTTCGAACGTTGCGAATCCTTACCGGAACTTGTCGCCGTTCAATCCGATGCAGAACACCGTGAATCATCCGCCGGCGGACGTGTTAAACTTACAAGGCTACGTGCACTCTGCCATTGGACAGCCGCAGCTGCAGACCTTGCAGAACATAGTGAGCTCGCCCAATTTCAGTTCGTCGCTGAACAATTTCGGAACGTACGCGCCCACTGTTGGCTACGACTCGTCCATGTACCCACAGTTCGGTGGGAAGATGAACTACCCGCCGATGCAGATGAAGATGATGGATAAGCCCCGGCCTCCGGGCTATCCCGTCGCCAACGGCGGATTGATGGACATGACCGGATTGGGTTTCGGCTCGAACGTGATGGATGTGCAGCAGAGGAATCTGAACATGAACTTCAACGATCCGCTCGGACGAGACGTCGGCGCTATGAAGAATTTAGATTCGAATGCGGTGCGTTATTTATTATTTTGATTTACATTACTTGGATGAGTATTTAAAGTGTGTCGGTGAGTATAATATGAACAGAGTCGTGACTACATACATATATAATAAAGTTAAACCTAAAATTTAGAAATCAAACAGTTACGATTCATTTCCAATTATTCTAATTACATATTACTGTATTTAATATCATTAGTGATAAATTGAAAAGCACAAAATTGGTCTAATATTGAATGCTACTTGCTACTTTTTGGACGATTCAAAAGTGCTTGTAATAGCCTACTCAAGTATTCAAATTCAAATAAAGATATTTTCATTTCACATATTTAAATATTATTATAAAAAAATGTCTTTAATAAATATGTTCTATTGACGATACTAAACTAAAAGTAAAGATAATAATTTATGCTGTAACTAGAAACTAACGATGTTGTTACCTGTGTGTCAGAGCGCGGAGGCGGGGGGCGGGGGCGGGGAGGTGTCCAACACGTACTCTCTGTTCAGCGGCGCCGCGCCCGCGCACGGGCCGCATCTCGCACAACAGGTCACTACAACTCTATCAATAATTTATATTACACTAAACACATCGATCAATATCACTCACTATACGCCTCGATCAATAGCAATCACTGTACACCTTGGCCAATATCAATCACTGTACACCTGGTACGAATTCAATCACTAACATACCTCAATAAATATCAGTCATTATACACCTCGATCAATCACTATACACCTGGTACGAATTCAATCACTAACATACCTCAATAAATATCAGTCATTATACACCTATCAATATCAATCACTATAGACATTGATCGAAATCAATCACTAAACACCTCAATTAATATTAATCACAACACACACATGTATTTTGATGTATCTTGTACTTACAGTAGTGAATTTTATATGTGCATACTAGATTTCTGTAGCCTAAATATGTGTTATTTGTTATGTTTCATACAGTCACTATGGTCGGGGCCGGGTCCTTCGCCCCTGGAGCGTCTACTGGAGCAGCAGAAGCAGATGAAACCCCAATGACCCGCGACCCTCTACACGGAACAGCTTATCGTTTCCGACAATCTCCTTAAGCGGTATCAGTCCCGGACATTATCACAATGATAAATCACTGATGGCCATACTTTGTATGTGTAGATAAATATTTAAATTATTTGTATAAGAAAATTGTTCTGAGCGCTGCGAGGCAGAATAACGGCTGTGCTATTTAGACAAAAATGTGGTAACGCTATTGTTTGGAGTTACGTCATTATGGAATTTTAATTTGTGGATACCAATTTGCGAACGTTAGATGTGTTTGTGTTCGTTTCGTTAAATAATGTAATTCAAACTTTGTAAAGTGAAAATGGATATTCTAAAATTAGAATAACGAAATTCCAGATTTGAAAAGTCATTGTAATAAAGCATGTTTTTGTAATAGCTTAATAGCCTCCAATTCCATAGCGGCATTTAGATATTGACAATAGTATATAATCGTTTCTATCGGTTTATGATGAAGAACACCCCCTCGTTATTAAAGAGGGTTAACAATCAAACTGAATAGCAATGTCACAAAAGTTACATTGATCCCAAGATTTTATGTGTGCTGAAATTATGTATAATACAGTTTTTATAAATCAGGCAATAAATTGGTATTAGAATCAAATAATAAATTTATTTAAAAAAATACGCACTTTTTTTACTAAAAAGCTGTACAGTGAAAAGTTATAGTGTGCTTATTGACTGAACTACTAAATATCGCAGAATAAATATGATAGACAAAGCCTCAGCAGTTTCTTAACATTTATTATGTGTCAGGTTCATAGTTCTAAATTCATTAAATTTTTCAAGCTCCACGAGTATTTTTATAACCAGATAAAAAAATCAGGTTATTAAAATTATTAAAAACAGATAAATTAATTTAGATAAAATAGACAATATTAATTTTATAACACATTTTATAATATATATGAATGATTGAAGACCGTTAAAATAACATTGTATACAGTCAACATCACATCTGATTATCCAAGTCTGTAAAATTTTGTAAATTTGCTAGTCATTAGCATAATGCGGCTGTATGTAGATTATTCTGTGGAGATTTTGATTTAAGGATCCGGTATATTGATTTTTTTCTACGATATTTACAAGTACAGATTCGCAGAACATAATTGTAAAAGTATTTTGTTGTGCTTTAAGTGAAAGTAAATTGAAGTAACTAATGTCAAAGAATAATAAGAAATACAAATGTTTTCTTTATCATTTTGGATTTGTTTTATTATATTGTATGTTGTAAATAAAAATACCATTTAATCAGTCAATAATTTAAATTTATTATCTATAATGTTAATAAACAATTTATATGAAATACTTATCCATTATAAACGAAGCAAACTAATTTTCTAATTGCATTATACAAACGAATATTTACAATATATTAATAAAAATTATTTTGAACATTTATTTATGTATATTTTTGTGACAATAAATATTTGTTTCTTCCTCTGACGGCCGTTGTTAAAAGCCCATCTATCATAATAGCATTTTTTGCAATGATTGACAGGAGTCACGTGCAGAGTGTGCATCTCAGAATAATAACTGAAGCATAGAAACCACGCTAAAATATAAGCGAAGACGTGTTTTTGTTTCTTACGATGCGTTAAAAAGATATATAATATTTACGGTCAGTTGTACAAACACCCATTAAGGTTTAATGACGCCTTAAAGCTCTAATGAATATAAAATTTGTATGGGTAATGTCTCTTCGAACTAATGACTATTTTAATGGACGTTCGTGCAACTGGCGGTAATTCATTTAATATTTTGTGTAGGTTGTCACGAGCGTCAATGACGTCCTTGTCAACGTTTTATCGATAAAAACAAGTAGATTGAATTTAAAATTTGGTGAAATTATTTAAAAATGTTCGTAATAGTTAGATTATGACTGGGTAAAAAAAAATAAAAAAAAAATAACAAGAAATAGTAAGACGTGTTGAATATTTTTTTTAAATCTACCAGATGGAAATAAATAGTCGTCATCCCTATTATAATTTGATATTAGACAGATAGTTTTCTCATCTCTTACTTTTAACGTGGTTTCTTTGCTTTTATTTTTGTTCTGAGGCCAGTATTTTCCGTTATTAGTTTATCAATGAATAAAATAAATCGACTGAAGTATTAGTTGACCAAAGTAAATTAGCCATAAAGAAAGTTATATACCTTTAATTCAGTGTTATGAGACAGTTGTTTTTTAGAACATTTAAACAAAATAGTGTATCAGAAATCTCCATCTAAGGAGAATAAATAATTAATTACGACCGCAAATGTGCGTTCATATTAACAGATAAGAATTATACAATATTAGGGATTTTCACTTTATGAGCGTGTTGCCCGAAAATTGCACGTTGTGGTGCACAAAATTCTTCACTTCAGATGTCGTATTACTTCGTACGAGTAGTATATGCATTCGTATGAACCCATCACAATACATGATGGTACTGAAGCATCGTCGACATGAGGTGCTGTGTTACTAACAACTAATTTAAATAGAGACCCGTAGGTTCAACATTTCCTTAAACACCAATAAAAATGAGCTACACAATTTAATTTTGAAAATAAAACTAAATACTGTTTCATTACACTATTTTTGTTCGTTGAATTCAATACATTCACAACTTAATTAATTATAGATATGCATAAAGAATTGACAAATCTATAGGTGTTGATATTCATGCGCACATTCATTTTGAACCTTAATACGTTAACATTAGATCCCGTCTTTCAAAAATCATTCTCAATTTCTAAAAGATCAAAAAAATCTTTATATTGGTATTAAAATTGGCAAGTCTTGTTGATGGTAAACAAAATACTCGGTTGTTATTTTGACTAGTGAACTTGGCTGGCTGAAAGCCCGGTAACAGGAAAACTGTTTCAATAATATTGTACTGATCATTGGCACAAATACTCGAATTCAGAATCACATATACTAAGTTACTCTAAGGATTTCATAACAGTATAATTCAATAGCATAACCGGGACAAGCAGGAAAATAATACACTACAATGTAAAATTCATATCTCAGTCGCGCGTTTATATAAATAAAAATACTTTATTAATATTCCAATAATTAAAATTATACAATCGATATGAAACTACCATATTTAATATTGGCTACAATTAAATTAGTTAGGATAATGGCAGAGGTTTTCAACAGATCTATTACCACATTTGTGGATTTGTCATATTTTAACTAAATTTATAGTTGTTATTCAAGCATTTTTTTAAATATAGCATTGTGAAATTTAAAAAAATCATTAAAATAATAAAAAATAATTTATAATACATTGATAACTCAAATATCTATAAATACATAAGAGCCCCTCTTCACTCAATAAATCCTAGCATAAAGACGCTACGTAACGACGTGAAATAAGGACAAACGAACCGAAATTCTAATATTAATGTGGATATTTGAGCCATCAAAGGTATAATGACCAACAACATTGTGATAAATAATCATCACACACACCATGTCAGTAAAAAAAAAAAATTTAACATTAGAGGACTTCAAATCTCCACAACACATAACTTATTGCCCACCACTATAACTCTACAAACATCAGTTCATCAGTCTATAGCGCTCCAGCCGCGCCCACAAGGCCCCTACTACATCAGTTCAATCCACACACCCGATCAACCATGCAGATATGTCTACAATTATTCTACGTAATAAATTCGTATCGTCCGACGACTCCAATGAAAAAAATAAATACAACGAATGCTAGGAAATATTAGTCACCAGTATAGCGCGCAATATGTTGCTCAAAGTAAACATTTAAACTTTACTGTAAAACTATGATATTTAGCAAGTTCGCAGTTCCGTTTATTACACACAAGATGATTTTAGTAGTTTTGATCCCTTTTATATGAATAATTAAGAATCTACCGACCCCCTCTTATTTAATAACTATCTAAAGAAACAAGGATGTTTTTTAGTTTTACAGGTTAAATAGTTAAGTACGAATATTTTTATAGTAGTGATTTAACTTTGGTTTGACATTAATTTTTATTTACTTTTATATTTAATCTCTTACACATTGCATGCTGAATATTCAGGGTAACATGCTGACCTAATCCTAATAACTTTTTGTTATAAGCAGAGGTCGGAATCAGGTAGAGTTATTTATGTCCAACATTGTCCATTAGAAATACCTTCCTGGGATTTCTAATGGACAATGTTGGACATCTTTGGACATCCGATGTCATTGATTTAACTTTGGCAACGTCGTGCGTGCAGTAGTTTAAATTGTGTAAAAGTAAATAACTTTTTATTAAAAAAATCACGGGATTTTTTTCTGCTCTTTAAAATTAATCTCGGGATTTGAGGCATATCCACTTTATTCTTTCGCTGTATGAAATCAGTGTAAGTACATGAATAACTCTACCTAATTCCAACCACTGGTTATAAGACAACATCCCATACGTAGCTCATATTCCAAGATGAGTAACTAAAGCCCCCCTATTATGCAATATCTGAAACAACGAAGGTACCACAACATCCAGACCGGAAATCAAAACCGAGACCTCGGACATGGCGACTTGTGAACCATTTGAGTAAGGAGACCATTTTATACTATGTAACAGTGTTCCAAGCAAAATAAATAATAATTACAATTATTATTAATTAAGGATACTCACAATCCAATTATTATTATTGGATTGTAAATATCTTAACATAGAAATATTATTTTTATGATGTTATTTAAGAACGAGACCCCCTCTTACGAGGTGTATGAAAAATTTATTCTACCAAATGTATGGCGCCTTGGTAACTGAAAAATATCTATGCACTACCTTTCTAATAACTACTTGTGCTTAATATCTCTTAATGTGTGTCGTTCTTACGTGGAGCATTTTCTGTAGTTGGAGATCTTATAATGCCGATGATGAAAAGAAACCTAACTACATTCAGAAATTGCTATAATTCATAGTTTTACACAAGTTACCAACTCTATAAATCCATTAAAGCTCTGTTACTATACCACATGTATGAATGAACAATATTGAGCATAGTCGTCGAGAGATTTGCGCTTCGAAACGTTACCAATTAATATAAATTTACATTAGGGAATATTTAAATTGTATATTACACAACCATTATAAAATAAGAACCGTACATCAACATGGAGTCTCATAGTTGAAATACTGAAACTTTTATAGAGAACCATGAGTTATGAACACAAGTCAATACATCGATGATACAAATGAGTATAAACTAAAATAAACTCACCTTCGATAAAGAAGGAACTCAATTTCATTTTTCGTCAAAAATGTAATGTGAATCTGAGAACGTATAACGTGCAACAGTCGAGTGGTGTAGTTAGCTTAACAATAATTTCCTGTATTCCGTAGTATGGATGGTCTCACGTCTGGCGCTCGGTTGTGAAACTGTACGAGTAGTCGCGGTCCAAGTCGAACCGAGTGCGTCGCGTCACTACCGGTAGTTGACTCTAAAATATAATCGACGCGTTCGTTATATACAAGAACAAAAGACATTTTAGCATGCTTATGGTGGAATATTCGCGTTTTTTTATTAAAAAATCTCAAATGATTATTCTCAGTAATAAATAATAATACTCAAGTTTTTTACTTCTCTCAAGTTTTAAAAACTAAAATCAAAAACGAAAACCTGTTTAAATACAGGTTGCGACGTTCTTAACTTTAAATTCTCAATTCAGAAACCGGATGTAACTATAAAATAAAAATGAAAATACATATTTTCCGCTCCTTATATTATAAATCCAAGGTTTAATTTATCAGACTGACTGTTAATATAATTGTATAAATTGTATACAGTTTGGAAAACTTTTAACACTACCTAAGGCATACTAATGAAATCCAAATTATGAAATTTTTAAATCTGACTGGTATTGATATAAAAACTCACCACGTGATCATCCGGCAGACCCCTGAGTTTCGGGTTGAGCACGAGCGGCACTCCCTCCATGCTATCGTACCAGCCCAGAGTCTGATAATTGTTCCTGGGTAGGGGGGCGGGGCCCTTGTGCTTGGCCGGCGTGGGGGCGGGCGAGGCGGGCGGGCGGGGGGCGGCGCGCGCCGGCCGCACTTGGTACGCGGGACTGAGCGCCTCGTAGTCATGGTCACTGGTGAACTCCGCCCCAGGAGACTTGAGGTTCAAGTTGTTAAGGTCCGATATTAAAGGTGATAGTTTAGGCGGCCGTTCGGGCGCAGGTCGTAACCTGAACAGAGGAAAAAAGAAACATATATAATTTGTTCGTAGGCAGACGAAAAAATGGACAGTAACATAGATATTATGTCAACGATAAAAGAAAGCGATATATATCGCTATCCATACAGCTTTGTATCGTTTCCGCATAGTACTTCCTTTTGTTGGACAGGACTTGTTTAGTTTGTTAAGCCAATAGGGCACTGACCTCCTGTTTGCGTCCGGCGTGACATCAGTGACGACGTTCTCGTAGTCGTTGGGGGCGTGTGTGGGTGAAGTGTCCGCGCTACCACCGCTCACCTTGTAGCATACCATCTTACCGTTGATCTCGCTATCAAAATAACAAAATTATAAGAACTTTAATCATTTCTGTTGTAGCAATTAAATAATAACCATAACGATAGAAAATTTATTTATTCAATCTAGGTGTTACAAGCACTTGTGAAAGTCGAAACCATACCATCGGTTTGTAAACAGATCACAATCAGAATTTGGCAAATCTTGTACCAAGAAGAACGAGCAAGCAACCAAACAAGGGCGAAGATGAATGATAAAAATGGACAGGGAAAACTAGTGAGCCTCCCCGCAACTCATCCTTCTACCGCTAACAACATAAATTTCGTGAGGCTGAAAATCTCATCTTGGAGCACGAGCAACAGATTTCGTATAGCAACAATCATCGACATGCAATTAAAAAAGGATGGTTAGTGTAAGATTTACGTTAACACGTTGACCATAGAGTGCGTTGAAATTTGTAATTCTTAAAAGCCCTCCGAAGGCGACTCACCCGGCTAACAGGAACCCGTGAGGCGCCTGCCGCATCTTGGAGCAGACGATGACGTCAGTGACGGCGGGGCGCGGCGCGGCGGAGGGGCGGGACACGCGCGTGCACAGCCGCCGCTTGCCCGCGCGCCCCGCCACGCTGTACCCCGCAGGGGCCGGCTCCCGCTCGCCCACCACCACCACGCCGTCCATCACATACCCGGGCACACCTGCCGTCACATCATAATACACCCTAGTGTCATATGTAGGACATCAGATCCGGTTTTGGCCACTTGTCAGATTTTGGCCATTCGAGACTTCAAGACGTTAGTTCTTCGAGTGGTATTCATGTTGAATCATAGAAAAACTAATAATGAAAGCTTTGATCTGTCAAAGTTCACTTTCTCGTTACTTATAAATGGTCAAAACCAGGTCATTACATGGCGAAAAGCATCGGCTCGTAATAAGGGTTGTGATTTTACAAGATCACATATACATAATCCTATATGTATTTTTGTAATGTGGAATTTGCTTACGCGTGTTGTTTGATTGAATTCGCCTTTTTGAGTTTGAGTGTATGAAAATATAGGTAGGTAATAGAAACGGTGGTAATGTCCGAAAAAAATAAGATCAATCTGGAGATCCATGTCCATGACAAGTTTTCCCACAAAATTATACTCAATTCAGTTGTTTTTATTATTATTATTCAAAGTAATGTCATTTATAGTTCTCTTTTTTATTAAATATAAGTTGAGGAAGGAAAAGCGAGTTAACCTTTATCTTAATCTTAATTTATTGCATAAATTTCGTATGTACCAAAATTTAGGTAAGGTAGAGCAGGCGATACGGTTTTGGCCATTTTAAGGATTTTGTCGACTTTGAGCCTTTCTTAATTTATAGTTTCTGTTATCATAATCCTAAGAAAAAAGGGGTGTTTGAGCCATTTTGAGCAGACTTCTTCCATTTCTATTTGCTAGTTCTGGTCATCAAAAATAAAAATAGGATGAATGCAAAGGAATCAGAATTTATAAGTAAATTCCATATTTTACAACCAGTGGTTTTTATTTATGTATGAACTTAACTTAAATTTAACTTACAAATAAAGAAATAAACATTTATATGAAGTCAATAATTAGATAATATATTCTTTGTGTAGTATTAACATAAACATCCAAAAATAATAAATGATATTACTCATCCGCCTGCCTTGGTCTTTTTGATAGGACCATAACGATTTCATGCTAATTTAAAAATAATGACTTGTTGCATCGAAGTTTAGTTTGACACAACAAAGCTGTTAATGGTAACAGTGTTGCCAATATTTAATATTTTAAATAGCGTACATCATAAAGTCAATCCCTTAGTTATCAATATATTTGTCAATGCTTTAGTTATAATGCTTTGAAATCCCAAATGGCCACAAAGGGGTCGATGGCCACAACCGAGTCACCTGCCCTACTGAAAGTATTATCAATTTCCAAGACATACTTTACAAATCTGAAGTCAAAGTTCGTTAATATCTGAAATGCACTGAAAGCAACGACATAAAACGTTAATCCGTTAACTATACTCTAATGATTCAAAGTATTACATTGCCATGCTAAAATGACTATTAAATAACATAAATATAAGTATTAAACCAATTTCCAAAGAGTTCGTTCCCGTTACTGGTTGTGCATAGTAGAAAAACAATATTTGTTGTGACTCACAATATGATTGACCTTCGCAGCGGCTCACGAAAGTGAGTGTCGCAAATATTGTAGTTTTTGTGCCTATTACGTGGTTTTAAGGTTGACCAATGGCCTTATTTAAATTAATAGGTATTAATAGTATACTAATTTGCATTAATTATATTTAGGGAGCACAAAGTTTGATTTTGTTCATATCAAGTCATCTAAAAAACCCACATTGTAAAATTGTATTAAATACTATAAGCATCTATATTAGATGTGGCAGCGATTTTAAAAATATCTTAGGCAGATTGCATGAAGGTACCTACATTTTTATGCAATGTGAAACCACATTTCATAATTAAACGACCAAGTAATTTTGCAAATGAAAATGCGTTTTATAAAAGAGGTTCCTTTAATTAAAAGGTCTTTGGTGGGTGTTTCGTTATCTTAAAAGTTTGGATACGATTAAGGAAATGTTTTGCTATTCCGTTAAAATTACAGCGTCGAACAGAACTGTCACGGCGTAGGGTACAATGAAATAAACCCTACATTATCTTATAAAGTATTTAGATCTACTTTTAGGTATTTTTGAATTTGTCGTGGGTTGACAACATCCACACTGCCAAATATTACTTTTACTAGAATACGGCGAAACGAAAAGGAGGTTTATGATTTTAGCTGATATGTAATAATGTTCATCTGTTCCTTTATAACTTCGAAACTACTCATCGTAACTGGACAAATGAGGTATCATTAGAAGCGTCCTAGCTGTCCGCGTGCTATAGGATATGTAACGTTACATTCAATTGGCAACATTGCTCACATTAGTCACATTAGAGAATAAAGTAAGAAACAAAAAAAAATATTATTCGATCATTCCGAGCAGGGTATAATCAAGAGCTTGATTAGCACATTTCAAATTTATACATACATAAGTTTTATATATTATTGATATAGCGACAACAGTTTGTTTTTTTTTTAATGATCAGTGGCATGCGACTACGCTGACTTCTGGTCATCGCTATTATAATATAGCTATAGCTATAAAATTTCTTGTTTCAAACTTTTTAGAGCATAAGTTTAGCTGTAATCGGGTTTTAGTTTTTGAACTTATCTTTTTATTTAATAATATTTTTGTAAAAATATTGATCACCATTATAATATTTATCGGCACATATTTAATATAAAAATTATAATTTATTTATTTAGGACAATCATATAAATAATCCAATCATAAAATGATTAGCTATCTATAAATACCTCATGTGTTCATAAGTATAAGACAAACATTTTCTTACCGATTTTGAATTTAGAATGTTAACTTTTAGTTTACTTGTATCGCAAATTCATTTGTTTATATTTTCTCGTAATGGAGGAAACAGAACATTTCGCTATTTAAGACGGGAAAAAAACCGATGCAGATTTTCCGCGAGCTGAAAAGTTTTCCTGTAAGCCGTAACTTCGTATATTACACAATGCAAGCGGTTCAAGGAGACAAGTTCATTGCAAGAGCGCCCAAGGAGTGGTCGGCCACGCTCTGTGAGGGCGCCTGCGTACATCAAAATCATCCGAGAGCGACTTCGCCGGAATCCATGTTGCACTCAGAAGAAACTCGCTCTGCAGACTAATATTTTGCGCGTTTCAGTAAACAGAATACAGAAATGTGATCTTAAGGTAAAGGCGTAGAAAAGTTCACTTTTTAAACGATCGTCTTCGTATGTTACTACGCGAACCTTGTCCATTGCTGCTGAGGAGACATGATACCAGGACCACGAGATTTTTACTATCGACCTTCAACCGAAATAACTATAAAGTGTACGCTAAAAGTAGCAAGGATGTCCCTGATTCTGCACGGAATGTCTCGCGCACTCATCATCCGGCTAGTGTGACGGTATGGTGGGGAGTTTCGTATGAAGGTGTCATTCCGCTCCATTTGTGCCAACAAGGCTTGACACCTTTTGACAAAGCCAAGCATTATCAGTGACATTTAAGACCCCTGGGTTAAACCCCTGTCTGATACGTTATCTCACAATAAGGATTGGGTTTTTCAGCAAGACTCGGCGCCATCCCATAAAGCAAAAAGGACCCAAGCTTGGTTGAGGGAGAATGTGCCGGCCTTCATCGCGGCGGACGTGTGGCCCTCCTCCAGACTGGACCTCAACCCGCTGGATTATTCTTTATTGACTGAATTAGAACTCAAGGCTTGCCGAAAGTCCCACCCAAACTTGCAGTCACTGAAGCGAAACCTTGTTCGAGAAGCAAAGCAAATTCCACTAGAAAAGAATCGTGCCACCATTGATGACTGGTCAAATCGTCTAGGGCCTGTATTAAAAACAAGGGCGGTCATTTTGAATAAAATATATATTTTATCGATGATTATTATCCCTTTAATGGTTACTGAAAATTTAAGAAATATAAGATAATTATTATATGTATTGTACGAACCTTATATGGATACTGCAAATTAACCTATTTAACATGAAACTAAGTGACACTGAAATTTGCAGATATTGCACACAGGAATGTGAAACACCAAAATATCTTCTGTGTGAATGTAGACCACTAATCCACAAACGAAGCACTCATCTGGGACAACATATAATCAGCCCAGAAGATATAAAATCTCTAAAAGCCAGGAATATTATAGACTTTTAGAAGTCTGCCGGGCTAAAGGAGTTACTATAGATCTGGCGGCGAGTCACAATAGATCTTCAAGGTCGCAGTGACTACAGTTTCTCAATAACCCCTTATAACAAATAATAATGCTTACTAAAAAAAGTTACGCAATTTTATTTCGTTTCAAAACTTATGAACACACGTGGTATATTATAATTACAAGTTCTGTTTTTAGATTTCACAGCATTTATTTAATAAGAAATAGGCTAGATTATAATGCTAAGCTAAGTTATCTATACTATAAAGAGAAAATATTTGATTGTGTTTGTTTACAACGAATTGCCTCGAAACTGCAGAACCGATTTCAAAAATTCTTTCACTTACTGGAAGCTACATCATATGCGGTGGGCATAGGCTATATTATAACCCGAAAAACAGTAAATAAATAAATTCGAGTGGAATTTGTATAGGGGATTAAAACGTTACCATAGCATCCACTGTGTACTATATGTTTTGTCATTGTTATAATATCCGTGTCATGAAATATGATATCTAAAGTAATTATTAAATTATTTAAACTGTTTACATAGGTGTAAATAAGTAATGTTAGTTTGTATGTAAGTTTGGATGTTTGTTACTTATTTATGCAAAAACTACTGAGCGGTTTTGATGGAATTTAATATAAGGATAATTCTAAGCCTTAATTCACATAAAACATATTTTAGGGATTACGCCGGTGAAGCCGATGGAAAATTATAATCAACAGAAAGTAAGTAACATATTTATAATAAACAGATAGTATCGAAACAAGTTATAAAGTGAAGATTTAATACTCAAGCAGAAGTATTAATATTTCCGATTTGAATACTCTAAAACTGTCGCTAAAGATATCAATGGTGTGAATCGATGCATTATGATTTCTTGATAATCAAAATTAACACAAATATAAAACTCAAAGAAATCTCTTCTCTGATGATTTTTTTATTGACAAACTACCGATCTATTCTAAATATAGACCGACAGTCACGTCGTCTACCAATTACTCGCAGGATGCTCAACGATATTCCAGTTGAATTACGGTAGAAAACAGACCAGTATAGCCCGATATTAGGGTAAAAAGGCAATACTTCTTTAATTTTTCAGTTCACGTCAAAATGAAAAACGGAATCCTTATGGGATCAATCCGATCCCCAGCAGTTTTCTGTCTGTCACAGTTGATTAAAACCTACAGGGCACTTCTGCTAATGTTAACGTATATTGGTGTCAGTGCCGGATTACGCCAAAGCGGGGCCTGTAGCAATATTTTTGGTTTGCTCGAGTGTACAATTGAATTAAAATAAAATTATTAAAAAACACACTTTGATTTGTAACATTTCATTGTAAAAGTAAAGTCAATACAACTAACTGTTCAGAATCAATTTTAATTACAATGTATTAACACGCGCCTTCTTGTTACCCGGCTGCGCAACGCAAAGGAGGGTAATGTGTTTATGAATTTATGTATGTATGTTTGTTTCTATATAGCATTGTAGAGATCAAACGGTTTGGCCAATTTTGATGATTTTTATTGCGAGTGTAACTAAACACATAACAGTAATCAAAATTCTTTTTTTAGGGTACCTCCTTTACATGTAAAGTAAAGGAGGTACAAGGGTTAATTTTTTTCTTTCGATTTCCCTATAGTGTGGGATATTTTTGGATAGGTCTTTTAAAAATATTAGAAGTGTACGAAAACTGTTTTTAGATATAGTGAGCTGTTCGCAAACTATTCAGCTTTGAAGTGCCAAGTACTACTTTAGACCGAGTTGTGGTTTACTTAAGTTCGCGAGTTTTAGCTAAAGGTAAAGCATGTGTAGCTTTGTGTCATGTGAGGTCTCTAGAGGGAGTAATAAACAATAGTTTAGACCACCGCAATTTGCTTAATAATCCTCACGATATCCCTCTAACCGTCTTATAGTTCTAATAACGAATTCAATGAGAACTAAATTAAAAGAGTAAAAATAAAAATTTCACTATAAAAACAAAAACTCGACTGCGTGAAAACAAAAGAAAGAAGTGAAAAAAAATATAATTACTTAAATTCCATAAACAAAATTAAAACACAATGAGCTAGACGAAGCTGAAACCAATCAAACAAATGCAAAGAAATAGACAATTATTAAAAGTCAGACAGGTCGGACACAAGACTTATTTCACGTCAACGAAAACACCCGATCGTGTCCAGCTTTATCCGGACGTCTAGCAACGCTAGTATAAGAGGGAAATTGAACGTCGTTTGTCGAAAGGTCCACGAACTTTGATAAGAACGTTGACGCAAGCGACGACACACCCTCCCGCTACTTTGAGAGCTACACCAGACAGACGACCCATATCGATTTAAATGTGTCTAGCCAGCTTTGGACCGATTAATTAACTATTCTGACAATCATACTGAAATTCCTTAATATAATAATAAATGTAAAATGTTAAAGATCCGTACCAATATATGTAAATGGGATAGAAATGCTGGCGAACTCATTTATGAAATGGAATTGAATTGCAGATCAATTCTAATTGATTGATGAATAATTTCGAAATCTATCAAGAAATGACGGAGCTTATTAATTTGTGGGTTTTCGAGATGATTATTAAGTCACTGACCTAGTCGCTATCATCAGTCGGCGTCGACTCATCGCACGAGAAATTGTTTGTTTATTTCGGATAGAAATCTTTCAGTTTGTATTTCCTAGTAGACATAGTAAACATTTTTCTATGCTCCTTACATACTACATACTAGTACATACTAGTAGTTTAACTTTAATTACCAATAATGAAAGGATTGTGTGCTTGGAACAGGCTGGTTGACATTTTTTTTAATTTTATAAATAAATACTCCATTGATATCTGTGAAACATTGTAGAAGTGCTGCTAGTCAGCCGAAAACGCTTCCTACAAATTTAAGCCACAAAGTGACGTTGCTAATGTAGTAAAGAATGTATGGGCGTCTAGGCAATCTTATAATATGTTTAGTTATTTCTGCGTTTTTTATAATGCATTTGTAAATTTTTGCCATATATTTTTCTTACTTTTTTCAAGTTTTCAAAATATTTTCTAAATTAGTGTAATAAATTTTATTTTGTTAAATATTTATAAGTAGCATCAATAGTGATGTGTCCTATGTCCTATATAAATGTGTAAATGAACATAAATGTTTGAAAAATATGAACCATTAAAATTATGGTTGCAAACAATTATGGTAACCATTTTAAAGTTCATATTTTTCAAACATTTATGTTCATTTACACATTTATGTAGGAAATAGGACACATCACTATTGATGCTGCTTGACATATGAAGATCAGCTAATTATGATTTGACAATTAAAATTTCTTACCTTCAGATTTTGACAGACAGATGTAATGGCTGGGTTTCTTGCCAAACAGTCCATTTTGGCGCATAAGGCCTGCATCTGCATCCTCATCATAGGTACGATTAACTAGACGGTATCCAGCAGGACACTTGGCCACACTCTCCACAATTTGCAGTGACAACAGAGGCCGCTCATCTGGCAGGGCATCGCCTAGCTTGTGCAACACCTTTGACATTGTCACTTATGTCATTATTCCCCTTTGAGTCTTCATAAATAGGGGTTTACTAAATTTATTTCATTAGTACCCTGCAACAAATATTATATAAATATATGTACCTATATAAAACAAAGTATGTAACGCTTAAATCTCTTAAGTTACAGATTTTGATTTGGCTTTCATCAATATAGAGATCAATTCAAGAGTAATGTTAATATGTAAATACAGGACCACACTGGCAAAACTGCTGTTGGAAAGCTAGCATTACTTAAAGGCTAGTAAGGATTCCAATTATAATATATTATCAAAAGATCAAATCCATTCAATCCAGAAAACAAGTTTATTACTTAAAAGTAGAATAAAATCATTTTACACTATTGGTGAATGTAATATTTACTATTTCTCATGGATAAGATTTTATAATCGTGAACTAGAATTATATAATTGAATAACCAATTAGATGCAAAATTTGTAGTGTACAGTTATCTGGTGTTATCTTAATATAGGCTGCCTCAAAAATAAGAAATAATGTAAGTAGGTAGCAAAAAGCATACCTTAACAAAAAAATTGTTAGTTACAAGTAGAAGTTTCAGCATTATATTGAGTGAAGTTATAAATATTACATTACTTATAAATAATTTGCTTAAAATAAAATGGTAAACCACAAATAATATCTCATGGTATTATTTGAAGTACCATGAGATATTATTTGAAGTACTATTCAATCAGGTTTTCCCTATCATCAAGCTAGATCAATATAAGAGATTATACAGTTTCTGAATAGTTGATCAAATATGCGATAAAAAAAAATAAGATTTGTAACCAACTCTCATTGATATTTTTTATGTGCACATTAAAACAATTTTCAACTGTTACTTATAATATATATCATGATACCTATGCAAATAGTCATACTTTTAAATCTTCACTATAAACACTAACACTATAGTCAGTTTCACATAGCACAGGTACGGTGATGTTTATTAACAAATCTATTTCAATTTGTGTTTCCAAATGATTAAAAGCCATTGTTATAAAAAATCGTTTGACTGTGTACATAAATAAATTTTTAACATAATTACTAAAATCTAACCCCCTAAAGTTTAAAGCATGAAGCAAAGCACTTGTAATGAAAATTAAAATATTTTTTAATAGGGAATGAATCAATAAAATTGCTTGTATCAAAATATGTATTTGGTTATCATTTCTCAATTTTTTTATCACTGTTTTCTTAACAATTAAACATAACTGTAATAAAATTTTGTATTTTTCTAGCTTGGGATCATCTTATTGATAAAATGATTATCTCTATTAGAAATTAACTTAATTATTTTGAGTTTTTGTATATATATTTTTTATTACCATATCACTGAAAGCTTCATATCCCAAATGTTACTGAACCCAAGCTATGTGAAAGAAACTGTAATGGTTTGTTCACTCTAGGTCATTAATTAATTATAAAGCAAGAACAAGTACCCCTGTTAAATATAATAGACAGAAATAATAACTCAGTAAATGTAATGTCAATAACTTTATTGTTAACTAACCTCAATTTAATCTATGTGACATAACAATTAACTGTATATCACTGACCTCTCATTTAACACACTGTGGTTTTATTAAAAAGAACTAAGGGCTCTGTATTCCAAAACGTCCAATGACAATGTAGGGCACAAAAATAAATAAAATTTACAAACTCATTTACACTGAGGATACCACTAATGAAGTATTTTTTAATAAGTTTATTTTCATCATCATACGATGGATTCAATCTTTACACATTATACAACCGACTTGGCAAAATTCCATACATTCTACATAAAAAATTTACAAACTGAAATGAACGGCGCCTGGGTGCAGGAGAGGTAGGTAATTAAAATCAATTATGAAGTGTGAATTGGCATCTTAATAGGAATTCAATGACCCGCTTTGTAAATTAAATCAGAAATTTTTAATCACCCTAATTTTATGAAAATATAGGACCGAGTGTTCACATTTTACATTAACTTCAGAACATCACATATTTTCAGCGAGTATTTTACGTTACCTACCGTTGTAAACATGAAAATAGCACTGGCGTTCCCCATAAAATAACGAATAAACACTTGCACTAATTATATCTTGCTTTCAACTCTAGTATGACCCTTACATTGTCCTAACATAATTTAATCAGAAAATATTTCTCTATGTAATTTACTGACTCGACAACAATGACAGCCACAGAGTTTTTTTTTACTAATTAAAACATTCTCATAAGGGGAAAGCAAAGGGTACTAAGCCCATACAGCCTACACAACTACAGAGTATTATAAGATTTAAAAAAAACCCTCTTAGCTCATGAACAGTGCTGCCAACCTTAGCAATAAAAAAAAAAACAAGATAACAGTAGGCCATATGTAGGTAATGCGCGCTTGTGCACTGTCAGGAATTTTACCGTCCGGAATTTTACTTTTCTCTATTCCGGACCGGTTTTTTCAGGTCCGTGATGGCGGCAATGAAAAACGTGTTTACGCTTGTGCACTGCTGTGTCCGAGATCCGGAAAATTCATAAGGAATAGGCTTGGGAAAAAATAATCGATTTGAATCGATATTTATTTCGGCAATATTGTTAATTACCAATAAACTTATAATCAATATTTATTGTTGATTATAAAATGCTATATTTTATATGATGATTTAATATAGTTGGTATATATCACTGCATATGCTTTGGCAAACTCGGTATAGTTTTAATTTGATCAGTATATGGTTCTAGTATCGATACTTAGCTAAATTTTAGAATCGTATTAAAAGTATCGATAGCTTAAGTAAGATAAATAAGTGTTGTTACGTTTAGACAACTGAACCCATCTAAATGGAAATTAATATAGTAAATAGACTTAACTTTAAGAAAGGACATAGGCTACATTTTATCGCGAAAAATAGGGGATGAAAGTTTGCCTGGAAATTTGTCATTATCAAATTTTTTTTAAACAATTGATAAGTATAGATAAATATTTGACAACAGAAGTAATAATAAAGAATAAACAGAAGATTAACAAAAGTAATTAAATGACACTCAATGTCTTTTTCGCATTTAATAAAATTTTAAATGTATGTTTGTGTCATTAATAAATTAAAAAAAAAAAAAGTATTCTAAAGGAATAATATTTCTGCTCAAAGAAACTACACCACGCGTATAAAATTATGCCTATATATAATACAGTCAACTGGTCTCGTAAAGTTCATTTAGCATAATAATTCTCCGCCAACACGGCACTAATTTCGGTTTGTTTACGAAATGGCGCCACCGATTGGTCTATCTCTGTAATCGCCGAAAGTTGTTTTTACAAAACTTCGAAAAAAATAGCAAATTTAAACATCAAGTACTAGACCATTATCAGTAATTTTATTCTAATGTCAGATATTTTTAGCTATTGTATGTGAATAATGCTGTTCCTAAATTAGTAAGGGTATAAGTTTTTACATCTGATAGTAGTCATCCGATAGTAGTAAAAAAAAATGCTTTCGTCTTGCCATAATTTATTATGGTTTATGTAAAACGTTCAGATCATTATTTAGGTACCATTCTACGTCTTCGAACGGAATTACCAACGTTCCAAAAATCTCATCGTACCTAGCGTAAGTGACGTGTAGCTTCAATGAGAGCTGCCCTACACTGCGCCGCTCCGATCAGGAAAAAAACGGACAAGTGCACAAGCTACTCATCCGAGTTTTTCATGTCATTCCGGACCGGAAAAATCGGACCGCCGGACCTGAAAATTCAGTGTAGTGCACAAGCGCCCTAATTGAAAAACAATAAAGATTAGGAATGAAACAGGGGCATCAATCTGAAAATAGCAGATCTACTATTAAAACAGTAGGGTTAGTAAAGACAACGTAACAACCTACTCAACTTCCCCGACTCCTCCTTTATGTGAGAAGTAAACGTATGTAAATTTTTACTGAATCCACTCAGTGAGTCAATTCAGCAAAATGATGCACTGATCCGAATCTCACCGAATGGACAGTGGACCAGTGGCGACACTCATTGAAACAAACGAACAAAATAAATAAAATGAGCAGAATTGAGCGACTGTTCGGAAAGATTCGGGCGACATAGAGTCACGTGTCGGTGTGCGCTTATGGGCTAGCCAGCAGTTATATTTGTTTATTTACTACTTCTACTTGACTTTTGTCTTCGAATCATAAATAATGATCAAGGCTTAGAATGCAAAACCGATTTATATTGACATGATTTAAAATCTTATATGGTGTTTTTTTTCTGTATAACAAAATTGACAAGCTGCTTATTAGCGATTGGGTGTTAATAGTCCGTATATAGGAATACGCACTAATGACGCATATGGATGAACCTTCATATTTAATTCTTAAAGAAGATATAACACGATTCAGATGGCCACAACACCATTCATCGAAAATGAGAAAAAGCAGTGTATTTTATTACGATTTCGAAGTTGCTACAACAGATAATCTATACTAATATTGTAAAGCTGGAGAGTTTGTTTGTTTGTTTGAACGCGCTTATCTCAGGAACTACTGGTTCGAACTGAAAAAATCTTTGTGTTGAATAGACCATTTATCGAGGAAGGCTTTAGGCTATATACCTATATAACATGACGCTGCAACTATTAGGAGTGAAGGAAAACGCAGACGAAGTCGCTGGCGGCCACTAGTAACAACATAAAGTGATAAACAACGAAGTTATTCTGGTCCTGTACGCGATAGGTTAAACTTTTTAAGACGACTGCGAAACGGAACGTTACTATCGTCTTGAATTTAGAGGTTTTTTTTTACAGATAAAAAGCTAAATGAATGTTTTGGCGCCTTTTAAATCAGCCGTCTTGTTGAACGAACCTATCATAATGATTCAACTAAAGAACTACACGTCCAATTGAATGGCACCATTCAATTAAACGGCTAGCCATCCAATTGGGCAGCTGTTTTAACCAACTGGCTGCGACATGATTTATAGTTGTTTTTGTAGTGAAAATTTTCAGTCCTAAGCCTGATCAAAGTATGAAGGAAAATTGGATCGACTTTTAGTGCATTTTGAAACCTCTTAATATACAAAAATCCCAAAATGTTATTTTATTTTATCTTGCCACGAGAATCATTTTATTATATTCTTAAAAAAAAACATTCCATATTAAAGGTCTATGAAAAACATAAGGTCATTTTAAAATGTATTCGTAACACGATTAGTACTTGCTCCCTGCTCTTGAATCTATCTGAGAATCAATGATTCATATGATCTAAATGAAGCATTAATTAATTCAAAACTTGGTACCGATTCGGATGCAAATAATCCAATCTTTAGAAAGATACGTTTTTACTTTCATTAGAAAGTACTAGTGACAGACATAACATAACATTACAACCGCAGAATAATAACTAAATCTAAGATGACAACAAATACTTAGGTGTTTCTTCGGAAATCCAACTTCCGTCATTAGTGTTCTACAAAAACGATGAACCTTGACTGATATTAATATTTTTAATATTAAAATCTATATAGAATCCAATACTTTAGATTGTCATATTTACAATATTATTAAAAAAAATCTTGTATTTGTGAATCGTAACTCCAAAGGTTTTACACAGACTAAAACACAAACAAATATTTATTGTACATTCATCCGTACCACAGAACATAGAGATCCGTACTCAGTCACTGGTAGTCAACGCTTCGCAGATCCTGGAAACCTGGAAACCAGACGTACATCAGGGCCGCCACATCTCCTAGTCGGGCCCGGGACCAGATTCTGGACACGCCCCCCCCCTTTTTTTTTTCGTCGCGCCCCTTTCCTATAGAGCCATCTCTAGGATATAGATAGCCTTATAATAATTGTTAAAAAACTATTAAACCTTCTCTAACTCTACTTCTAACCAAACAATAAGTCATTTATATGTCCTACCAAGGTTCAGTGTTCGAATAAGAACACTTGAGGGGACTGAACTCTTATATCACTACGTTTTATTCTACATTTAATTTAATTTTAATCAAATAAATAAAAGAAAGTGTAACTGAAGAATTGAAAATTCAAGTATTCATAATACCAACCAATTATTTAAGTACCAAGTAATTACCAACCATAAAAATGCCATAAATTAGCATGAAACGAAAATTCTATATCCAATCAGTCATAGGATTTTTTATTTTAACTACTTTAAATACAATTATTGGTGAATAGACGGCGTATTCAGAGAAGTTCCAATTTACTAATTCCTCAAAAGTACGATTGTGGCAGAAATTATGATTGACTAAATTTTATATAATCATTAATCAATAATACCAACACATATCAACACATATAACTAACTTTATTTTAATGTTATGGACGGATTTAAAAGGAAAGTCTCTGTATACAAGATAGCTGAAGGAATTAGTTGAAACAATTATTAAAACAAATATACTAAGTGTTTACATTAGCGGTCGCACGAACAAAAGAATGACGTAAGTCACAATGCGGTGAGCTCATTTATGAATAAGGTAGAGTAAGGGTTAAAGTCGATAAAGTTCAGTAAAGCCGCGGCCTGCGGCGCCCCTTTACGTCCGGCGCCCCTGGGCGGTCGCCCAACCGCGCCCTACCCTAACGCCGCTACTGCAAAACATCCAATCCAAGCATCCAATATTTTTACGGATTTGATACTGACATGTCCTTAGTCTGTATAGCTTCTTTTAGTCAAAGGTTGCCTGGCAGAGATTGCTCTCTTAGCAAGAAGGCCGCATATTGCATATATATTTAAATCTCTTTGTTTTATGTGTTTGTTTTTAGTACAATAAATTATAGTCAATCAAGTGAGGAGGAGAGTAACACAGGCACTCTATTATTGCAATATTTTGCGGTATTCAAGGAGACACCTCTGGACATGTCAATTCGCAGCCTTTGGCTTTAAACTTGGTTTCAATATAATATGGTTCAAAATCTATTTAAAAAAACCAAACAGTTTTGTAAGATTTGATGTAGTGTTGACTTTACAACAGTTGTAGTTAACACTGTCAGGTGTTTTTTTAACTTTACAAAAACATCTGAAATCGTAACCTTAACTGTACCTAATAAATGAATAGGTTTTCTGATCTGTTAATAATTATAAAAATAAACGATATTTCATTTTTTATTTGTGAAAGAGGCAAAATTTCTCACATTTGCATAACCATTGCCGCAAGAAGGAAAAGATTCTGGCAAGTGAATTTTTGCAACTATAAATTTATTACCCTTTTTGTTAACATCTAAATAAATAAATACCTAACAAGCACTACAAATATAGCCAAAAAAGCAATATTGCATTAAGAACATTATTAAACCATTATAAATATGTTATTTAACAATGAAAATTGTCACAATAATTTTCAACCAACATTAGATACTTTACCAGGTAGAATTTTAACCTATTGTTGTTAAAATATCACAATATTCATCTTTGATAATGTTGCTTTTAAACATATAATATTGGTCAATGCAATAAAGTTGTTGAGGTGGATACAAAATAATGATTTATTCATCATTATATTATGTTTTTAGCAGTATGTAAATGCTAATTACATTGACATCTACAGAATTCAGTAACCACAAACTAGATTATTTTAGTTATGTCATTACAGAGAAGATATATTATTTATGATCACTCTAAAACTTTGAAGGGCAGTGGTGTGGTTTCGGTAGTGCCTGGGGAGGAACTGAAGAATGGTGAAACATCAGATAAATAATTTCTTGGCAATAATCCAATGAGAAGGGCTATCTTTGCAGCTATTGGAGCCTTTTCTTCATCATCAATAATTGTGTCTTGATCTGGCATAACCTACAAACAGGAAATAATTAAATATTTAAATACACCATATAATATTATTTCATAGAATATTACTTTCTATGAAAAGAACATAAATTGATACCTTATCAGCAATATGCTTATGTACAAGGCCATCGCCTCCCACATAGAATGTAGAAAAACCATCATACCACCTGCAAAAAAAATTTCAACAAAAAGTAATTAACACAATTATTCCACTTATGAGGACAGAATTAGTACTATTTCTTTACTTACAGTTCTTGATCTTGGAATACTTCTTTTAAATTCCACAATTTGTATTTCCAAAACATGAAAAATACTTTTAATCCAGAAATTCCTTTAATTCGCCATCTAAGCCTAAAATACATATACAAACTTGTTACAGTCAGATGCAAAAATTTATTGTTACTAACTCCTAAACCAGTAAATATTTACACTATTGAGTTGATCCTCAACCATATTTTTTTTACTTACTTTACTGATGAATCTTCTGGATTTGCAGTTATCTTCATAATTTCAAATTTCACATATGCAAATTTAATATGGCCTACTGTTCTGAGTAATGCAATTTGACGCACATAAGGAAACAAACCCCTGGAAGCACACAACATACAACCAATTTGATCATGAAATAATATATTTTCTATTAATTATACACACATTTACTACTTACACTGTTGTGGTACCTCTAATATTGTTGACAAATACCATATTTGGATGATAAATTGAATAATCCAAGGGTTTTATAAATAGGTTTGGCATCTGTAGAGATAATGTGGGGAATTAGTGACAATAATATAATTTAATTGTATAACAGACTGAAATAAACATGAGTTAATAATCTCTTACAGTTTCTGAGAGTACATGAAATACTTTCATAAGTTGTTCCTCACTTGGTTTATCACTAGGATTACCAACTTCTTTAGCAGGTTTAGCTGGAGAAGGGACAACAGAAGTTTTGCAGTGTGCAACTGCATCACTTTCAAATTCTGACAAGCACGTAGGCTCAAATTCCTGTGAAATAATGCTGAGATGTAATTTTTTTTACATATAAATAGTAAACAGTTTCCAACAAACAGCTTTAATGACTTACATCATTGTTATATTTAGTGAAATCTATGTTGTTCATACATGTGTATGGGTTCACTGTATTCATTATTGCCCTCTGTTCAATATAATCATCACTAGTGAGGTCTAAAGGTTTTATTTCTATATTGTTTACTATGTCCATGTCTTTACTTGCATATTTAGGTCCATGAGAAATCGGTGCATGGGTAGTTGAAGCAAGCAATTCGTTAATGTAAATATCGTCAATGCTGTGTTCTGTTGCACATTTCGGTATAAGCTGACAACTAGAAATACGGCGCTTGGTGATCCACTGTAACCAAACTTGTAATATTATAAAACATTCTTCGGCAGGAACGATAAAAAAGTAACACGTGAAACAATACCACTGCGTACAAGAAATATATTGCCATAAAATCCTACACATCATACGAAAAGTTTCAAATTACGAAAATTAGATGAAATTTTCTAAGAGTTAATGCACAGTTGATGAATGTAGAGTGACAATACGTACTTCTTTTAAAAATTTACTTCGCACTGTGACTTTTCGAGAAAGAGGAGTATGGTGGCTTTTTGTTGTAACTATTCCATTTATTGGAAATAATTTATGTGAAAAAGTGCGCAGACAAATAGACATTTTCACATTTAAATATTGAAAAGCCGAATAAATTAAACGAATTGAAATAATCTACAGAAATCGCTTTTTTAGCACAATCAAACGATATCACTCTCATGTAACTGTCATTGATTGACAGTCAATCATACTTTACTAGGGATTAGGATATATGTCGATATCAAAGAAACAGCGACATCGATATCAAAAACAACCAACTTATCGAACTCTAATATCAATTAAAATCCAAACTGTAAATGTCCTATGTAGAATTGCTAATGAAATAGCTGGTGCTATAGTTATCTTCTAAATTATGTCCTATTTTATGAGACATTGCTATTGCTATAAAAACAATCCAAAATATTTAAATTTTGTAAGTCGATGGTAATTAACAGATTTTTCTGATTATTTATTATTTATTGTTGTGGCACATCGGTTTAATAATCTTTGTCATCCACTCTATGCTACATAATCTGTGACATTTGTAATATAAACAATAATGCATTTGTTAGGGCGCTTGTGCATTACACTGAATATTCAAGACCGGCGGTCCGATTTTTTCCGGTCCGATATGTCAGGCTATATGTAGATAATGCTAGCATGTGCACTGTCAGGAATTTTACTGTTCTTTATTTCGGACCGGTTTTTTCAGGTCCATGATGGCGGCAATGAAAAAAATATTTACGCTTGTGCACTGCTGTGTCCGCGATCCAGAAAATTCGTGAGCCTGCGGAGTAGGCTTGGGAAAAAATAATCGATTTATGAAAAATAGATATTTATATCGACGATATTGTTAATTTTCGATATATTGATAATAATCGATATTTATTGTAGATTATAAAATGCGATATTTTATATGATTATTTAATATAGTTGGTAAATATCACTGAATATGCTTTGGTTAACTCGATATAGTTCTAATTTGATCATCGTGTGGTTCTAGTATCGATACTTTGCTAGATTTTAGAATCGTATTAAAAATATCGACAACTTAAGGTAGAAAAATAAGTGTTATAAATAAGTGTTATGTAGTGTATATACGCTTAGACGCCTTAACAACGGAACCCATCTTATCTTTATCTATTTCTATATTTATATCAATATATGGAAAATAAATATAGAAATAGACTAAACCTTGAGAAAGGACATAGGCTACATTTTATCACGAAAAATAGGTGGAAATAAGGGATGAAAGTTTGCATAGCAATTTGTCATTATTAAAATTTGATTTTAGACAATTGATAAGATAAGTATAAATAAATATTTGATAATAGAAGTATTCTTAAAGAAAAAGAATTCTGCTCAAAGAAACTATACCACGCGTATAAAAGAAAAGCTAGTAAGTATATATATAATGCAGCCAACTGATCTTACAGTGATTATAGTTGAATCATGACATTTAAAAATTAATAAAAAAAAGATGGCCGATTTAATGCCACCGTAAAGTTTATTTAACATATTAATTCTCTGTTTACACTTCGTTTTTTCCAGATCGGAGCGGTGCAGTTTAGGGCCGCTCCGATCTCAAAGCAGTAGCTTAGTAGTGACGTGTACGTCACTCACGCTATCTACGATGAGATTTTTGGAACATCGGCAATTGCTTGGTTTATTACTCTACGTGCGAAGACGTAGAAGACAGAAAAAATATTGGGTTCACCCCTTTATAAGTGAAAAGTACCTGACAGGGTTTTTTTTACATAAACCGCAATAAATTGAGATAGATCGAAAGAATTTTTTTAACTACTATCGAACGTAAAAACTGATATCCTTACTTATTGAGGAACAGTTCTTTTTCAAGGTGAAGTCTATCTCTATATCAAATTTTATTAAGAAGGGTTCAGTTATTCAGGCGTGGAAGTGTAACAACACTTATTTGTCTTTACATAAGTTATCGATATTTTAATATGATTCTAGATTCTAGCAAAGTAAGACCATAAGATGATCAAATCAGAACTATAACGAGTTTTCCAAGGCATATGTAGTGATAAGTGATATTTACCAACTATATTAAATTATCATATAAAATATAGAATATTATATTCTACAATAAATATCGATTTTCAATATATTGGAAATAACAATATCGCCGAAACAAATATAGATTTTTCATAAATAGACTTTTTGCCAAGCCTACTCCGCAGGCTCATGAATTTTCCGGATTGCGAACACAGCAGTGCACAAACGTAAATACGTTTTTCATTGCCGCCATCACGGACTGGAAAAAAACTGGTTCGGAATAGAGAAAAGTAAAATTCTGCGGACCGCAAAAAATCGGACTGCAGGACTGTAAAACTTAATGTAGTCCACAAACAACCTAAATAAGCCGTATCAAGCAATAATCGATACCGACAATTTTTGCGAGTACTTACCGTGTTATCGGTCGAACCCTATTATGACACTTTTGGTTTGATCATAGAATTAATAAGTACTTAAAACAAGCCAAATATAATATTCATATAGAAAACGTTTTATTCTGTATTCTTGAATTTTTGAGTTTTCTTGAATTTACTACGTTTATATCGAAAAAATTTCACATGGCAATTGTGCGACAGAGACATACCAAGAAAAAAGATGTCTCACTTGAGCTCACTTCCGTATGTAGATAATTATTATTTAAAAAACACTTTATTTACATAAAAGTTAAGGTTCATTTTGGTATATCAAAAAGATCGCATTAAGCGTTCCAGTTGTACGTAGAACTTACTAATTCTATGGGTTTGATTTTATTTGCGTGTTTATCTCGTACGGATTAACATTACACCTGAGGCCCTATTCTATTTGTCCTTGAATGAAAATCGGAAAATTTGAAATCATTCCTATAATTTTGTTAAAATCGTATCCGTAAAGATTACCGATGCATCAGACGCTGTGTCGGATCCTGCCTCCGTTCCATTATAGATTAGCGGACATTGCGTTTCTTTAGAATCGTATTGGCATTTCGAAAAATTATGAAATTTCGTTTTCGGTGAAACGGAATAAGCCGTATGTGTCACGTTAATTCACGAGTAGTAATTTATAAATTTTTATACACATTTTGATTGTGATCTTAATATTGATAGTAAAAAGCTGCTGTAATATCTGTGAGCAGAAACTGAAAGTATTATGTTTATAGAAAGAGTCGTGCACAATGTTTGCGATAAAATTGTTAAATCTAAACTGGTTAGTAAAACAGAAACTTAATTTAGAGTACTTTCAAAGAATTGGAAAGTGAAAATGTATCTGGATCTTTTATTTATTTTCAGTTACAATGTAGCGTACGACTGAAACACACCAAAGACCTCAATGAACACCGTGCCAAAGTAATGGGTCGGGGTTTACCAGAGAGGAAACCTTTGCCTGGAGTTAAAAGCATCATTCTTGTTGCGTCTGGTAAAGGAGGCGTCGGGAAGACTACTACGGCTGGTACCCGAATACAGTACCTATATAAAATTACATCCGTAACTATTTGCTATGACAATACCCTTTTTCTACTTCACAAGCTGGATCTGCAGATTATGTTTATCAGTTTCATCTTCTATTTTTGTAAAAATGATCATAGTTCATGTTGCCGCTCAAAACTAAATGGGCTCCCTTTTTTGTGGGCACAGGCACTTGCTTATTTATTTTTCTTTCATCCTGTTGTAATAATGGTCAGTATTAGAGTTGCCTGAACTGTTAACCATTATTTGTTAAACATTTCATGAATACCCCAAATGTCATGTTATTTAGTTTTGTATGGTTTGGCTAGATTACAAGTTGAAATTACATACATGATGTACTTATAAATTCACAGTGAATCTCGCATGTGCCATGAAGGTCATAGAACCGGACAAAGAAATAGGCCTCCTAGATGCTGATGTGTTCGGTCCATCTGTTCCATTGATGATGAATATCAGTGGGGAACCAATGCTCAATGATGACAACCTTATTGAGCCTCTTCTAAATTATGGTGTAAAGTGGTGAGTGTTACTCATATTAAGATTCATAGGTTTTAAAATCTTCAGGCTCTGTATGTCAAGATGCCAATGGCCGCAGGTGCTGCAAATCCAAATTAATTATACAAACACAGAGTTTGTACTAGGCTCTATAACATCTAGCAAAAAGCTTAACACACAATTGACCTTTACCCTGTAATATCAATACTATTTACAAATCAGTGTCTGTAGAAGTGTATAATCATTATTTAATGTAATGAAAGACTTAAAAGATTTGATAAGCCCATTTTTTTAACAGTATACTGCAATACATAAAGAGGATCTCAATTCCTTTAATATATTTGAGAACTGCAAGGGAAATTGCAAATTAATATTTGTTCGCTATGAATTTCTAGCATATCAATGAAATTCTTTATTATCAGTATGTCAATGGGACTACTGGTGTCAGGTGAGAATGCAGTAGTGTGGCGTGGACTCATGGTTATGCAGGCTCTGGATCGTCTGACGAGACATGTTGCCTGGGGGCCGCTCGACTGCCTTGTTGTCGACACACCACCAGGCACTGGTGATACTCATTTATCTCTTGCACAAAATCTGCCCATTGATGGTATGTATAAGATGCTTATCAATCTGCATAAACAAAGAGTAACTCCCAGGCACTATATAATGAGGGGACACATCCACACGACAACTTGTTCAATTACTGAGTGCTCCTTAACCTAGTCTCATGTTTTGGTAATAAATCAATAGTATATTTTTGATATCAATGTGTCAGAAACCAGAGTCGAACTTGTGTTAAGCCTACTGAATTCTGTTATTACATATTAACATTTGTAGTATTGTTAGGATTTTAGGTTAGGTTAGGATTTCATCAGGTAATACAAAAGTTTGATCCCCCTTAAATACTAATAGTGTGGGCACTGGTCCCGGCCGCTATTAGGGATGTCAAAATCATCATTATGTAATATCTATTTACAGTTATAAAAAGAACAAGCTTTACAAATCTTTTCATACATATACTATAATGGGTTGGACATGCTTCAAAATCCCCAAATGAAAGAAAATATTTATTTACTTGTAGCTGGCATCACACGATCAATCTGGGATCGTTGTCAGTTGCAGATTGATAACACAAATCAAATTATATGGATTATATGTCATCCATGTCAATTAATTACATACAATGGGATTGATTTAATACCAGATTTATTATCTAATGGTCTGATTACAGTCAGACTCCATCCAAATTACGCGCGAATCGTATGTGTGGTTATACATTGCTTGTCGATAGAGGTGCATTTAAACCAAACCAAACAAACAAAGATCTAGAGCTCAATCGCGTCTCAATTCACAGTTGTTGGTTCTTATCAGTACTAGGTCTCCCGCCGTAGATTTGCGAGTGCTTGTAACAGCCTAGACTGAATAATTGATATTTAATTTTAATACGGTCTTGCAGTGGTCGGAATTAGGTAGAGTTATTCATGTACTTACACTGATTTCATACAGCAAAAGAATAAAGTGGATATGCCTCAAATCCCGAGATTAATTTTAAAGAGCAGAAAAAATCCCGTGATTTTTTAAATAAAAAGTTAATTTACTTTTACACAATTTAAACTACTGCACGCACGACGTTGCCAAACTTACATCAATGAAAGAAAGAAATAAAGAAATCCCAGGAAGGTTATTAATTAATATCAACATTTCGATGCAAGTACATAAATAACTCTACCGAATTCCGACCTCTGCTCATTACTTATGCCTTTACTAAAATTAAAAAATAAGTCACCTACCTATTCGTTTTATATCTCAGGTGCGTTAGTTGTGACTACTCCACAATCGGCAGCGTTACAAGTAACAAAACGAGGCGTCAACATGTTCGAAAAATTGAAAGTCCCCATAATCGGTATGGTCGAGAACATGTCTCACGCCATATGCACGTCGTGCGGCACCAAAAACTACGTGTTCGGAAACACCACCAAAGATAACGCTCGGCAAATGGGTTTAAATATCATAGAAAGTTTTGAAGTAGATCAAAATATGTCAGACTGCATCAACAGCGGCAAGCCAGCGATATATGCTCTTCCGGACAGTATACATGCTGAGAAATATAGACATCTAGCAAATAAAGTGTTTAAATACATAGACGATAAGGACAAAGAACAAATCAAGGCAACCGAACAATAGTCACAAAAAATTAAATAAGTAGTTGTTGAAATTTGTTTAGTTTATCGATTTATTGTTAATAAACTTTTTGTAAAAAAAAAAACATTCTTTTTCCTTTTATATTTCAAATTACAGCTATCAAAAAATAGACAATAGTTTTATGTAAAATTTATTTCAGAACAAATTGGTATGCTTAGGAATCCAACATCTATGGCCAAATTAAAAATAAATAAAAAAATACTATAAAAATATTCTTGTCTTTTATATAGTTCATTTTTATAGACTGATAAACATGCATGTAAAACGAAGGACAGTTTTGTAAAAACACGTAGACACAGACGCCCAGCGTTTTGTCATTTTGTTATATGTATCTAAACAATTTAATAATTCATTCAGACCTCTCCATATACAGTATCTCATTTAAGAAGTACAAAATACATACATATTTACATCACAATGTGTAGAAATGGATTCGGAATGAAATTGTTTACAACACCATATATAATGTATAGTCATCGCTTGTCACGACTAAGTCCAGGAGCAATCACTTACAAACAAACATACATAACAATCAAGTCGAAAATATCACTCCAATGTAGGTCGGAAGATCGCATAAAGGTATACACGCTAACACATTGTATTCTGCGTCTATACCTTCATTTAGCGTCACATCATGTTCCAACTACGAAACCTGTTACACCGGTACAGTCAATTATTCATCAATCACAATCATCATACTATTGAGGACACCCTCAAGTGTCCATGTTGTAATTTTAACATAAAATAATATACAAAGCGCCAGAATTCACAATTACTCTATCATGAAAATCAGGATAATCCTATTGAGAAAACAGACAGGTTCACCAAGTATTATTATCTAGATAAAGTACAAAACATCATTCAATTCATTGAAAAATAGTAAGAAAATTTCTAGCTCCAATATTATCGAAACAATATCCGTGAAACAAACGATTTCTATTAGACTAAAAAACTGGTATAGCAATTAAGAAAATGCACACGGCGAAATCTGATCGCAAACAACCACTAAAGTCATAAATATTATCCAAAGGAAGATTCAATTAATGGTAGTACACATGAAAATCAGTGATTGTAATTCTGTCGCTCGACTAGTTCGTCCCGTTAACGGGACACGTGTCTCGATACAAATGTCTTGTGGCACCACATTATAACGTGAGGGTACAGTCTGTGATCGGTGCACACTCGCGACGTTCTCTACCAGCGCTTCTTGTGCTCGTCCATGCTGACCCCGCCGGGGCCCAGGTACACTATCATTAACAGCCCGCCGATCACCGACAGCGTCTACGAACAACGTGATACAATTTACTATTCATTATTCCTTACTGCAAATAACGTGATTAACTTTAACTGTTTTCACTGAGAATACCGTTTTGAATAACTTTTACTGTTCCTAACATAGGACATAGGAGCTTAAAATACATCTGCAGGATTAAAAACAACGACTGTCACTCTATCAGTAAATAAGTAACCATTTTTATTAGAACTGGTGACTTATTAGAACACCCACGTATATTATAGCCCATGTTACCCACACATGATGTAACTTTCCCTAGGGGAAAGAATTTTTAAAATAGTAACTGTTACTTTTACTGTTTTAATCATATCAAAAACAATAAACTCTTTCTTCTTTATATCGTTAGTGTGGACTAGTAAATTACTTTCATACAACTAGATAAACTAACTGAATCATTGGATTCAAACTATTTCGAAAAAATACAAGTCACTCTATCGATCAATCTAAGTCAGTTTCAGTCTAGACGGTGGCCAGTGAAACAGTTAAAATAACAGATAAAGCTCCGATATGAATAGCACTCGTCTTTGATTGGGTACGTGTTACGTTACCTGGAAGAAATCGTATTTGAGGAAATCCCTCAGGGGCTTGTAGGAGGGCACGGCCCACCACGCGTTGTGGTACAGGTTCAGCACCGACAGCACCAGCACGAGCAGCAGCGCCGACAGCTTCGTGCGGTACCCCACCGTCACCAGAACCATCAGGATGCTGCCCAAGATGTCTTGCACGATCTATGCCAATGAATACAATTAGAACCATGAAATACGTAATATGAGGGTGGTTTGAAATCTCAGCCTGATCGAGATTTGAGGGTAGTATGTAAACTTATTTATTTGCATTCGACAGCTCGTATAGAGACAAGGGAAGAATATGTGGAAAAATAAAACGTTTTTATTTTCTTCGTTTTCTTGGTTGGGTTGAGAACTTTTGTTTTGCACCTGTCACGCTTTGTTTACCTTCCTGATTGATGCAAATAGTTAATAGAGTGACGTGATCACACGATAATTAGGAGGTGATCTACGACTGCATTTTCGTCTAGTTGACGAAAGTTTAGTTATTATACACGAAATATTTTTAATTTTATTTAAATTTATATATTATACTAATTAATTATATAATAAATTTTACGAGTGAATTATAACTTTATTTCCCATTAAATCTGTCTTTGTTGCAACTGATTATATAACTTGCACCTTTCATTATTTTATCTAATGGTAAATCTGGCAAAGTATCAACGCCTATTCTATTTACATCTCGAATTAGGTACTTGAGGAATAAAAAGAAGCTGACACTACCACGTTATTTTGTTATGAAGACGGATGATAACTGATTAAGCCTTGGTTATGGGAGCAATTACAAAAGGTAACTGGGGCGTGCGATCAAGGTCATCATAAACAATATGCTTGAACATGAAAGTCCTGTTCATTCTGTGACCAGTGACCATAAAATATGTTATTTATGTCCACCAGAGGCTCGTAGGATGACAAAACATTGATGCATGAAATTCTAAAATAGAATTTGTGAGTCGCACAATAATGACGTATGTAGTAGTTGTATGGAATAATGATATATTGTTATACGTACTTCAAATCAGTTCTTATTAAACTAAACTAAAATGCCATGTAACCAGTTCTAATTTTTAATAAATACTTTTCATAATTTTCCTGTTTTTTTACTTCGCAGTCTTCTACCAGACGAATTTGTAGTTACTACATATCTACAAATATAGTTTAATTATCTAGGGTTAAAATCTGTTGTGTACTTTAAGATCTCGAGCGTATAGGCAGAGGGAAGCTACATTGGTTCATACTATTTATATATAGCTCGAGAAACTCGACAGCAGTGATTAGCGCTTTCAGTCTGCGATGCGGAAGTTAAGCAACTTTCCCAAGGACCGATCACGGGATGGGTGACCAGAAATTAACTTTTTCGGAATGCACGTTGTGCCGTCGGTCCCGACTGCGCTCGTAGTCCTTAGCCTTTATGCTATGACAGTTCTGCGTTCAATTCGACACTATTTTTATTGTAAGAGAATATAGCATTGCCAACAGACGGAAATTTTTATTCAATTAATCTAGCAATTTTTTTATTTTATACACAATTCGTCACATCATCGTCATGCTAAGATGCTAATTTACTATGCCTGACAAACTATAGAAAAAAACTATACAACCATTCAAACATATACTTATCTACATCAACATTCATCATAATTTGCACTTTTAAGTGGTTAAAAAGCACCGGTGACGTCATAAAACCGGCACTAAATCATTAACATTCATGAGGCAACATTAATGACATTTTATAATTTGTGTACATGTTTAAGTTTAGATTTTGTCATGAAAACGTTACTTAAGTTCTTATAAGATCAACACAGAAAAATAAACATGTACCCTGTTAAAGTTAATACCCTAATAAGTAAAAGTAATAATATAATGGTTATAAACAACTTGCAATTACATAATATTAGTATCCTTTCTATCCATAAATTTTTTGCAGTTTTTATTTGCTCTTTGTTTTATACATTAAGGTGTTAATTATACATTAAGTTTTATTCTAGAGTTATCATCAATGACCATATCATTTTGTATTTGATATAAAAATATGATTATTTTTAGTGTATTTGATGATTAAGGAAATACATAAAATATTTCATCTCAACTTCATAGAAACAAAGCTTTTATTATTAACTAAAAAAAAATTCAGTGGAGACTTGCAATATTTGATTTTTCCATTAAATTATATTAATAAAATTGATAATCACTCTCCCTTTGAATATAGAATAAAAAATGTAAATGATATAACAGTTAAGTGAAACAAAAGTATAGATCATCATGAATTAATAAAACATCATACCTGCAAGAAGGAGACTTCGAATCTGAGCAATGTGATGAACATAAAGGCTAGCAGCACGCGTCCGGCGAGCTGTAGGTAAGTCTTAGGACGGTTCTCGCCCAATGAAGGCACGCCAGCGAACAGGCTGCGGCCCTCCGCGCGAGCTTCAGCCACAACCAGTAGTAGCGCGCCTATCAAGGCCAGGTTACGTAACAAAAACTGCATGTCCCATAATATGCTGTATGCGAATGTCTGTAAACATTATTATCTAGTATTAAAAAAGGTAATCATACTTTCTTTGATTATAGATAGAGTAGGAGAATCTGAGATAACTAATAAAAAGTACAAGTTATTTCTTAGTTTAAAACTGGGACTTTTTTGTTATACTATTTTATATACACATCATAAACACATATACATAATTAGGTAAAATTTTCAATTTATTTATTTTTGAATAAATTAACATAGAAATACATGAAAGAAATCGGTACTCTTTATTCACAGAGGAAATTTAATCAAATATTTTCACATCAAATTTTTCTCTTTTCATACTAGACGTCATGTCTTGAAAATCCTAAAGTGTACATTCATCAATTCAACTTCATAGAAACAGAAGGTCATTTTACTACAAGTCTATGCAGACTTTTTTTTTTATTAATAATAAAATGTAATACTGTAAACATTACCTGTAAAACTACTATGAAAAACAGAAGTCCACAAGCTATGTCCACCTTCAGCCTCCCTAATACCATTACACATCCTCCAAGTTGACCCACCAAATTAACAATCTGAAAAAAGCAGGTACTTATGGAATATAAACAAATCATGTATTATCTTCAAAACTTTTAAAATATCTATTTGATTTTGTAGCAATGATGGTTTATTTTTTTTATATCATGTATGAATGTCATAACAGTAATCTATTTTATGTAAGTTCTTTCTAAATGAAAAATATTTCAGTTATTCTGTATTACAAGTGACAAAGATGGAATGGTTACTATGTTTTTTTAACGTAATTTAGAATATGTTTTTGTTTACTTTAGAATTAAAATTCTACTAACCATCATTCCTACTTAGGTTTTGAATCAATTAATCCTCTAAAACAAAACAAAGCATTAAGATAAAAACCAAGACTACCATAATAAAATTTATAACTTAGATATCACATTGATATAAAATGCTTAGGTGCTTCAATTAAATGGTGCATATATTAGAGAGTAAAACACACATGTGCACCCAAATATAACTTACAAAAGTCTCACTGAAATTTAAGGTTTTCGTATTATTATTAAAAGTAAATTAATTAGATAACATCACATTCATTGCTCCGATAACAACTAGCTTGAGCCAATGTATTACAGAAGTCTAAGACAATAAAGATACTGCAATGCAAAACCATAACAATAATTTCTCTATTGATGTAGCTGAGATATAAAACTTGGACCACAGAGATGACGGTATCAAGAAATAGGTGTGTCAGCTACTTGGGCATTGATGTTGTCACATTAAATTTTTAGATATCGGAATTTGATTCAAAGCACTTTTGTGATATTTAAGCATATTGTAATAGTGAAAACTCACCACAAACATTGTAGCAAGAAACTTGCCACATCCCCATGACATGTCCATGTAGTCACGCTGCTCTGACCACTGGAACCACATCCGAAGTCCATCTTCCAAGAATGTAGATATAAGACATAATCGAGCTACTGTAGGCAGCACATTCTTGCTTTTACGTATAACCTAAGTATAACCATTGAATGACATTACTACAACAATATATCTTTAAACTTTAATATTTTTTTTATAACTTTGCTAAGTACCCTAGATTTTGCTTGAAAGAATAAATTTTGCAGTAGCTATATATATGAAATTTAGGATTTTTAAGTCAAAATCGTTTAGAACAGATAATGATAAAAATCGAATCGTAATAGACATATGTTGAGTAATAAAATTGTTTTATCATATAATTTTATCCAACAGTAAGTGGGTTAGAAGGTGAACATCTGTAAACTTTCATGAATAGATTTCTGAAACTTACATTAATATAATAAAATAATTGTTTAAAATTTGGAATAAATGGTCAACAGCTTGTATAAAAGAGCCGTTTACATTAGAATATAGCAAATAAAATAATACGCCAACGAGAAAATAAGTTCGGTGACGTGACAGACAAATCAAAGTACACCAAAACTTTAATATTAAAAACGGGGCACATGACGCAAAGCATTCGGGCTTCACTTACCTGATCAGCAATGTCTTCAGCGGTTGATACAAATTCATTTGGAATTTGCATTTTTAGTGTATTATATGAAATTTCACCAGTAATCCAACAGAAATTTCACTTCACTCTCTGTATCTGCCTCACCCGTCACGTCAGACGTTAGCTGTCGATGTCGAATGACGTGTGGTTATTTGGAATACGTTTCCTATACAAGTTAGTGTGTAAAATTGGCAAAGCAAACAAATACTGACAATTATATCCAAAAATAACTGTAAAGCAATCTATAAAAAATTGAAATTGTTGACGATTTTAATTTAAAATATTAACAAAATCATAAATACAAAGATTAATTAAAAGACACTGGCTGACCGGATGTTTTCAAATGACGTAGAGATCCACAGACCAAGAAGAAGATACTTGCACAGACCTAATATAATAGTAGTAATTTGTTTCGTCCATTGGGACCATAGATAACCTCCAATAGATCATGAAGCGTTTGATTATAATGTAATATATATATCACGGAAGTATAAGAGAACTGATAGATTTAGAGTTGTTCAAAACGACTAAATAATATACAAAATATGAATAACACGCTGAAACTAAATGCTAAGAAAAACTATATATCTATATATCGATACTGCGAGAATAAATCGTTCACGAGTTTATTAGCGTTTATTATAGTTCACGCCCACGCATGATGATCGTTACTACATACTTAATAGGGTTAATCGTTAAGTAAGATTAGCGTGTTAAATTAATATACTAAGCGATTATTAACCACCTCTAGTTTGATTAAGCATTACCTATGTATGATTATAAAACTACCCTTGGAGCGTTTGTTTAGCCCAAAATTTGGCTGTATAGCTTAGTTCCTTCGCCTGTCCCGTGGATGAAACTACTACTCTACTACTACTACTACTACTACTAGCTACTTCCTTTACTTGGTAATATTATTTTTCTCTATGTTCTGTACGTATCTCCTTACTAGTCTGTGTTCTGTACTGAGAGTTTGTTTACAACAATACTTAATTTTTACTCTGGTTTCCCTTCAAAACGTATAAATACTTAATTTTAATGTTAATTAAAGAAGAAAATAATTGTTTTGTTAAATCTTAAAACAACATTATTCGCTGATTTATTTATTAAATCTTAATCTTGTCATCCAGAAGTTAGTACCTACAATAACACGATCTGAAAACATTTTCTGAAGGACCAAGTGAAAATTGCTTATTATAGATAAAAATAAATATTTAAATCTACATTCAAAGGAAAATTAAATATAGATTCTATATTTATCTCTTTCTCACTAATTATCATTTACTTTACAGGAAAATGTTAGAAGTTACTTGTAATGACCGTCTTGGAAAAAAAGTTAGAGTGAAATGTAATCCCGATGACACAGTTGGTGATCTAAAAAAGTTGATAGCAGCACAGACTGGGACCCGTTATGATAAAATAGTGTTGAAAAAATGGTACACTGTGTTCAAGGATCATATAAAATTGTCAGATTGTATCCTTTTGAAAACATCTTTTATTTTTTCCAGGTACCTAATAAAGTAATATTCTTCAGTGTCAAATTACAAATCTTATCTTGCTAAACCATAATAGATTATACACCAAAACCTTGCATTCAAATAGACACAATAGAGGGTTTATCTATTAGGCCCTGTTAGAGAAAAGAGGTTACTTGTACATGATGACCTATGGAAATATGTTGAAAGCCCAGCTGATCATAGAGATCCAGCAGCACAAAGGGGAGATCAAAAAACCTCTTTTCTCTAACAGGCCCAGATTGCAATGTGACTAAATGATAATCTGTAAATTCACATTGTATCCATTCATTAGTGAATATAAGCTGCAATGTATTTGGTTTTACATTTTCAGCTATACCTTCATTGCACAGTGTGGGCTTAGCCATATGTAATTTGAAATATTGTAAACACTGGAAATATCTATTTTTTTTTAAATTAGTGTGTAATTAAGTGTTTATACTTATGTAATATATCTCTTGTAATTTTTGTCATTATGGTTTTAAATGCGTTGCATTATTTTAATTATATATTGTAAATTATTGTTTGCTATGATCCACTACATAATTATGTTCAGATGAAATTCATGATGGCATGAATCTGGAGCTCTACTACCAATAGAAATAAAATAAATACTCATTTTTGTTTGTTGTTATTTATTTATCTTGCTAAGACAGTTATGTTTTAAGAGCCATATTACATCGCAACTGTGATTTCTGCGTGATTTTTCTCGGAAACAAAAACAAATTAACAATTTTGACTTGTCGAATAGTGAAGAATAACTCTTGGTATAGAAATTAGTGGCTCAACTTTTTGGAAATTTTGCTCATCTTTTTAATTAAATCCAAAATACCAGAGAAAGTTTTTCATAAAATGCGCAAAGACACTTTTTTGAAGTCCTGGATTGAGCTACTGTTCTTAACAAACGAAATAAAAGAAATAGAATGATATCTCTTATATAGTCGTAAAGTAAACAGTAGCTCGAAATTTTGAAATAGCACTGATTAAATATAGAAAAACAATTATATTACAAACCAAAAAACATCAAAAATTGCTTGAAGTTAACTTTGAATTTCTCTTAGCCACAACAATATTATTTAACAAAATTTATGCCAGATTAATGACTATTTCATAAGGAACAAAGTTATCATAATTTTAAAGGATAAATTTATTATATTATTTCAATAAATACGATAAATGTAAACGCAAAATCACTACAAAATAAGATGCAGCGGCCGTCTGAGCTCAGTACCACTCAGTACCGCGCGAGCGCTCCTCAACGTTAGACCTGTGTCGCATTTCTTCGCGCCATTTTTCGATCTAGATACGTTCGAGTGAGCGTAAATAAAGCAGTATAGTGGGACTTCCAACTTTGGTCACGAAGTTCGATTTATATGGAATTTATATAGCTTATTGAATTATTTCTAATACACATTTGTTATTTTCAGCATAGGTCGAAAGACCCCTAGGTATATTTGTATAAGAAAGTTAAAATATATATTTATATTATGAAATGCAAATAAAGCAAGGTACTTCTACTCTCAATACACTTATACTAGTACATAAAATTGGAGTGCATATTTGTAATATTAAAATAACCGCTTTTCACTAAATACATTTGTGTGTATACATGGTACATATACAAAAATAATATATTTTATCTGTCTGTCTGTTAGTTCTGGCTAATCTCTGAAACGGCTTGGCCAATTTTGAAGAGACTTTCACTAGAAGTTGATTTACGTAATGAGGATTAACTTAGACTTATGGCTCGATGCAATTCGACCGATATCAAATTTATCGGAGATCCGCATATGAAACAACTTTTTCTAAATTCAATATATTTTTAATCCCGGACGCAAAAACGACGCGGTGTTATAAGTTTGACATGTCTCTGTGTGTGTGTGTGTGTGTGGTGTGTTTGTGTCTTTTTGTGGCATCATAGTTCCCGAACGGATGAACCCATTTTGATTTTGTTTAAAAGGTGTATTAGTCGGGAGTGTTCTTCACTTTGATGAAAATCGATACAAGATGGCCGCGGCCACATAATGTCGGATCACATATTTTATCACCATTCCATCAATATGGGTATCAAATAAGAGGGCTTGAGTAGTAGAATACTGAACACTATGACAAATTTCAAATCCAAGATGGCCGCCACCAAAAATGTTGGATTACCTACATATTTTTCACGACTCCCTCAATACGGACATTAAATAAAAGGGCTTGAGTAGTAGAATACTGTTTACTATGACAAAATTTTATATACAAGATGGCCGCCGCCACAAAATGTTGGATTATCTATTTATTTATTTATTTATTTTGTACACACATACAATTTCATATGAACAAATGTAACAGACATTAGTACAAGGGCACTGCTTATTTCAAATTGAAATTTCTACCAGCAGGCCCAAAACAGGAAAAAGAAATACAATAAGGTAGTCAGTGTGTACCTCCTAAATAAATTAATATGGAATAAAAAAAACAAATTCAAATACCGGGAAAGAGAGAAAATAAAAATACATAACGGTTCAAACATTATATAAATAATAATATATGTATCTATAATATATAAAGATTAATAATACCTACACTATTCAATATCAACAACAGGAAAGATAATGATCCTTTACTCTTTTTTTGAACACAGAAATAGTGCGACTGTCACGTATATCGGTAGGCAAAGAGTTCCAGAGTCTAGCAGCATGAACAGTGAAGGAATATGAAGCAAAATCCGTTTTGTGTGAAGGAGTTTCAAGTCTTAAGGTGGGATCTGCAAAGAGCATCAGGAGAACGGAGAACGGAGAAAGGAGAAACGCTCACGCAGATAGGAAGGATAGACGGGATTATACAGGATGTTGAACAGAACACAGACAATCCTGACATATCTACGCTGACGAATGGGAAGCCACATGAGCTGCTTACGTAAATGTGACACATGATCATACTTACGAAGACCATAAATAAATCTAATCGCTAGATTTTGAAGTCGTTCAAGTTTGTTTAATAACTCCTCAGTGGCATCCAAGTAACATGCATCTGCATAGTCAAGAAGAGGTATAATTAAGGATTGTGCTAGTAACACTTTAGTTTTAAAAGGTAAAAAGTTTTGAAGGCATTTAAGTGTGTGAAATGAGAAGAAGGTCCTACGACTAACCTCAGATACATGGGCAGTCCATGATAGATTTGAATCCATTGTAATTCTAAGATTTTTTACAGTGTCTGTTAACTCGATCTGAGTCCCATCCAAAAGTAGGGGTGGTAAAGATAATGCAGAAATAGAATTAATATTAAACCTGCTACCTATCACAATGGCCTACCTTAACCTCCTCAATCGCAAATCAAACGAGCTATCCGGCACCATCGAGCTTTTCATTTGTTTATATACGGATATTGCCGTATTTTTTTGTAAAATTCAATATATTTTTATGATATGGTAAGTATGAGCAAATGAATCGTTCCTCGATATTATTGAACAGAAAATCAAAAGCAGATCGAGCGTTCTACCGCCTTCATACATTTGAAGTGATACCGCAGACCATGAGATTTGTGACCGATATTGACAGATAGTACAATCTCATGAGCAAACACTTGAGTTTTTCCATACATTTTATAAGTGCATGCGATTCGTGTGATATCGTTCATTCATATCGAATAACATCGCATCTAGCCATGAGAAAAGAACCTTAGGTTACTTTCCATTCGCATAAAGCCGCGGGCACAACTAGTTTAATATAATTCTAATTTACTACTTTTCCAAACAGGAAACAGTCCATGTTTCCTATGGATGACGAAAATATTTCGAAATCGTCGACGAAAAATATGGCACGCATATTTTTTAATTAATATTTATAATTTTATTGATATATTGTCATCGCTATTTATATTTATAGACTATGATTTGGCTAAACTTGTTTCTTTTAATTTTTGTCCGATCTTAGCAGTCGTGTTTTTAATTTTTAAATAATTTTTATATTTTATTCATTTTAGTGAGCAGTTAATTTTGTATACAGATTATATATTTTTAATGGACCTTTAATTTGATACCCATAAAGTTATGATTATAAAAAAAACATACTTTTTTAAATGGCGTCACACGTCCCCATACCTATTTAATATTAATAATTAAGCTAGTTTCACTGATACTCTATGTATTTTGTTGTTACTTAGGATGATGTTTCTAATGATACCCTGTACATTCATATCCGTTATATCTTTCAAAAGTTATGGTGCAATAAAAATACTCACATACATACATTAATTCTAAAAACAATAGACTCCTTTTCGAGAGCAGTCGTTTAAAATATTCGGGAATCGATAATGAATCTCACCATAGAAATACTAAAACAAATACAAAAATTGGGAAAAGTATCAAAATAGCTTGAACGTGGTTTCAACACAGTACTGTGGACTCGTGACCTTGAACAAGTTCTCGAGAACTCAAATCACAGAGTGAAAATTTGTCATATGGCTCTTAATACTTATCTTATTTTCTAGGGTTAAACTAGAAAAGAACTAACTATTATCAGTATAAGAAATAATGATTTTCAATGCTGGGACCTTGTATAGATATGGTGTTAATCTGCTTTTACCCATTAATCAGCCAAAAGTGTCCGCAAAACGTTATTCAAAAATTGTAACAAGTTACAGACATTATTCCATATTATAAGTGATAATTTGAAATAAACTTGCCATTCTGAGCTTCAGACTTCAAAAAACAAGAGGATAATTTTTGTATGAGCCCCATTCTCATGGGGCCTCAACATCATAGACCTATAGCCTCTACTAAAACTGTGAGGTTGTTTGTCAGCTTCACTTGAGCACATCTGGTATCTTGATTGTAGGTACAATCTTCTGAAGATGAGTTATTTCTCCAGGTATTTTCCATTTTCGGCATTGTATTTTGTCTTGCATAACCAAACTATTCCATTGTGCCCAATAACTTCTTGTTTGTCATTGCAGCCACCTTGCTTCATTTAGGCCTCGGTACACCAGCCTTGAACCACCCGACGATTGGCTTTAAATCGTTGTCAATTTGTGCCTTTGACAGGGTATCCTTCCGCTGTGAGTAACCTTACGGGCAAAGGCTCTTTACTTCATACCTAGAGCATTGCTTGCATCTTTCGACAAGATCTCCAAAGTGCGTCATCGTTTCTATGCTGCTTTGAAACGGTACTGTTAACCACCCTATTCATTGTCGCTAAACCATTATTCCCAGGGATGTTAGACGGCCACTTAGAAATCCTTGTACCGAGCTGGCTGAAAGCTGGTATTCGAGGGGGGAAACTGGTACGCCTGTGCTCCGCTCTGGCGCTGCCAATTCTGGGAGACAAACTGTGTGGGAAATCACATCAATAAAAAAAATGCACATTTCAATTACGTATACCGTTAATAGAGGGCAGTAATTATCGAACACTATTACGTTTTATGACATTAAGGAAATCTGATTGAAATGTTTTTTTACATGCATCTCTGAAACTTGTCGATTATTCTATGTTGTCAGTGTATTTTTGTCGATCAACGGGCCAACGGCCAATCTTGGTATTTTTGCATACAATGACTGAGTAGTCTTGGTACATGGTACGTGACACTAAAAACTAGTATGTATACCAAGAAGTTGGTACGTCTGACATCGATGATTATTCCTCCTTGCTCTAGGGCTATTCATCTAGGGATTACCCCCTTTTTTTGAAAGCCGTGACAGACAGACCCACCATTTCCCTAAGATTTTATGTTTACATATCGAACTGATAAATGGGGATTTAGTGGGCCATTAATTTATTTTATAAACCAAGAGCATGAATAACGCGACACTCCAAAAACTTAAAGAAACGTAATCTTTGTTTCGAATTAAGTAAAGTTTTTTTCTTCGACTAGGCTTTACTATTTAGATACCTTTGTATTCATATGACAGAAATAAATATAGGCGCCATTTTTAGTAAATGGCCGCCATATTAGTTTTCTTTTTGTTGTGTTTGCTTGGCGAAGGCTTTCCAATCCTCAAATTGTTATTAATGTTTTAAATTGCGAAGACCTTTTTGTATTTTACCAATACAAGCAATATTATCTTTCATAATTATTAAGTGTTTAGATATATAATGTCAGAAGTCGAAGGTAATAATTTTTAAATTTATACATGAGTACTTTCGAATATTGTTACTAAGCAGTTTTATTTTTCAGAATTTAACCAACAGAAACCTGGGAAAAGCGGCAAACAACACAATATATTACCAATATGGGGTAATGAACAAACTATGAATCTGAACCCTTTAATTTTAGCAAATATCCAAGGTTCTAGCTACTTCAAAGGTAGGTAAGCAAACAAACCAAAGCACAGGAGTTTGGATTACGAATGTAACACTTAAAGAATATTCTCTATCGAATATCTTAAATGAAATATGCGTTTGCAGTAATGTACCTTATACCCGTTTTTGTTGTCTGCAGTGCACTTATTCAAGTTGAAGACTTATCATGAAGTTGTGGACGAAATATATTACCAGGTGAATCACTTAGAGCCTTGGGAACGCGGCAGTCGCAAGACAGCTGGACAAACTGGCATGTGTGGCGGCGTGAGTATGTCGATCAAGATTTTAATTTTAGCTAAATAAAAAGACAATATTTTAGTTTTGCATTTGTGATTGATCATTTACTTTATTATCATGTACAGGTCCGTGGTGTAGGTGCTGGTGGTATAGTCTCTACAGCCTTCTGTCTGTTATATAAGTTGTACACTCTCCGGCTCACACGTAAACAAGTTAACGGCCTACTTCAGCACACTGACTCTCCCTACATCAGAGCTCTTGGTAGGTATGACGTTAAAGTTATTTATTCACTCTATTATGCAAAATAATTATAATAAACATAACTGTCCTTGTGTAATTAACTAAATTTGTGGTTTTGTTAAGAAACATCAGATAATAGGATAAGTTAAGCAGTGCTTGCTTCATGGAAAATTGATGGTTGCAGGGATATTCAATGTTGCCAGTTATGTTTAACAGTGATACCTTTCTATATCAAAATACTTTTTTCTTAATTTCCTCCCAAGTGTGCAACCGACATCACAAAGCACTACTAGTGGGTTCCATGCAGACACCTGTCTCAGGGAAGCAGGTCACAAGGTGCAGATGTGGGATCTGCCTCCCTGCGGCGGTGGCCTGCATTGGTACTTGAACCATGCAAGCATCAGCTTAATGCAGTTTAGACCCTTTAATTTTGTTACTAAAATCACATTCACTTTCCATAATCTGCATGTTTTATAAATCTTTGTATATTACAGTTATCAATTGTATTTTCGTTTTCATGGAAAAACACAACAAACTGGTTTGTTTGTATATTTTATAATATTTATATTATTATTATAATATTTTATAAAACTTATATCAGCTGCTATAAGATTGATGCTTGTTATATAACTCTGTTTTCTTGAGTAAAAAACAATATTGAGTGTCATATCTACTAGGTATTGCCTTGCATTGAAACCGAATGAATAAAAATATTTACTTAGTAATGTCAGAACACACTGCACATTAATACTACTATACTACACTTTAGTTTCATTCAATAACTAATTCCATCCAACAGGTTTCATGTACATAAGATACACACAGCCACCGGCAGATCTGTTTGACTGGTATGCAGATTATTTGGATGACGAAGAGGAGGTGGACCCCCGTGCTGGCGGCGGCGGGCCTACCACAGTAGGTGCGCTAGTACGCCAGATGCTGATCAAACTAGACTGGTTCAGCACACTGTTCCCCAGGATACCAGTCCCTATCCAAAAGCAGATTGAACAGAAGTAGGTAGATTTTTGTATTTTTTGATGGACTGCAGTTGTTTATAGTTTTATTTAGTGTTTTATCTAGCTCTAGGCAGTTACAAGAATGTTATTGATAAATTTTTCTGACATTTGATATACTTTAGAAGCAAAAGTCATGTTAGAGATAAGTCACATAATATGTTGAGTGCACAGTATTATGATAACAGTAGCAAGTGAACAACAACTGCATCGCTGTTTCATCCCACATACAAACTTCCATACTATGCAAAGAAATTCACGACGCGTTAAGCCGCACTATTAATGCATTATGTGGCTTCGCTTTAATGTGATTTTGCTTCTGCAAGTATCTGTGTATTTTTAATTTCTACTGTGAATATTCGTTTGCGCAGAGCAGACCTACCAATTCTGATGATGACCGAACGAACGTACGAATAATAGTGAGTCTTGTTTTAATAACTATAAAGTGTAAAATACAGCACCGTGAGTGTACGTCCTGTTTATACGACAGGACACGCGTGTGGATATTGGTGGATGACATGCTATAAATAATTTTGAAACAGCTAGAAATTTAGTCTACTGCACAGGGACATTAGACATCAGTGAGCCTCAATCAATTTGTACCTTCCACTTATTAGAATAAGTTGTCTGGATAATTATTAATTTTAAAAGCCGTTTTCAGCATCTTAGCTTCTTTATAGTATTTTATTTTGTGCATTTAGATATCAGTTCTGGGCCTTTATTCCCTATGACAATTGAGATTTCACACTTATCACGCGAAAATCACGTCAATATCTATTAGAGATACAAAAGACTCAAGCCTTTTAGGCTTCAATTTAAAGCTTCGATACCTTTTTTAAGACGTACCCAAAAAATAGGCCTACCAAAGTACCTTACTAAAAAGAGCTCGAGTCTCTTTCTCAAGCTTATGCCTTTTTTAAAGTACGACCCTTTTTTGAAGGCTGGAGTCGTAGTTGGAGCTTTAGCTAGTTGTAAAAAAAGCCTAGTCAGGTTATATCAGATCAGTCCTGCGATTCTGTAAAAATGCAAACCCAAATTAGAATTCACTCAGGTGTCCGAATTTATTTCAAAAAGCGGCATCTGCTCAACCTTACGTCGGTAATAACGTTTCGTGGCATAAGTGAAGTGAGTTTAGAAATGACATACGAATAGAATATCTGAGACATATATTCAATCAATTTTGTTTTGTATTTTTATACAAAAATGGAATCAATAGAATTTCTACACTAAATGACATAAATTCGGACACATTAATGAATTGGAATTCCGATCTGGATTTTTACAGAATTGCAGAGCTGATTATATAGAAATATAAGATATTATTGATTAAAGTATTATTTTCATTTATTGTTAAAATAATAATAAATAATGAAATGGTATACTGGAAATGTATTGTATAAATGTGAATATTTTTTTAATCGTTATAATAATTATAAAACTCACTTTTTTCGTTCCTGTATCATTCACTACATTTTTTCATATCTCATGACCAACCCCAAAGAGAAGGTAGGAGCCAAAAGCCTTTTTTTTTAATATACCTCGAGGGCTAATAGTTATAGGTGAACGTCTCTTCGATTATACCAAAAAACCCATACAGCGCGTCCAGAATGCATGTGCCCGATTCTGTTATAATGTTCCACGTAGAGCCCATATTACCCCATATCTGAATAGGGGAAAGTTATTGAATATGCAGTCTAGGCGTTCTCTACACTTTGCTTGTTTATTGTTTGGAATTATTAAAACACAGTCTCCCTCTTATCTATTTGGTAAGCTCTCATTCTCACAACGGAAGATTCGACTTGCTTCACGCCTGATTTGACAAAACATAGAACGGCTGCATTTCGTGGTAGTTTTCGATATTCCGCCACGAAATGTTGGAATAACATACCTCCTCCGATAAGAAGTTGTCATAGTGGAGTTTTAAAATTAATTTAAAAAATTCTCACTGAATCTGCAACAGGCTATAACCTTGTGATTGTGGGCTGCTTTCCAATTTCTGCGTGGGTGGGCGCTCTGCAAGGAGTTTTATTGGAATATTTATATATGTATTGGTTGTAATAGTTATGTATTATGATATTTTTATATACTTTTATTGCATTTTTAGTTTATTATATTTAAATGTTGTTATGAGCGTGGCATAGTGGTGCTCTCAAGAATATAAGGTTGCCACGGAAGATCAGCGTCGGACTGTCTAAGACATCCGACACATGCAGAGTGGTTGCCTTTTCAGTGTCATAGTATTATATCCTTTTTGTCTTTGTTTTCTTGTATGGTCACTTAATAAATAAGTTTCTTTCTTTCTATATGCCTTTTAAGCCTGTCAATAAGACTGCGAATTTAAACTAAACTAAAAAAAAGGCTTGAGTCTTTTTATCACTAGTCATCAGCCCTTTTTTTAATAAAGGTCGAGGGCTTAAAACCTATTTAGCCTGCTAGCCCTGTCAATAAGGCTGCAAGTCTAAAAAAAGGGCTAAAAGACTAGTCCTTTCTATCACTAATATTAATTCTTGCCCTAACTATGTCCCAGTAAGGAATCTGCCTATTCCATATGGTCCAAATCTGGTCAATGGGCGGCTTTGTTTTCAATGCTGGTACTGGCGAGCCAATTAAAAGCCGGCGTGTTTGAAAATTGGATGGTGGAATTTTTGACTTTATAAAATATATAGCTAAGTTCATATAGCTTACTTCTACATTTTCGAAGATGTTTCGTTCAATGTTCATAGACAACACAATTATTTCAAATATTTTAATACGATATTGACGTGGTTTGTAAGCAAAAAATCGAAATGTGGTCATAGCAGATAAGCGCCCTGGGATTCTTAATTTTATCAGTATAAAGCAAGTTTTTGATTTTCCTATACAATGCAGGTTAGCAGAACACAATAGGCAGTCTGCAGCGGCCAAGCCTGCGAGCAACTTCCGTGGCGGCGGCGGAGGCAGCGGTAGCGGCAGCTCCTACAACCCCGGCCGCATGGAGTCTGACCGCCGCGACCATGACGACCGGGACAAGAGGGACTACGGCGAACCTGACAGGTATTCATTTAAAGAATTTTTTTTTTCTTTTTTTTTATTATGAGATAGGGGGCAGACGAGCAGACGGATCACCTGATGGTAAGTGATTACCGTCGCCCATGGACACCTGCAACACCAGAGGGGCTACAAGCGCGCTGCCGGTCTTTGAGGGACGATTATGATCATAGGGAGGGAAGGGTTGAGGGGTAGAGGGAAGGGAATAGGGAGGGATTGGGCCTCCGGTGCCCTCACTCGCACGACGAAACACAACGCAAGCATTGCCTCACGTCGGTTTTCTGTGAGGCCGTGGTATCACTCCGGTCGAGCCGGCCCATTCATGCCGAAGCTTACTACAAATCCATCATTTACCCATATACTACTTTACAATAGTTATAATCATTTACTATAATCCGGTTCGAAGGACCAACATATAAGGAAAAGTCCTTATCATTAATTAATTTTCGTAGTTGTGAAGGGTGTATGTAATATGCTAAGAACAAACAATTTCAATTCAATCTTATGTCTCTTTCTATCTGACGGACATTTTGATTAACAGCCAGTCATATTTCTTCCCCATTCGATAGAGGCAAGGAGCGAGATCGATATAGAATAACAATATTTGCATTATTTTTGTTGCAGATATGCAAAAGATAGAGCGAAACGTGATGATAGAGGCGATAGAGGCAAGGAGCGAGATCGAGATCGGCGCGACAGAGATAGAGACCGCGATCGCGACAGGGACCGTCGCGACCGTGTACGCCACCGCTCGCGCTCACGCGACCGCACCCGTCATCGCTCGCGCTCTAGAGACCGCCGCTATAGATAATAGATGCATTGACACTCACCTAATGTTATTATGTGTTTTAAGAATTAATAATATCTACAGTTTATTAATTGTTTTATTCGACTATTCTTAAAAAAAAATGAATAATAATAGAAATAGAAGTTCTAGCTAGACCGTTATAACACCCTTACAAGTATGATTTTTAAGTTTATTTGTGTGCTCTCATGATTTATTTCAGTGTTTCTCACGTACTACTTTTAATCTATATCACATTTGATATGATAAGTACCTAACGTAAACGTGCCTCAATGTCCAACATTATATTAGTAAAAAGTCATGTTTGCCAATATTCACTGGAGAGCGAAGCTGATGTAAATTATACGGTTGCAGACTTCAGGTCACGTTTACTAGATAATTAGCTTTTACTTACTACTACTAGGTTACTACTTTTTTGAAGAAAAAAAAAATCTTTCCTGTAGTACTTGATAGGTACAATAACCCTATGGTTAAATAATCTCCCTATAGTAAAATAACCAATTTTTCTGGTTATAAGGCTGGCCACAAAAAATGTGGTTGTTTTTTTCCTTTTAAGTACCAGAGAGTATGCCCTTGAATAGTTTATAGACATGAACCCCGCATGTTTCGAAGTCGTGGCCGGGCTAGAAAGGATCAAACAGTATATATCTGTCACCATTAGTGTGTGAGGCACACGAAATATTAAGACTAGGTTGATAGTACAATGGTAAAGTGAAAGTCGTCGAGATTCTATTGAGACGCGATCATTACGTAAAGGTTAGCTTTCTTAGATGATACTAAACGGGGAGGGTGCCCGATGCATGGGGTCAAGGGCTGGCAAAAATCAGATTGCATTCTTAATGAATCAATAAAATAAGACAAATATCAAAGCTCTTGTTTGTAATAAAGCATTTTTTTACAACACAGTTGTTCAGAACACTTAAAAGACAAGCTTAAATTATAAATAATTCAATTCATATATCATAAAAAGAAATTTAACAAATGCTATGATTGTTTTCAATATGATTCTTCTACTATGCACCCTTTACATTTTCTTGCTGTTCAAATTTAGGAAACTTTTTCTCTACATCAGCCCAAGTCAGCTTACTATTTGACAGATCTTTCACAACCGAAGGCACTTCCGATAGTAACAACCTTACTTGGCCCATGCTATCTCTTTCTCTTAGAGTCACAGTATGTGGTTCTTTTATAGTATCAAAGTCAACTGTGATAGCATAAGGTACACCAAGCTCATCAGTTCTAGCATATCGCCGACCAATAGAGCCAGATGAGTCATCTACCTTATGTGAAACATCATTCTCTATCAATTCTTGTGATAGTTCCCGAACAAATTGATGGAATTCTGCATTGCCACTAAGAGGCAAGACAGCACATTTCATGGGTGCCACTGATGGAGGTAGAGAGAAATAAGTTCTTTGTTCATCACCTTCTCTCATCTTGAAATTATGTTCTAGAATACAATATAGGATTCTTCCTATGCCAAATGATGGTTCAATAACACTAGGTATTATCTCCTCTACGTGAACTGTTTTCTGAGTTTTCTTGACACTAACCAGATTTGAGGTCAATTTAAATTCTCCATTAGAAGTAGAGAGTGTATATGCACCATTACTTTCTAGACTATTTTGCATCAGCTCCAGTGCAGCATAATCTAAGGATGCCAAAGCATCATTTATAACCTTTGCATCTTTTTTGAATTCTTTTCCAATTGCAGCTTTGTTGGCTACTGCTTCCACAACCTCTACTTGTTTTGGTGCAGGAAGTTTCTTTTCTGCAGCAAGTCTGGTGCCTGTGGCTTTAGTATGTTGTGTCAAGTCATATGCAGATCGATCTGCACAACCAACACATTCAATCCAACCATAGCTTGAGAGGCATTCAGCATCCCAGCAGTCACAAGCATAGTGAGCCATCTCATTACCCATGTGCTGTCTGAATCTTAATTTGTTAGGGTCAATACCAACAGCTAAAAGATACAGGTGTATCCTGGCCATAAAGTAGCCCAATGTTTCATTGTTGACAGTACCATTAGCAACTGCTTCTCCTATAGTGACAACCTCAGCTGCTTTACCTTGCTCTTGATTGTTAGCAGAATAAAGCAACATCTTGGTATCCTTTATTGACTCAAACTTGGGATGGTCCTTGGAGTCACAAAAATGTTCAATTTCGCACATAGTAAATTCTCTTACACGTAGTAGACCAGATCGAGGAGAAATTTCATTTCGGAATGAATTTCCAATTTGAGCAGCTGCAAAAGGTAGTCGACCTTGATTGAATTCAAGAAGACGTTTGAAGTTTACAAAGATACCTTGAGCAGTTTCTGGCCGAAGAAAACCTTTCACCAAACCAGTGGGGCCAATCTGAGTATTAAACATGAGGTTAAACTCAATTGGTGGTGTCAGCTCATTGCCACTGATAGGTGACTTCATATCAAATCTTTTCATTAGTGCAGACATATCATCAGCTGTCATACCATCTAGTCTCACCAATATATCTTCAATCTCAGTTTTTAACTCAATTTTGGTATTTTTTTCACTCTTAATCTTTTCAAGATGTGCTTTGATCAAGTGGTCTAATCTAAAGCATTCACCAGTTTTGGTATCTTTGGTCATAAGATCAGCAAATCTTTCAACATGTCCAGAGGCTTTAAGAACAGGTTCAGGTGTTAAAATAGAGCAGTCAACTTCAAGCATTTGTTCTTGAAGAATAAAGTATTTTCTCCATAACTGGATCATGTTACTTTTAAGGGCACATCCCATAGGTCCAAAATCAAATTGACCAGTTATACCACCATAAATAGCAAAAGATTGATCATAGAAAAATCTCCTTTTGATCAAGTCTTCCATTTTAGCACGATCGAACAACTCCTCATTTGGAGCCAAGCTTAGCTCCTTATCTTCCAGTACTTTTTTTCTAGTTTTTAATTCAACAACAGCTTTTTTTATGTCTATTTCAGGAGCTTTTTCTTCTTTTAATTTGCGGACTAAATCACCCTGTTCCTTGACATTCGCACGAAGTGGCGCTAATATTTCTTCGATCTTAGGGTCTGCCATGATTCTTTCTCTTAATGGATTGGGGATTTTAATTTTTCTATGGAGTTTACTGCTTCCCCAGATTTGATCGTGAGAAAATCTAACTTGAAAGCTGTTGATTGGTAAACGACTACTAAAAGCACTACACTTGCGCACTACGAAGAGAATTAATCTCATTTAAATAAATTCTGCTCAACAGCTGTTTTAGATTACATTCGTTTGTTAACCGGCTAATAAACGAAATTATAAATTTTGATCGCGTGGAGCTGACGAAACATTTCGCTTACATTCTCTTTCATTCCCTTTGTCAAAATTAGTAATGACATTTTTTTTTTAGAATTGTCCGTTAAGGAAGCGAGCTTATCCCATACAGCCATTGTTTGTTGAAAATTATCGATGACAATGTAATCCATCCAAAACGTCTATTGTCAAAGTGATGCTTTTCTAATAATTTTGGCTTGTAGAGTAGAGTCTGGCAAGCGAAACGTGTCACAAGAAAAGGGCGGCAATTTCAAAAATTCTTAAGCAGTAAACACTGAATGTAGTACTGCAAAATAATTTTGATACTTTTATTAATTATATTTAATCTTAACATTTAGATATCAATTAAAATTATTTGTTTTGGAACATTTGACTAAAGCGTGACTGTTCTTAATTGTACAGTTAACAGCATATCAGTAGGCCTATTCACTAACTCAACTGACAACCAAGAAGCGTCATCACCGTAAAAAATAGACACTTTGATTGTGTCAAAATCACTATTTCGTATTCTCTATCAATGATGAGCAATTTCGAAATGTCAATATCGGCATTCTCCACTGGACTCCATTTTGACACTTGATTTCGTATCGATAAACTGTATTAAAGTAACATTGTTGCAAAGCATATTTGAAGTCGTCGCATAGTACCTCTTAAGCCATTTGTTGTTAAATTAAAGCGAAAAAAAATACGTATCCAATATTTTTCTATTATCTGATTGACGGACTAAATCGAATCTTTTTTTTAACCCATTCGTTATACCTATTGGCTAACAGCACTTATAATATTAAAAATTCATATTTGTCATTAATTAAAAGGGTGTTTTTTGCAACGACTTCTTTGTTTTTTTGTAATGAATATGGGCGACTCTGGCCACATTTTTTTTATAAATGTGATGTTAGCCAATTTTGATTTCTGGCCCTTATATTTATAATGTGTTCATAACACATACATGTCTCCTAAGGGATTTTCATCACAACCTTTTGCTCTGATCCAGAACCACTATCTATCAAATTAAATTAGTCAATATAAACACCAGATTACAATAAAAAAAACATTTATTTTTGTTACAATTAAGTGCCATGGATAAATTACATAATACAGGTGTCACAAAATCATCATGTTAATCACAATAGAAAATTTAAGATAAGATTTTGACTATGAATCAGACTAAAAATACTTTAGTCTGATTCATAGTCAAAATCTGTTTCTAAATATTCTACACCTGATAACAATGACAAGGAATCATCAGAGTCACTCTCTTCACTACTGTCTGCACCAACAGATATAATAAATTTTTCAAGTTCGTTTTCAACAATGCCATCTTTTAATTTGTAATCATTTTCGACATTTAAAACATGATCAGTGTATTTCTTCCAGTCACTAGGGGTAATTAAGTTAAAACACTCTATTATTAAGTTTTCCATTTCCTTTCCTGGTATTCCAATGTTTCTGCTTGCAATTTTTCTTTTTGCTTGACTCCAAACCATCTCTATTGGGTTTAAGTCACAATGATACGGTGGCAGCAATAAAAGTTCATGATTATGTTCTTTTAAAATCTCTTCAGCTTCATATACAGGCAATGTTTTCTTATCATTAACCAAACACATTAACTCTGCCTTTGTCTGATATTCCTCAAAATGTATTCCATTATTTACAAGCCATTTACGGATATCTGCTTTGGTATTAGACATTATAGGCGGTTTATTGATTTGTTTTATATGGTAGCTGGCATTATCCATAACAATTACACTGGGCTTACTTAAATTTGGTATTAATTTTTCTCTGACCCATTTCATAAAGTTCGATGAGTTCATATCATCATGATAATCAGCAGATTTGGATTTACTACTGAACACTAATAATGCACCAGGCACAAAACCTTCCTCAGATCCAGCATGCACAACAATATGCCGTTTTCCAGAGGATATCTTTGTAGTGACACCAGTTGTTGAAGGTCCTTGCCAAGACTTTTTAACTTTATAATTCTGATGTACATAAGTTTCATCAAGGTACACAATTTGCTTTCCTTCATTTCGTTTTATATTTATTTCTCTCAAATACTTGTGCCTCCATGCAGAAATCTGGTATTTTTCTATAAGCATAGAACGTTCATTTTCATTGCTTTTAAAAGAAAATCCATTCTTAAGCATAATTTTTCGTAAAGTCTCACGGCTACCACTGAATCCTATTGCATCTTTTAATTCATTGTGAAGGCTTCTTAATGTTGGAACAATTTTTTTCACACAGTAAAATTCATTTACTTTATTCCGAATTGCACTTAAATCAAAATTATCTAAAGCAGACACTGTTGGTTGATGAGGTCGTTTTTTCCCAGGAGTGTCCCATTTTCCTTTATTAATTAATGCTTCATTTTTTATCCTTCTTAGTGTCCTTATACTTACATCTATAAAAGATTAAACACTTTGAAACAAAGATATGTTAAATGTATTTAAAAGCAAATAATGATAGACACATACATCAAAATAATTTAAATACCTATTCAACTATGAATGCAATTTATGTTTAATTTAGTTAAGTTTATGTGCATATTTAGCATGTATAACAATTACATGGTTTGATTAGTTTCATGAATTCTGTGAATTTCCTTGTTAAACAAAACATTCTTATGACATCATTGGATGTCAACAATAAAAACCAATACATCATAAAAAACCTATGTAAATATTATAGGAATACTATCAATCTATCTTAAATCAAAACAAGAAAAGAGACCTGTCATTGAAGAAATTTTTTGTAAGTACTGCGTTTCCGAATTCAGCATTTCTTGTTTTTCTAAAGTTTTTATTGCATTTATCTCCTCCATTATTGGTTGAATATCACCATCACAGTTATCTGAAATAGAGCAATATTTTATAAAAAATATCTGTTTAGTTAATTACAGAAAATTAAAACGAAAGTATCAAAATTATAATACAAAACTAACCTAAAAAAGATACAACTTTATCTAATCGTTGTAATTTCTCCATGAAATTTTTATTTAATTCAGTTTTCACTTCAGTAAACTTGTCAATCATGATGGAAAGAAGTTTCCTCGATGAACTTTTTATCGGCTTCGACATAATTTTTAACCAAAAACACAAGTTCAAATTCGCAAAAACAACAAAATTCAATATTCTTGAATTGTCTAACGTAGTGTCAAACTGACAGTTCTATGTTGTTGCCATATGAAAACGGAAAAATAGGTGGTGTCACGTTTCGCTTGCCAAACTCTAATTGTTTTTAGCCACTGTTTTACCTTTAGAATAAGCGGAATACTTTCATATAGTATTATTTTTGTAATTAGTTTCGTAAAATGGAGCTTTGGTCGGAGCTACAGTTTGCGACTGTGTGGACATGCATTAAGTTAAAAATTGCTATCAGCAAAAACTCGAAGGAAAGCAGTGTTTGCTGACAATATTCGTTGTCTCTTTTCAACTTAAGCTGGAATAGATTGAGTGAATGAAAAAGGAACATTAGCTTTTTAATTATTTGTTTTCTTTTTTCCTTCTTATCTCAGTTTTTGACAGCACAAAGGAGTCGGCCATTTTATTGCTTTCTTCTAATGCTAAGAGCATTTGCCTAGAGTTGTTAGTTCAGTATTTGTTGAACTACAGTTTATAATATTATGAATAACATTGTACAAAATCGTATACGTATTTAGAGTAAATCCATAAATAGTTTTATGTGTTGAGTTCTGAAGAAAATGGACGATCCGAATAGAATGATGGCGCATAGCGGTGGTCTGATGGGGCCACAGGGCTACGGACTCCCGGGAGGTGAAGGTACTCCTGCAGCGGGAGAAGGAGAGGCACGTAAACAAGATATTGGTGAAATTCTCCAGCAAATTATGAACATAACAGATCAGAGTCTCGATGAAGCCCAAGCAAGAAAACACACATTGAATTGTCACAGAATGAAGCCTGCCCTATTTTCTGTACTGTGTGAAATCAAAGAGAAAACTGGTAAGTGTTATTGTAACATGATTTCAGAATTTCCGAATTAACTTGAGACATTATCAAAAGTATCTAACTAAAACATAAATATACTTAATGAAAATTTATTTTGAAATTAGGTTTATTTAAATTTATTTGTTCTATTTTTTATCAGTGCTGTCTCTTCGCAACACGCAAGAAGAGGAGCCCCCAGATCCACAGCTGATGCGCTTGGACAATATGCTGATTGCTGAGGGTGTTGCAGGTCCAGAGAAGGGAGGTGGTGCTGGTGCGGCTGCATCTGCATCGGCTGCTGCTGGTGAATGGGGTAATTAGCCTGTGAAGATTATTAAAAATGTTAATGACAATGTCCTTTTCTGACATAAGAGTACATTCAATATTGTTTACATTATTTATTCTAAGGGGTCTTGCGGGATTAGTGGCATGTTTATTATTTTTTAGGTTTCCAAGTTACAAGTAACTTAATTTCTAATTAGATTCTATTTTGCCACACAATACTGCATTGACATTGCTGTTACTTTTTGCAGAGTAAGTACATTGGTAACATTCTTTTATTTTGCTGCTACTTATTAGTAGTTGTTTAATGTTCATCTATTTTTAAAGGGACAACATGTTGCTGTACATATTGTTTTTTAAAGATTATTTAAATAACCATTATTATTGGATGCTTGTTAACATTAAACTAAGATTACTATAGAAAAAGTGACAGTGGTGTGGATGTGTCATAAATAGTTTCTTTTAATCACTTCTCTCTGCTAACTCAGCAAGAAATAGGGTCTGACGATATAGATAATTTTAGTTACTTACATTGGCATCAGCACTCACAGTTTATATAGCTTATATCGATGCTGGAAAGCAAAAACATTGTAACCTGCAAAACTGAAAATCTTTATATTATCCCAAAAAAAAACTTATTTCAGTGTAAATTGACTAAGGAACATTCAGTATGATGTACATACTAAAAAAACAATGCCAATCAATCTTTCTTGCAGAAGTAGAATTTTATTAAATAATCAAATTAATTTTTTATCACTAATTGACACCAAATAAACAAATTATTCTGTACCTCCTGTTATTCCAAATTTACTTTTCTTTATGCATCTATACCAAAAAATACTGTTCTTTTCTGTCTAATCCATAACTTGTATCATACTAAAGTATGATACAAATAAGACTATAATACAATTTTAATGGAATGTTGAAAAGAATGCTTGATAAAAAATAACCATTAAAAATACACTATTGCTTTTTGTATATATATATATATGTCACTGGAAAATAACAAGACACAAATTGATAAATTTCCTAGGAAATATATAAACTTTTGTAGGATTCTATGGATTGGTTGAATCATTCAGAATGTTATGAATAGATATATGTTAGTTTATAAATTTACCATGAGAAGTGGCAAATTGATAAATTTACAGAAATGTGAGCATAAAATAATACAATTTATTTCTAGTTTAGAATCCTATGAAAGTTAATAAATTTCCTAGGAAATTTATCATTATAAGGTTCTTGTTATTTTCTAGTGACATATACATATATTTATTTACAAGAGCTCATTATACAATTCTGCACATAAGATTAGATTTGGATTATGAACTTAATTTATGACATGTTAAAATGAGTTTATTTTTTAATCATGTAGCAAAATTAAAACAAGAGTATCACTTTTTATGTATGGTGTAAGTAAAGTAATAAAGCTTATTTACCATTATTATAATCTTACAAAAACAAGTATTATCATTGTGAAAATACTACATTGCATCAATTTGCATTAAAGATTTTTGTAAAATATTGGATATTACTCTTTTTTACATATTGTATAAATTGCTCTACTGTCAAGTTGGTATTTTGAAGATGTATCAGTCTTCAGGAGACACATAATTTTAAATAAATTATATCTCCTAAAAACTAACATAATGTAGATACTATTCTTCAGATAGGCTGTCATACTAATTATTCGATAATATTGATAATAAATTTGCATGCTTTTTATCTTATAAAAAAAAACTTGAAAAATTCACCAGTCCCAGGTAGGTCCTGATCCACCAAGATGGGACCTGGGTCTGGTAAATTTTTTAGGCATTTTTCTTTAAAATAATTAGCCATATGGTATTATAAATGCAAAATTATTATATTTAATATAATAATTGCTAGACTTGCGACGAATAGTATATTCAGTCATATGCTGAATAACGATATTTCGGCGAGCTTCCTGGCCTTGTAACCGAATATTAGGCGATAAGTATCGTGCCGGTATGTGGCGCCAAAAGTTGTATCAAAACAAAAAATAAAGTTGCGACAGAAATGGATCTTTTTTAAGTAATAATAATAAATATCACGTCATGACAATCCGTGGGTGTGAGCAAGAAAATATAAACTTCCGTTCTTTATCAAGAATACAGCAAAATATTTATCGGCGCCAGGTAGTAGTGTTTATTCAGAGTCTTTTCTCTGAAGCTGGACTAGTCTACGAGGAAAAAGAAGTGAACTACTTCCTAAAAATGCAGAAAGAATAATCTTTCTAAACCATAAAATTCCGCTTCTAAACTTTGATTACGACAACAATTCAAATATATAAGAAAGCGGTAAATTTTGTAATACAAAAGATGATTGTGTACTATCTGTTCTAAAGACTGATAATAATACTAGTATTATTACAAAATTAATCTTTTTTTTTATTTTACCAACTATCTCATTACATCAAAATATACTAGTTAAGTAATTGGTATTCGGCCGAATAGTGTGGACATAATCGAAATTCGGTCGAATATTACAAAAGCAGCCAAATAGGCCGAATACCGACCGAACCGAACCGAATATTCGTTGCAAGTCTAATAATTGCATGTTTTCTGTTGTCGCAATGATGTTGCATGTTGATGTGTCATGATTTAGACCTCGCTAGTCAGATAAAAAAACACACTGTGCATTCATTTCAGTTATTAGTTAGTCTGGTAAACGAGTGTAATATTATCTAAAGTTTTCAAACTATTTACCAATGGTTTTGTTGAAATTGTTTATATATTTTAATTTATTGAAAAATAATAAAGCCTCTTTTATAAAAAATAAAAGCTGCTGGTGATGCTTTTGCCATAAATATAGTGTGCATCAGCAAGGACAAGTGGGTCATTCTAACAGCTCCTAATCCTTCTACAATATTGAATAATAGATTAACTCAAATACAAACATAGAAATCCTAATAGTAATGTTAATATTTATCAGAGAATAACCGCATTAACTAAGTGTAGTGATTAGGTGGTTGAGGATGCATGTTGTTTGTTTCTGCTCCCGTTTGCCGCGACTTAAGGCACTGTGGCTCAAGCAGATAACGCGATCGAGCACTCGGACTACCGCGCGAAGCTCGCGCAGATCCGCCAGATCTACCACCAGGAACTGGACAAGTACGAGAATGCATGCAACGAGTTCACCACCCACGTCATGAACCTTCTACGCGAGCAGAGTCGCACCAGGCCTATCACACCAAAGGTATATCGTATACTACAATTTATCATTGACTAACCTAGAGTGCATTGAAAAATTGTTGGTGATGTCTATATATGTATTAAATTGAAGAACTTAGGAATTTTCTTATTTTGCCCACAAACAAAACGTTTTTAGTGGTTATTGTATTGACTATAGGGTGCACGGAAGTATGCCTCCGCCTGAGGTATGTGAGCGGCAGGACGGGGGATGTAAATGAATGTCAAGCTGACTCAGTCTTCCGTCGACCACCGTGACGGTTACACGATTCAGTTGTTTGTGCCAATTTGTTAGAAACATACATGAGATAAAATATCCTAACTTGAGTGCGCCAATTACAGAACAAGTAAAAAAAATTATTTACAATGTCCACGCTTTTTTGCTCAGACGAAAGGTTGACAAGGAAAGTATAGAACACAAGTATGATATGAACATTAATAAATTAGTAGTAGAGGCTACAGGAGTGTCAGCTCGTAGAGTAATGAGAACTTTATCTGAAGGAAATTCAAATCTGCCAATATCGGAAACCAGAAATTTTCGTCTCCACGGTAACCTTAACAAATAAAAAAGAGAAACCATATTGATTATTTCGATATGGGTGCAATATGAAGAAAAAATTTACCAGTTTTATACTGTTGATAAAAAAGTCCTAAGTATTCGTAAGCTGCTTGCAGTTTTAAAACATGGTGGTATCGTGACTGCGGTTGTACCTATTTAAGACTGCTTTTACACAAGATGGGATATTTCCTTAAGAAATGTAAATCTAGAAGACAATTTTGATTGAGAGATCCTGTATAGCTGATTGGCGAGGAAAGTATTTAAGAGATATACGGAAATATAGAAATTAAAATAGAAACATATACAATATTTATTTATTTGTCCTGATTTTTATCTGTCCTTAAATATCTCATCGTCTTGTCAATCGCATACCTCAGGCGGACGCACAGCTCTATAACAACAATACTAAGGTTTATTTTATTCCATTATTAACTCTATAAAAGCAACCTCAGCTATAGCAATAGTATATACATTGAATCGTAAATGAGGAGCTTTTATTCATCAAGTTTTCATAATTATATTTAATAATGTTTTATATTCTATTCATAGGAAATAGAGCGCATGGTCCAAATCATCCATAAAAAATTCAGCTCCATTCAAATGCAGTTGAAACAATCGACCTGCGAGGCCGTCATGATCTTGCGTTCTCGGTACGTATGGTCAACATATTATCTCTGTTAGCGTCACTAAAACCGCGAACAATCGCTCATAAATTACGCTTTAAAATCATATAAATGTCAAAATTCACATAAACGATCCGGTCAAAACGAAACTTGTGTGACATCAGCTCAACTTTGGCCTCGGTGTTTTTATTACGAGAGAAATGCAATGAGGAAGTATTTAAAAAAAAACATTAACTCCCGAAATCAAACTAGATGTCGCTACGGTACGTTCTTGATTTATCCATGACAACCCTTCCGGTTTTCTTTCATGTTTAAAAATATTAGTTTTCAAAACTCAATAAACAACTCATATTCTATTTGTACTTTTTCGTATTTGTATTGATATCTAAGTTTCGAATTTCAGTTTATTAATATGTTAGTTAAAAGGAACGGAAATGACTATCTTTGGTCCATTCGTTTCCTGCAAAAATCAACTTTTGCTAGAGTCGCCATCTAGTGGAGGTGCTTTTTTAGTGCTTTCGTTTTTTCTTCTTTCTACTTCCTCATTGCCACTTGCAGTTTCCTGGACGCGCGCAGAAAGCGGCGCAACTTCAGCAAGCAGGCGTCGGAGATCCTGAACGAGTACTTCTATTCGCACCTGTCCAATCCGTACCCGAGCGAGGAGGCCAAGGAGGAGCTGGCACGCAAGTGCGGCATCACCGTCTCGCAGGTACCGTTTGCTCCGCAGCTTCCTTGACGCGCGTCGGAAACGCTGCAACTTCACCAAGCAAGCGATCGAGCTGCTCAACCAATACTTTTATTCGCACCTCGCTAACCCCTACCCCAGTGAAGAGGTGAAGGAGGAACTCGCGAGGAGGTGCGGCATTACAGTGTCGTAGGTACTCGTACACACGAGATGCCTTCTTCCACAATTTACCCTACTCTACACTGTTTCTTTTTGCCCACACGATGGTATATTTTTTTAAAACGATACAACCATCATTAGATTGGTTGATTAGTATTCTTTGTAGACCTTTTCGATCGTGATCCTATATTTTTTTTTATATTTGATGGCATTTTACATTTCTAAAACCGAAGGGCTTTGATGATGACACTGATTTTGATATTTCTTATGTGTTTCAATCAGATTGGATAGTTATGTTTATTATTCGTAGGTGTCCAATTGGTTCGGCAACAAGCGTATCCGCTACAAGAAGAACATCGGTAAGGCACAGGAGGAGGCCAACCTGTACGCCGCGAAGAAGGCCGCCGGTAATTGACACTCAATTTACAGTTTCACACATAACACCACCACACGTATTATGTTACATGTTATCAGTTTACAATACAAACTTTACTTTTTTCAAGTATGAACACAGCAGCAATATATTTTATTTTATTTGGATGAAATATGTCTTATGACTCATAAGACTTAATAATAAGATTTCCAATGGTTTATCATTTAAATATTTTGGCTGCCACATTGCCACTTTACTATGTATTTAGTAGTATCACCACAATATAAGTTATAATTTTAACCCTGATGGTTGAAACTGCTCAAAATATAACATCATAAAAGAGTGTTGAGATTCGTGACATATTAGAATGGCGTTACTCAGTATACGAATTTCCGCACACAGACCTGCCCTGGCTGGGCGCGGGCAGGCGCGATGCTAACTCCCCTCCCAGAGCCACTTCATATTACAGTAAACATTGAAATTCTTTTGTACTAGTTGAATAACAAATTTACTCATCTGTATGTTTCCAAGAATTATAACAACATTCAATTAAAAACATTAATCTCACAATATGATTGAAAATTGAATTGGATTTTTTAAAATTCTTAGTGACACTCACCGGTCGTTTTTTTTAATTCGAATCATATAAAGATCTAAAAATTCTATAATCCAAAAACTTATAGATTCGATCAGGGAAACATCGCCCTAGTTTCAGATAGGTTCTTAAAATAAATCCGCGAGAAACATATTCGCGTGCCATCGTCGATACCCGACCGCAAAGATCTCGTCGCGTATTCGTCGATTCACAGAGTCGTTTCAAAGTTATTATCTCGAGGGGGCTTTTAAAACATTGAACCGCGACTGATGAGCGCTCAACGAAAATGGCGGGAATCGTCACGTAAACTCGAGTCGAACGTGTCGTAAAGTAGGAGCCGCACGTTGGCGCTCGTCAGTCCCGGGCCGGGGGGACCCTGCGTACCCCCGCGTACCCCGCGCGTACTGCACTCGTGCAGTGTTTGACCGGTGCTTGTTGTGGGCAGCTGCAGGCGCGTCGCCGTACTCGATGGGCGCGGCGTCGGGCACGGCGACCCCCATGATGTCCCCCGCGCCCACGCAGGACTCCATGGGCTACTCGCTGCCCGCGCCCCCCTACGACCAGCCCCAGCCCAGCTACGACGGCTCCATGGGCTACGACCACATGCACCAAGACCTCTCGCCCTAGACTACACACCCACACCTCAGGTACGTCACACCTATACATCGGACATTGTTTTTTAACGCAGGGGAAATTTATTTTTTATTAAGGGTTGCCAACATTATTTAATTTGCTCAACTACGATTTACAAATATCAAATTTTATCCCATTGTGTTTGGATTTGATTGATATTATATAACTGTTTCAAAGGCCATTCTTCCTACTTATCTAAAATCTTTTAACGGATCCTTATGGGCGAGACGAAATGAATATCTATGATATTACTGAATTCATTTACTGTCTTACGAAACCTTACAACTGGTGAAATCTCAAGCCTTAAACCAGGGCTCTCCGACTCCGCACCCGTCCTGAAAAGGACAGATTTAAGCGAAGCCGGCCTACCTGGTAAGACCTCCAGAGGGCTCTCGCGACGGGTTTTACCCGGGATTCGGCTATTTAGTTCTAATTAAGCTCATAAGTAGTTAACTAAATTTCAAACTGCTAAAGTGCCCGCCACGAAAGTAAACCCAAAATCTGTAATCGGGTATAAAAGTTAAATACGTAAAACACTTATGTTTTATCCCGCGGTGTATTCGCGGCGTTTCCAGTAAATTTTAAAACTGCCATTCCCATTCGGTTAGCATCTCTTTCTTGCAGTCGAATGCGTCCCTTGCCCCTTATCTTAAAGTAGCATATTTATTCATTCATTCTCATTTCATGCTATAAAAAAATAACATTATGCTGGTAGAACAACATGCTGGTCGTAATAGAGTGATGTTGTTACAGGTAGCGGGGGTATGATACGATTGTGCAGCTTCCACTGAATTGCCATTTACATTATCATAGTACGTATATGTATAAGTACATAGCCGGTGGGGACCGTGGCGGCGTGGGCCGGCGCGCCTCCTATTGCCTTAGGACGTAGGACATTGTATACTATTACGATAACACATAATTCTATTTAACGTATTTTTGGAAGGACATGTAATGAAATGTATTTTATTTGTATTATGATGATCGATTTATATGACTGTACCCCAGTATTTATTTAATGTTTGATATATGTTTTTAGTCGTAGTATCTTGCGAGGATTATGTTCTTAAACGCGGCAGTTATTTTAAGTATTGATATAATTGTATTCGAGCCAGTGAAACATTTGAATTGTTTGTATTTTTTTTTTACCTTTTTTTTTGTAATGTAATCATTGGGCAGTATTAATAATTTATAAAAGTAATCACATCGATTTGGCTGGGATCTCGGTTTTTATACGTTGACTAATTAATTCTCTATTATATATACGGTGGATTTAGATATACGATAGACGTAAGTTACACTAGTTTAATATTAAATGTAAGAATTCAGATATTTTGTGCTAATTAGTATCCAGTATGCGTGTATGTTTTTAGTGTTCTCGGCGACATAAACTGATGCTTTTTTCTAATTATATTATTAACATTTACTATAAAAATCAAGATACATTTTGTAAGAAAACTGTGAAGTTATTGAGAGCATATCTGAAACAAATTCTTTTGATAGTTTGTAATGAATTGATACACATCTGTCAGTACGAAATACGGAATAGCTCTTATGCCTTGCGTGTTATAGCGTGCGTGCGTATACGGACACGTTTACGTTGATGTCGCTCACGTTCTATTTCTCTCTCTAACAAAAAGCACTCCAAAGTTATGATAGAAAAGGATAGAGCATGCGATTTCGTGCTGATAGGTGATGGACCATCGTTATCATCACAGATTGCAGATTACCCCGGCAGTTTATGGGCGCGAAGCAGGCGGGCACGTGACATGATTGTGTGCAATTCATATTTTATTAGTGATGGTTGTGTTAGTGTATACGCACACGAGCGGGCGTACAGAGGGGAGAACAGATTTCTATATTGAAAACTTTATTTTTTTTAACCCTCTAAATATTTTGTTTTTTCGAGGTGCTGTAATGTCGATAGCACAAATTTCTTTTAGCCATAAATTTTAAGAGTGTTTACAATATTTTCGTCGTTCTGATTGTTCCAAGCAAAATGGAGAGCCACTTGTTTTAACTTTATTTCCACTTAGCGATAGTTTGAATTGGATAATTTCCTTAGCTTTAAGTTAATGTGTTCTAAAACAAAATATCTGAGGCGGTATACGAAATTCTAACGAAAAAATTTAATAATTGAAAATGTTTTTAAATTTTGCTGTGGAAAATTGGTAATGTAACACGTCGCTGAATTAACGCTTTAATCTCGACACGTGTATACTACAGATTATATATTATGAACCGTTTTAGAATAGACTTAAGTAATAAATTCATATGCATCAGCGGCGTGGACTTCATGTATACGACGACGAGTTCAATGTTATTGACCATCAACAATGACTAAATACATTTTTGTGTAGTTAATTATTTGTCGTTTTATTTATAATATGTAATAAATGAGAGAGTGGTCTTTGATGTCGATATTTGAAATTTAACCAGTAACATTTCGTCAGTAATTCAGGTTACCTTAAAATGCTATTTCAATTCAAAGGATTTTGAACTTTTACCACTAGCAAAATATGGTTTAAATCAGCTCAAGTTTTGTATAATCTAATTAGGTCGTAAATTCGTATTATTGCCACCGAATAAATCCCGAAATTAAAAGATATAAGTGCAGTTATCAGTGCCTCATTATTATGCAGATTTTCACGGTCGTTCGACTTCTTAAAATCATAGCGAGTTTGATTTGCATGATTTAAAAAAATACTCTATCTGGAAACAGCCAGTCCAGTTATATCGACAGCTGACTGGAGGACGATGTATTTAGCATACAGCATACACAAGTCAGGTTTATGGTGATACATTTGAGTTTAACTGTCAACAGAATAAGGTTTAAAACATTTTTTATAACTAAAGTGGCGTGCGTAACCAAGCTGTCGGGCCCGTTGACTCAATGTGGCCGCGACTGTCTTGGGTTCTCAAGCTACACGGACCAGGTAAAATTACCCGGTCAATACGGTTATTCGAACCACTCTTCGACTTGCACAATGGACTGTATGATTAAGAATATTGAAATGATTTTATTTTACCTTAATCGAAAAGCGATAGGATCAAATCGCTTACCTCGAAAACGGGCGGTTTTTTCCTGCGTGGAGCTCGCAATCCTTGGACACGGCATCAATTCTGAGCAGCTATCAGCTGATCGAGAATTTACAGTGGTTTACTTAAATTGGGAATTTACTCCCCCGGGAGTTGAAATGTCTAAAAATTTACTGAAACGACGGCGGTCGCGCTGCCCGGCGGCTTCTTAGTGAATCAACAAGAGTGCATTCCATTTCACAGTTTTGGTTTTAAAGTTCACTACCACAGCAAAATCGATCACGCTAAATATCTAACACTTATACTAGTCGATATGCTATCTGCATATAGACTAGTGTAAGATATCTGCATGTGGGTGCGGACGATTTGTGTTGGTCATTTTGATTGACATTGGTTTATCGACCAGCGAGTTTATTCTGCAGGGGGTCCCGCATGATAGAATAATGTCAATGAGCCATAACGCTTTTGCTACATATTTTTGTGTTGGTAACAAGTAAAAGTAAATCTTCCTTATTATCTACTATTTATATATATAAAAATTGATTGCTGTACGTTTATCTCGCTAAAACTCGAGAAAGGCTGGGTTAGTTTAGCTGATTTTGGTTTTCAAATGTTTGTTGTAGCTCAGGGAAGATTTAAACGGTAAATTAGAACGTTCATCTAGTATAGTATAAAACAAAGACGCTTCCCACTGTAGTTTTTTAAACTATACAACGGATTTTAATCAATATACAGAGTTCTTAAAGGGGAAGAGATTGGTTTACACAGACAGCGCTAAATAAATAGGACCACTATATTATCTTTTGTTCCTTAAGATACAAATAGAAATAAATATATATTAGTAGTGAATACATATATCTTTAGAAGTGCGACGCTTTATATCTTAAAGGACAAAAAAAAATATAGTGGTCCTATTTATGAGGCGCGGTGTGTATGTGTAATACCTAGATTATGATATTAAACAATCTAAGTTGAAATACAGGACCACGCAGGCGAGCCGCTGGCGAAAAGCTAATCGTTTTATAAAATGAATATATGTATAAAACCTACAATTATTGAAATGGCAACATATTAGAACTGGCTTATCTTGAATAATTAAAGGTGTTTGAACTTTCTATTGGCATGTTTACTATCAATGTTTATTGACCTTGAAACTATCGTTTACATAACAGGCAGGTGATATAACGCGATAGTGATGACTGTCATTGGCAGTGTCGTAGCCGAATTACTCGGTGTGTGCGAGTGTAAACAAGCACTGAAGCTTCTGTTATGTTACAAGCTATAAGCAGAGTAACTAAGACATTGACTAGGAATTGTTAGTAAGAAATTTCAAAATATTTGACGTTTTATATAAAAAATAACAGAAATAATTTCTCAGTACTAACTTTTAAGGTTATATGATTCATTTTATCATAATAATTATTATAATCTCCAAGTACTCATTAAAGGTTGAAACTGTTAAATGTCGTATAAGAAAACAAAATAACTTTCTCCAGGCTATTTCATTAACTGTGTCCACGTTTTCTAATCGATTATATGATTTGAACGAAGTTGCACAATAAAATTTATATTGTGGTGCAGCGTCGAAGATGACCAGCATTCACAGTGGGTACAAAGAGGAGGTGCACGAGGTGCCGATGTCTGTACTCATCCGGCCTTTTATACCTGAACTCGACGAGGCCAAGGTCAAGTCGCTCATGGACACTATACAGGTAATTTATTTTACGCTTGCTTTATAGAAAAATTACATGAAATAGATAGGTACCGTGCAATGTAAGTTTGTAAAATGTGCAATCTTGTTTACCCTTTGGCCCTAAAATTTCCTCTTTTGACTTAGAGTTTGTTAAATGTGTATTACCATACAACCTTTTTCTACATACTAATATTCGCTCGTATTTTAAAATAAAATTGATCTTGTCGATCTTATAATTTTGCGAAAACACAAACATGAATTTTGTTATTTTGATAATAGAATCGATTAAAAGTCTTTTAGTTCGTCACGGACGTTTTACTGGGTCTTTCAAGTGTTTACCCTGCAATATAAAAGATCTTATTAATGTCTGAAAAAACTCTTCACACAAAAATTACGTTTACAAAATTTATATTAGGGGTTAAAATATGAAATTGCCGTTTTATTGTAATAAGTTCCTTGTATTATCATAGAATCTTCATGGTTTGAGGTTTTCAAAAGAAACTTTTTTCACATGGTTTCTATGATGTTTTTCTTTTAAAAAATGTGAAACATTTGATTAACGACTTCCAATTGTTTTTATTATTCAACTTAGACAAGAAAGACAGTTACTGCTAAAATTCGAGTGATTTTTGAATACGAGTTCCGACGCGGAAGTAACGCAGCAGGAACAGCCGCAATATCAATGTTGCGTTTGGAGAGGGGTCTGCTAATGAACGCACCGTGCGATTTTATTTTAAACGCTTTCGTGATGGAAATTTCGACTTGAAGAACGAGCCACGAAGAAGACCACCCACATAGGTGAATAGCGATGAATTAAGAGAGATGGTGGAAGCCGATCCTAGTCAAACTACCCAGGAAATAGCAGCATGGTTAAACGTCACCTTACCCACAATATTGACTCGTTTTCGACAAATCAATAAAATAAAAAATGGGTGCTTCATGATTAGACTGATCTGCAGAAAGAAACACGTATTGAAACTTGTGTTGCCTTGTTGAACCGGTACAGAAATGAAGGAATATTGGATCGAATTGTGACATGTGATGAAAAGTGGATTCTTTATGATAACCGTAAAAGAAAAATACAATGGCTGACCCCAGGTGAAAAATATTAACTGTTTGGTGGTCTCAGCATGGTGTTATTCACTATAGTTTTCTCCAATCTGGTCAAGCAATAACGGCAGATGTCTATTGTGCCGAACTCCGAACAATGTTGGCAAAACTAGCAGTAAAACAGCCCCGACCCATGAATCGACTTCACCATTATTGCTCCATTACAACGCGAGACCTTATACAGCACGAGAAACCATCTTGACCCTTCAGGAATTGCAGTTTGAAACCATTCGTCATCCTCCGTATTCGCCAAACCGTGCTCCGACGGACTACCATTTTTTTCTTTAATTGGACAATTATCTACGTGACTAGAAGTTTTCTACCCAGGAGGCTGTACAAAATGCTTACACACAGTTTGTGGAGTCTAGATCCTTAGAGTTCTATCGCAAAGGCCTAAATGACCTTCCTATTAGATAGCAGCAATGTACCGATAATAATGATAACTATTTTGATTAAATAAATTTGTTTAAAATTAAAAATTAAACAATTTTGATTTTCAGTACAAATCGGCAAGTTCATACTTTAACCCCTATTATTTTGTTTCTTTTCTAAAATCGAGCTTCGCGGTCCCTATGATCGATTATCAAGAATTGAACTGAGCACCTGTAAAATCTAATTTCAAAGCTATAGCGATTGTGAATTATTTTTAGGATTATGTAACGTTTAAAATAGCCATCGCTTTATAATAAAAACTTAGTAACTTAAAGTTACGGTAACATTTACGTCTAACGCTTGCCTATTTTTTTTGTAAGATGATATTGCAATCGATATCACATGTCAAATAGTTGCAGCGTGAAGTTTGTGAATATTTTCAAAGTCAAATTAAAAGTAATCCCTTTTCAATTTGACATTTGAATTTTAAAATTCGATTACCTTTACAAGAGAAATGTTAACGGGTTATTTACACAAGGCCAATAGCCGAGACAATCCAATAAGCTGGTTGAGTAAAATTAGAAATCGTTCTGTATCATTGAACTGGCTTGAGGATTGTCTTCATTTACACGAGGCCAATACTGTTAGACTGTCGCGGCTGCTGGCCTCGTGTAAATGGTCCAAATATTCGCTTAATAATTTATGAATAACAACACGCGAGATTTAATGTTTATAAGAATTATAAATAAACTGGTTTATTTTAACACTCTGAAGTCAACTGAGTATTATTACATTCGATTATCTAAAGTATTATTTTTATCATGTTAATCCAATAACAAGTTACGTAAGTGATAATAACTTCGACCGAATCGATATGTACCTATGTAAAATTGAAAACAATAATGTACAGTAAACAGCACATTGAAGCTACTCATAACTAAAATTTCTCAAAACGATGAACTTTTAATAGTAATGAAACTCAAAATGAATTGTGCAAATTGAAGAAATTGTTATAGGTAACCTGAAATTGACTTTCCTAGGAACGGACGTACGAACACATACACGGCTGCTCGACCACAATATGTCAATATCTGCTATGAATTTTGATCTCTACTCTAAATATATTGAGGTTTAGAATTGAGTGGGGAAATTTGACAGTTATGTCTAATCTATTTTGTAAAGACGTGCATTTAACTGTCTGTACATTCAGATCTAAAAACTTGGTTTTATCGGTGTTTCTTAACCGGCGGTCCGCTGACCACTGGTCCCTGGAAGCATCCCAAATGACCCGTGGAGGAGAAGTTTTATTTATAGTTGCTACTTTATTTTCTCCCGTTCACTAAAATAAAAAGTGAAATTTATATTTTTTACATGCATGTTAAGGGTTACATTTACTTTCTTCACTAACAATAAATGACAAACAATGACAATTTCACTGCACACACAGCTTGACACAATTTTAAATAAAATTTTGTGTAGTTAGTAAATTTCTTTCTATTAAATATTTCTATTTACAGTTGTTTAAAATTTATCTTAAGTAATTTGATCCCTGGTAACTGAAAAATTAAGAACCACGGTGTTTAATAGTTACTCTTATTTATTAAAAAGGAACTGAGTGATACCAAATACAAAAATATTTTAGCCGTGACTGTACTTATTAGCAAACATATAAAAGTAATCAAGAGATAAGTTAATATATAATAATAACAAATTCTTAATGTGATAGAAAAATTTTAATCAGTGAAGGAAAGTATGATGTGATAATATCTACGATTAAAAACAAATAGCACGGTGGCGTAGTGGATAAGCGCCGCGGCCCGCGATCGTTGTCGTCAAGCAACTTTCGCAAGGGTCGGTCACGGGATGGGTGACCAAAATTATTATCTCGAGCTACGCCGTGCTTCGGAAGGCACGTTAAGCCGTTGGTCCCGGCTGCATTTGCAGTCGTTAATACCCTCCAATCCGTATTGGGCCAGCGTGGAGGGTCATGGCCCATACCTGCAGTGGGGACGTAAAGGGCTGATGATGATGATGAAAAACAAATACGCATTGAGAGTAAAGAAGCGTTTGCTTGTTTTCATATATTTTTCAGATGATGATACTTAAAAATAATCTTTAGATAAATTATATCAAAACCTATTTTTGTATAACGTATTTGGTACAATCTTTGCGATTTTTTTTCTATCAAGCCAGTTATTGAAATTTATGTTTCTGTTTTTAGCAAACAATCAACCTTATTTGGTAAATATTTAAACTTTAATACGAAGTGCGTAATGTTAAAAATCCATTGAGCAAATTTGACATACTGTGGTAAGCTGACGTGCAGCCGTGTGTACATAATACGTTCGATTTTTTAATTTTTTATGATTGATGATATACAAATTTTCTCAGAAAGAAGAGGAGACTGGAGAGGTGCCACCAATAGACGTGCTCTGGATTAAGGGGTCCGAAGGCGGCAACTATTACTACAGTTTCGGCGGGTGCCATCGGTACGCCGCGTACAAGCGTCTGAACCGTCCCACCATACCTGCTAAACTAATCCGCTCCACTGTCACCGACCTGCGCTCATACTTAGGCAGTAGTACGCCAGACTTGAAGTAATAATTATTCATATCTAAAAGTTGACAATTATGACCAAGCATAGCACATTATAGAAGATGAGAGGCGAGAGTATAGGTATTTTCGGTCTTATTGATTATCCATATAGGAAGCCGATAGTTGTGTTTACGGGTTAATCTGTTAAACCAGTAATCAACACATTAGAAAATCATTTTATAAGATTCATCCCATACTGTACGGATTAACCGCGAAAAATACAGCTGATAAATCTGAAAAAAAAAGAGATAGTAATGAGTTTTCAGGCGTGTGCTGGGCTGCCGCGGCGTTTATAGTTGTATTTCTCACTTTATTATATAAACTAAAAAGGACCTTATGTGTAAAGACAGCCGATTAATCATATTATAAAGGTTTACTTTTCACCTAGGGTTACTAACCGCAGGTCCCTGTATCTATATCGTTAAGCTGGTATGGGTTTAGGGCAGGTGCATTTCTGTAATATGGTCGGTAGCAGAACGTCAAAGCTAATATATGACATTTAACCTAATGCTCCATCGCATAAAACCTTGGCAGGCATTGCCGTTTAGTTGGTATGGGGTGGTTACAATAACACATACTACCGTCAGACGCGGATTGTCAGTCTCTATAGAAAAATAGTACCTACTGTCAGAATAGCCCGTCATTGAATATTAAAGTTATATTTATTAATGTTTTTTTGTTAGTGATTAGAACTGTTTTAATTAGGCTCTGTATATAAGGTAAAATAAAATAAGAGGCGCGACCGATTTCATATTTAAGTCTGTTACAAAAAAAGAATGGGCCACACTTAACAATTATTTATTATATTCATTAAAAGTTGAAGACTAAAGTGAATTTAAGTAGGGTTTAAGACAAATATTATTTTGTAATAAGTGTATAAATAAAACTATGATTATTCTCCGAAAGTGTATTTATTCTGGAGTGGTTCTTACCTAACTACAGAACAATAAGATATGCCATTTCTGTATAATATATTTACAAACATGAACATAAATAATATCAAAATACATTTACAATAGTCTCTCGGTGAGCGCACGCAGACGCACACATTCAAAAGCAAATTAATGAACACAAAATAACTCCATCCCATCTCAGAGTACCGGGGACAAAGTGGATTTTTAAGCATTTTTCATTAACAAAATAATTCGTTAGCACCAACAATTATTACAAGCGTGCTAACAACACAACTCTGATACACGCAGATTTCAATTTTAAACCAACCAAAAAATTTTTTTTTGTAGTTTTGACATTCAATGTATAGCCAGACGAGCTGTTGACTACATTCATTTATTACATAAGACATTGGGGGGGGGGGGGGGGGGGGTGTCAGTCAGGCCAAAAAAATATTTGCAAATAACAAAAAGACTCATTGATCACCTTCGAGCTGGATCCACTGCACGTCACTCGCATTTATTTACTGTTTTGATGGAAGACGTGACTAAAGCCACACACTACAACGGTGATAATGAGGTCTTTTGTAGAGGCGTCTCGTGCCTGAGAGGGGTGAAACGTTGAAAGGAACAAAACATCTAAGTATGTAATGAAACAAGATTCATCCTAAAATAAAATTACTTACAATATCTATTTATCGCATTACTTTCTTTTACAAAACTCACAGACCTAAAGTTTACTTTACAAAATGGCGACCCCATAGTAACTAGAGGCAATGAACTATTAGTTTCTGTCCGCCATTGATTTTCAACATACTGTTTGCACATTGACCTAATACAGTGTTTTTCTATAACTTATATTTTTAACAAATTACTTTCTGCATCGAAATATTTTTGAATTGTTTTTATAAACAGAAGGGGTCATAAAACTGCTACAAACATTTTACGTAATAAATGAATGACGCCTTACAATCAATATTCGGCAATGATCTATTACATTTGCCTAAAAATATTTATTTACAAATATATGAATAATAGATTAACATATTTTCGTAAGCTCGAAATATCGACAGATCCAAGGCGGGCAAAACCGGAGCATCTACCAATTCTACTAAATAAATTTTGTTTAAATCGAATCAAAACGGATAGAAACCGAACGAAACTACAGTTTTTAATGGTTTTTCTATTCTACTAAGTGACATACGATACAATTCCAGCTAAAATAGAAATTTAGTAGAATTGGCCCCCAGGATCGGCAGTTCCCAATGGGCGCCAAAATCATAAACTAGGTTGAGTGAAGTCCATTTTTTCGTAAAGAACCATTGCCGAATATCGATATTTGCTAACTTTACCCAACCTGATAACATATTGAAAGCGTATCGAAGCAAACAATACAGATTTTTTTTTTATTATTCTTGTATTAAACTACGATGGACAGTGAATTCTCAATAATTGCACCGACTAACGTGACCGTCAAAATTGCCAATGTGCCTGAGACGTTTGCTAGTCCTTGTAGTCTATCATTAAGAGAGTGCTTAAAGCAGATCATTAATATCAAATAAACTTTAAAATTAAAATGGGAAAATACTCCATTCGAAGTAAACAATATATTAGGGTAAAACGCGACATAATAATTCTTACCTAAAATAACAAAGATCAATGAAACTTCACATAATTAAAATGATTTTAATAATGAGAAAATAAATCAATATAAGAGTTGCTTCCTAGCCAAAACCCTATACAGTAAGTTCCAATTAATATGGTGAATTTTCGTACGCGCAGGTATTGTCTTGTTACAACAACAGAAGGTGTAAAATACAACGCAATATCTCGCTAACACTCAAGGGGCGTTAGGCGAGTGGATATTGGGGGATCGCACGATGGCGTGATACTAGAATCATTCTGATTGGTCGACATTTGCCGAGCTTCGATATTTAGTCTTTCGCACAGATTTGGTCCCACATCAGTAGTATCTTACTGCACGAGTGTTTATACAATAATTGTAATAGTTTTCCAAGAAATAAACTAAAACACTCTGCGATGTCTGCTTTAAGTATGCTCTTAATAAGAAGATGGGCAATGTTTTTTTGGCACCAAATAACTAAAAGTTGATACAATTCCATTATATCCCAGTCATATGAATTTTCATAATGCTATTAAACGGTCATCATCTGTCCCAACTTAATAGAAAAAATATATATCTATTATGATACAACAACCATATCATTTTTCTATATGTTTACATAATAACCTCTATATATTTCTTGATATTTTTACAATAACAACTTCTGAGACCCTGTCACCACGGACAAGATAAAATTTTCCGTATTCTATATTTTTCTTTTTAATATTCCACAAATTTAAAATGACAATTTTATATTTATTTTTCATATATATTTTAGTCAGAACTTTAAATAAAGCGGTGGTTTATTATAATAGAATTCTAAATAGAATTACATTAAGCATTTCACTGGCACTATTAAATTATTATAATATTTATTTTTATTAATTTATACATACATTTATCTTCAATATACATATACTACTTTATACTGGAAGTGGCAAAGTTAGATGAAGGTGCACAATTCTATCACTTCAACCATACTCAAAACAGCTCTCTAGTGTAAAAGAGGACAATTCTCGTTCCATTCAGATTACCACAATATGTTAAATTTCCATTGATTTTAAACTCTATACCCTCAATGCATTTAGGTTTAAAATTAAATGGAGAAATCGGTTAAATTGTATAATCTAATAAATTTCTGCTTACTACGTCAGAGTCGGCAAAATAGTGAAAAATTTGAAACAAAGAATATACATTTATACTAGCGTACCCTTTTTTTAAATATATATTTTATTATTCATCTTGTGGTGAATTTAAAAGCTCTTTTAACTATTTGCCCTATTTATTCCATCTAACTGATTCAGAAATATACTTTACACACCCACAACATACAACTTATACACCAGAGTTCACAATTAGAACACCAATCTTTATGCGTGGCCTGACATAGCCACTTCCATTTGTCAAATATTAAGATATTATTAGATTTCATCACTTTTAATATATAAATATTTTCATTTATCATTGTCGATTAGACTACACAAACATGGAAGGTAAACATTCATTGTGCTTGTAGCTTACACACTAATTTATTGAAACACCTCTTCACACTAGATGATAATAAATAACAATTATTTACATAGTGTACTAGAAACAGATCCATCGGGAGGATAGTGTAATATGGCAAGTGCCATTTGACTAACAGTGAGCTAATTATTTTAAATTGAATTTCGCGTTCAAAACGCTCGATTATCGTTTAAAAATAGCATTAATATTATATTTCACCAAGCGACAATCCCTTGCTCTCATAGTAATCCGGTAGACAAGTATTTAAGGCAGTCATCCGGATCGCGTGTTGTGTGCAATAACCGCTCGTATATATATAGTAGCAGATTTTTATATAACTTTAAAAATTAACTAAATTAACTGAGTTAAAGCATTTAATAAGAGAACAGTTTGACTAATGAAGATCGCTACAGGCATCACCACCTATTTAAAGCTATTGTAAATATGTAATATACCCAACAATAATTTTTAATATTACCACAGCAGAAAAATTATACCAGTATTCCATCTTCATACAAATTGCTATAACCCGAGTCATATCCACTAGCAGAAGTTAGCAGTTGGCAACACTGCTCAATATACAGACAGTCGCAAATGCGCCATAGTGACGCGTAAGCGGTGTGATTATTAAACAGTAGGCGTACATACAAGTATGCACTATATTGTACTGTTTTTCGTTGCGTGAATTGCTCAATAACTCAGGTAACGATTTTCACATTCCCTGTAGATTAAAAGATGATGTATCTTTTTGAACATTGGTCGCAATCCAGAGGCAAATATGTTACAGTCGATATTTTATAAGTGTTGATTATATATATATAAAAATATAATAATATTCTTCTCAAGATAGTAGATAAATATGATTAAAGTATGTACCAAACTGGTATTTGGATGGCCATATGGGTAATCCTATCGCGTGTCTACGTACCATGCGTAGGTAATTACATGAAAAACACAACCGATTCAAAATACTGCATAATCTTTCTATTGTGATAATACTTTCCCATGTCCAAATATATTTTTAGATTCATAAAAATTTTATTTTTTTCTTTTTATTCATTACTGGTGATAAAGCATAAGTAACTAACATGAACAAGTGAGACAGGCAGAGCCAAAGCGATCATGGTTTACAGTGGAATGTAGCAAGAAGTATTGAAAGTGAGCTCTTATTACTATTAAAATGCAGCAAGCTATTACATTAATTAGCAGTCATCTGTTTTATATTTTTTTGTAGGAAAAGGAAAAATCCAATTTCATGTCATGGGATGCATGATTTACCTCAAACAGGTTGTTTTATGACAAGTTTAAAATCAAATAGAAAATTATATAAAAACAATTAAAATCTTACATACTCTTATGTGTATAAGTAAATGGAATAAAAGAAATAACTATTGAATATAAATATTTGTTTTTCACTACAATAAATAAAATCAGTGTGCTTAGACCAAAGAAAATTATAAGATATTATTTTATTAAAATATATAACAGGAGCAGCTACTATTCCAGAATAAGTATTTCACTAATACCTATATTTTAAAATGAAATTGCATTGTCATAATTAACATTATTTGTACTATACAAACTATTCAACTCTTACAATTGGAATTGATGCCATCTTAATAATTAATATGTATTTTGATAATAAATCATTACATTGCATATGATTTAAAGTCACCTACCAGCCCACTGGTATTATATTAAAAGATGTGAAATTCATCTACATTTTTTTGTGGATAATATATTTTTTATTAAAAAAATAAGTCACATGACAAAGAACGAAACATTTGGCACTTTATCTCACTATTGTTATTTTAAATTCATGCAAAAACGCATTGCAAAATTACTAAAGACTAACATAGTGAAAAAATCTAAATTCGAGGTATTCAAGACCAAATGTAAAATGTGAATTTAAAAACTACAAATAGAATGTGTTACAATCAATGTATAATGGTCATCGAGTTGTGACAGTGATTTGTTAAGAATCAACTTTTGAGCATAAAGTTTTGTCATGACGAGTTCCACAGACAATTTTCTATTATTACATTAATTCATATACTATTTCACAATCCATTATCCTCTCAACGCGCCCGCTCGATTCTGAGTACGGATCGCGATCACCTCCATATTTTCTCACTTACAACAATATTAAAGCATTTTACGCACCATCAAAAATCCTAAAGTGCCGACAGATTTCTCGGAAAAGAAGAGAGCTATGGACGAAGAGAAGCATCCAGAACGACGTAAAACTTAGCCGTTCGGAGACGGAAAGCCCCTCACGTTGGTCCGTATAAACCTACATATACATACCTGCATCCGTGTCGCGTCCTCTTTTTAATATGCACATCGATTTAATCTACAATTCCAATACGGGTCTACCTAACTTACGTAACTTTAACGGTGAGATTCGCTCCGGAGCGCAGACGGTTCGTTCTATTTCGATTCGTTCACTGTACTCGATCACTTTCACTTTTGTTCGATACACGTTAGCACACACACCAACTGCGAATTGTTCACAAACGTTTCTTGTACCGTTGACAGCGTACAGCGTCCAGCGTCCTGTTCTCAGACCAGATCTGGATCGGCGTCCGTGTCTATGGGCGGCGGCGGCGCGAAGTGCAGCTCTCGCTCGGCGAGGCACAGCTGGCATCAGTCCAGCGCGCCGATACACTCCGGCTCTTCCCGCACGCACTCCTTAGGGAAATAGCCCGAACGATTGTCGCCCTGCCAATAATTATTAGTTATTTAAGATACGAGTGCGGAAAGTAAGGTTTTACCTTTAACGCTCAATTTTCTTACAATATTTTTCAATGCTTTTTGCGAGGAAATAAAACAAATATATAGGTTAATAAAACTAAGTATGTATTAAAGGTAAAAATTATTTGTTAAAATTAAACGTGATATTTGAACATGTTTTCGTGTTATACATTTTTATTTAAAAATATTCGTTCTAGGCTCCTTGAAATACTTTTGCCTCTAAAGTTTGACATATTCTCATCAATTTTTTTTAAATTCCTTTAGTGCTCGGCCAAAAAAAAATACTTTTAAGCACGTGTGCAGTAAAGGATTTCAGTACATTTTTATTTAAGACGTGTTTAAAGACTCACTTTCGGTGATTACAATGGATAAAAAAAATAGCGCTTTATGAGCAACTGCATTGAAAAATATAATATATAGATGGCGACTAACAATACGGTGGACAAAATGTTTATAAAAACTTTAATGTTTTCTATTACAGTATCTATCCCGCGATTCTGTAAAAATCCAAACCCGAATTCGAATTCACTTCAGAGAGCGGCATCTGCTCAAACTTGTATTGGTAATAACGTTTCGTGGCACAAGTAAAGTGAGTTTAGAAATGACATAGGAATAGAATATGTGAGACACGTATAATCAATCAATTTTTTTTTGTGTTTTTATAAGAAAATGGAATCAATATAATTTCTTCATTAAATGACGTGGATTTGGACACGTGAGTAAAGTCGAATTCGGGTTTGGCTTTTTAAAGAAACGCCCTGCTGATTATCATGGCATGCTAAATATGAGCACCTTGTTATCATGTTACGTATATCATATAGTATCAGTTTGACAATTGTTACCTTGTCTAGCGTATGTCTGGCGAGTATTACCTTGTCTAGTGTATGTGTCACGAGTGTTACCTTGTCTAGCATATGTGTGACGAGTGTTACCTTGTCTAGCGTATGTTACCTTGTCTAGCGTATGTGTGACGAGTGTTATCTTGTCTAGCGTATGTGTGACGAGTGTTATCTTGTCTAACGTATGTGTGACGAGTGTTACCTTGTCTAGCGTATGTGTGGCGAATGTTACCTTGTCTAGCGTATGTGTGACGAGTGTCACCTTGTCTAGCATATGTGTGACGAGTGTTACCTTGTCTAGCGTATGTGTGGCGAATGTTACCTTGTCTAGCGTATGTGTGACGAGTGTTACCTTGTCTAACGTATGTGTGACGAGTGTTACCTTGTCTAGCGTATGTGTGGCGAATGTTACCTTGTCTAGCGTATGTGTGACGAGTGTCACCTTGTCTAGCGTATGTGTGACGAGTGTTACCTTGTCTAGCGTATGTGTGACGAGTGTTACCTCGTTTAGCTTATTTGTGACGAATGTTACCTCGTTTAGCTTATTTGTGACGAGTGTTACCTTATCTAGCGTGCGGCCCTTCCACCAGCCCCGACTGTCCCCTTCCTTGCTGAGTACGAGTACTTTGGCTCCAGGTCTTAATGCCAGCTGTGAGGAGTCCAGCGGTCTGAAATCATGTATCACCGTCGCCACCACCCGCCGAAACGGCCATCGGAGATTCGAATTAAGCCTGCACAATCAAGTAAATCATATTACGACGAAGCATAAGAGAAAGTAATTCTGTCGACAAAACCGTAAAATTAAGAATGAAGATAATGCTTTAGAAGTTCTTTTTTCATAAAATAATATTATAATTTACAAGTATATTTGCAATGTTGATGGATCAATAAAAGGTGATACATACCCTACGAAGTTTTCCGAGAGACTTGTCTTCTCATAATAAGAGACGAGCTCGACTATGCTGCGGAAGAAACGCGACTCCGACAGGAAATAATGAGGCACCTGATCAATGGGCTTGCGACAGACGCGCATATGTTTCACAGTATTATCCGTCCTGTAAGAACCGATAATCCAATATTAAATTTAATTCAATATATAAACGTACTGATGGCAAATCAATATTTTATTTAAATAAAGTATTTATAACATATAAAAGAAAATAAATTTAAACTATTTATCTAAACTATATCTTAATATAATAACTATACTAAATAAAAAAATGTCTCCCAGATCATTGCCAACAGGTAAGGTACCCAGAAGGCTGCGAGCGTTTCCTCTTTGTATAGCCAAACTAATATTAGTATGGATAAATGCTTAAGTAACTCTTTCTGTTGCGTTTTCACGCCTAAACTATTGCAGAGACATTCTATAAAAATCCGAACCCGAATTCACTCGTATGTCTGAATTAATGTTATTTAGTGAAGAAATTCTATTGATTCCATTTTTTGTATAAAAATACAAAACAAAATTGATTAATCATACGTGTCTCAGATATTCTATTCCTATGTCATTTCGAAACTCACTTCACTTATGCCACGAAACGTTATAACCACTTCAATATTGAGCGGATGCCGCTTTTTGAAGTGAAATCTGGACATCTGAGTGAATTCGTACTCGGGTTTAGATTTTTATAGAATTACAGGGTTGAACTCGGAGCTTGGGAATTACTATGTATATAGTATTTCCAAAATGTTCTAAAACCGCTACCTCCTTGTGACGTTAATTTTATTTATTATTAAATTGAATCTTATAAATATACATATATGTGTTAGAATTCAATTATATTAAAGTATCGATTATAAAGTGTCATTTGTTTTGACTACACGTCATATAAATTCAACATACGAATTATTTTTGTAATACTTAAAAATCAGGAATGAGTTGTTATAATTTATGTAATTTAATACTTATTTTAATTTCTATGTTTAAATTCGATTACATTGTATCATCATTATTAATGTTAATTATGAAAGCTAACGACACTTCCGGTGTCGTTAGAAGTTGTAAAACGATACCACCGTTGCATATAAAAGTCATACCGCCAACTCGGAGCGGGCAGTTCGTTTTGTACTATCAGTGAATAAAGTGTCACAGCGATATTGGAGTTATTATTGTGAGAATCCTTACTGGTAGCTAAAATCAGAAGTGGGATAAAGGATTTCTACGCCTCACAAAGATTATAAGGTACGTGTATGTAATTTTTTTTTTTTAAACCTCTTAATGCTATGGTATTTCTTTTTGTTTGTTGTTTCCTGTTTTTGAGAGAAATTTCAGCGTTTAAAGTAGTGCAAATAAAAATAATAATAAGAAGTAACAGTTAGTTACCAATTTCCTTTGTTCGTTAATTTTATCAGGAATCAATTTACTGTAATTTTTTTTTTATATAATACACTTTTTAAGCAATTATGTGTAACACTTAGATGCGTTACTTGAGTCTAAAAATGGTAACGTACAAATAAGGCATTACTAAAGTTTATTTTAGTTATGTAACACCAATATTGAAGTAGAAAAATAGATGAATTTTATTAAAGTACCTTCATATTAATAGTTTATAATATAAATAATGTAATAAGTTTCCTATTCTTTTTCTATTTCCTTAAGAGTATAAACATATAATATCCTTCTTTTTCATTTCACTTTAATAATAATATACATAATAATATACATAATATACATAAACTGTGTAATTGACTATGAGCAAATTATGTCCTTTTTTTCTAAACGCTTTTCAGGATGAATGAAAATAACAAGAAAATTCTGGCTACTCCTTCGCCAACGCAGCACAGATCCCGCAGCCGAGAAAGAAGCAGCGAGGGGCATCACCGCCGCAGTAGGCGCAGTCGTACGCGTTGCTGCAGAGAGCGACGAAGCCGAGCATCGGACAGAAGCCGAAGTCCTATCCTGCCACAACGTCTTACGAGGAATCAAACTGATACTAAACGTACAAGCGACGACCGCAGAAACAGGTACTCAAGTTCACATTCATTTTCGAGACTACGATCTCCAAGTCAAGAGTCACGTAGCCCATCACATTATCACCACCGGTTGCGACGTGACTACCGGAGGTCAAAGCGCCAGACGCCCTTTTTGCCAGATCCATGTTCATCTGATCATGTCTCTGTCCCTTGTGTTGAGAACCCCCAAAATAGTCAAACGGTAAATAAAGACTTTTCGGGTATATCAAACTTTTTAAAATGCTTAGGCTCCAATGCTAATGATCTATCAAATTTTTTAAATTTTATAAATAACTTTACGAGATCAGATCAATCCTCAAAATTGCATTTTGATAAAAACATGATACCTGAATTTGACCCGACCGTAAAAAATCATAGAATTGATAAATGGATATCAAAGGTTAATGAATGTGCTCGTATCTATAAGTGGACCGATGAACAAATTCCACATTTTGCTCTACCTCGTTTGGTAGGTCATGCGAAAAATTGGTATGAGGGTTTACGTTCTGTCGAACTTACTTGGACTGTGTGGCAAGAATATTTAAAGAGAGCTTTTCCTTCAGAATCAAATTATGGAATACTCTTAACCGAAATGTTGGATAGGCGATTTAAGCTAGGGGAATCTATTGATAGTTACTATTACGAAAAAATGGTGCTTTTAAATACTTGTGAAATAATAGGTAAAAAAGCCGTAGATTGCATAATTCTAGGAATAGAAGACGGTAATCTTAGATCTAGTGCGTCATCAGGACGATTTACTGAACCTGAAGACTTGTTAGGTTTTCTTAAAGATAATTGTAGTAATCGACTTAACATTAAGAATTACAAAATGAAATCTAATTCAAATTATGATCTAACTTGTAATTTTTGTAAAAAGGTTGGTCATAGTATAAAACAATGTAGAGCTTTATTCTGTTACAATTGCAAGCAACATGGCCATCGACTAAACCAATGTAGCCAGCCCATAGTTAAGTGTGATACGTGTTCAAAGTTCGGACATAAAAAAGAAGATTGTTTTAAAAATAAAGCTAGGCCTACATTCGAAAAAAGAGTAATGAATATAGATGGAACTAATAGTCACAACTCTAAATTTTACAAACAAGTAACAATCAATAACGATCACAGAAATATTACAGCCTTTATTGATTTTGGAAGCGATTGTTCACTGATCAGTAAAAATTTAGTTGATTTATTTAATCTTAAAATTGAATATGGAAACATGCCTATTATTAAAGGAGTTGGTGAAACCACGTTTACTCCAATAGGTACGTGTATATTTCAGTTAGGTTTAGAATCTGTCGATTGTGACATCACCGCTTTTGTGGTATCTCCATTACAGTTGCACGTGCCATTATTAATAGGTCAAAATTTTACAGAACTACCACAAATATTAGTGATTAAAACAAATGATTGTCTAGAAATTCTAAACAGATCTCTTATGTTTCCTGACATTGTGGATAAAAGCGATTCTTGTATTAAAATTTTTACTTGTAAATCTTGTGTAATAAATAAAGTAGGATTAGTGAGTTGCTTCACAGATAATATTTTGAATGGACCTGTTTTCATACCAAGTTGTTATCGCAACTTTTCAGGAATAGAATATTGGGTACAAGAAGGCGTTTATTCAGTAGAACAAGGTAATGTTTCTATAATCGTGATAACTCCCTCTACTTCTCTTTACATAAAGTCGAACATGTTGTTAGTCAGAGCTGAGAATATAGAAACTGAGATCATCAAATCAAAGTCGTGTTTAAAAGCTACTACTAGTTATGAACAAATTAATAATACAGATATAAATATAAACGATGAACTTTCTCCTTTAGAAAAAAATGCAGTCTTTCAGTTGATTAAAAATTATCGTAGCTCTTTCGCTCAAAATCTTTCTGAGTTAGGGTGTACTAGTCTGACTGAGATGGCGTTACAGTTGACAGACCCTACACCGGTAGTTTACAGACCCTATAGATTAAGTCACAAAGATCGTGAAACTGTTCAGAATATGGTTAGCGACCTTTTGAAAAACGATATTATTGAAGAATCTTGCTCATCGTATGCAAGTCCAATTTTGCTCGTTTCAAAAAAAACTGGAGGTCAACGCTTATGTGTAGATTATAGAGCCCTTAATAGCCGTACGGTAAAAGATCATTTTCCTTTACCACGTGTCGAAGATCAATTGGATTCCCTTAGTGGTAGTAAATACTTTACTAGTCTAGATCTAACAAGTGGCTATTACCAAATACCAATAGCGCAACATTGTAGACACTTAACTGCATTTGTTACCCCTGAAGGACTGTATCAGTTCAAACGCATGCCATTTGGTTTGGTCAATGCTCCAGCGGTCTTTCAAAGAACCATTAATAAGGCATTAAAACTTAGTTCAACTGAATCGAGCAGTAAACCCGCTTTAGCATATATGGATGATCTTATAATTATATCTAAAGAATTTAATGAAGGCATTCAAAAAATTGAAAGTACTTTTAAATTATTAAATGAAGCTAATCTTACGTTAAATATTAAAAAATGCAAGTTTTTTCAGACAAATATAGAATATCTAGGCTTTGAAATTTCTTTTGATGGTATTAAACCAGGTAAAAATAAAATTGATGCTGTTGAAAATTTTCCAGCCCCAAAAAATGTACACGAAGTGAGACAGTTTATAGGATTAGCCAGTTATTTCCGAAGATTTATTAAAGATTTTTCAATTATTGCTCGTCCCTTAACCGATCTGACTAAAAATAACAACACTTGGAACTGGGGTAGTGACGAATCCAAAGCATTTAATACATTAAAGGATAAACTTGTTCAGAGACCAGTATTGGCTTTATACAACCCAAAATACATAACAGAATTGCATACTGACGCAAGTAAGATTGGACTGGCAGGTATTCTTTTACAAAAAGAAGATAATGACTCTTCCCCTCTTAGACCCGTGGCATTTTATAGCAGAAAAACTACTATTGATGAACAGAAATTTCATGCATACGAATTGGAAACTTTGGCTGTAATTGCATCTCTAAATAGGTTTAGAGTTTATTTATTAGGCATCCCATTTACTGTAGTCAGTGATTGTAATGCACTACGTGCAACATTTTGCAAACGAGATATTTTACCCAGAATTGCTCGATGGTGGTTAGTTCCCCAAGAATATGATTGTACCATTATATACCGTTCTAATCATAGCATGTCGCACGTAGATGCACTCAGTCGTAATCCAGTGGGTCTAGTACCTGTGGATGGTGAACCTGAGATACCTCGTGTTTTAGCAATAACGCAAAATGATTGGCTAGTAAGTTTACAGTTAACAGATCCTAAACTTTGTCATATTCGTGAAGTTTTAAGTGATACTAAATATAATGATCTGGTAGATATAAAACAGAATTTCATTGTCAAAGATAATAAATTATTCCGAAAAGTAGGAGATAATGAATTTAAGTGGGTCGTGCCCAAAGGCGCTAGGTGGCAAATATTGCGATTAAATCACGACGACGTAGGACATTTTTCTACAGAGAAAACTTTAGCTCGAATAAAGAAAGACTTTTGGTTTCCTAAAATGAAGAAATTCATTTCAAAATATGTGAAAGCTTGCATTAGTTGTGCATATGGCAAAGACACTAATGGAAAAAAAGAAGGGTTTTTACATCCTATACCTAAACTTGATATTCCTTTCCACACGGTTCACATAGATCACCTAGGACCATTCGTAAAAAGTATACGCGGTAATATGTACCTACTTTTAATCGTTGATGGTTATACAAAATTTTGTATAATAAAACCGTTGCGTAATTTGAAAACTGCTCCCACTGTTAAATCTTTGAATGAGGTATTTTCTACGTTTGGGTACCCTGCAAGGATTATATCTGACAGAGGTTCTAGTTTTACTTCAAAAGAATTCGAAAAATTTTGTGAAGATTCAAAAATTAAGCACGTATTGAATGCAGTCGCTTCTCCGAGATCGAACGGTCAGGTCGAGCGTTATAATCGGACAGTTTTGGATTCATTAACGTCTTACACTGACAGACTTGGGGAAACTAAATGGGATCAGGAATTAAATAAAATTCAATGGGGTTTAAATAACACTTTAAACAAAGGTATTGGAAAAACTCCATCTGAAGCATTATTTGGTCGTTCTTTTACACATGCTAACGAAAATATGTTTAGCGATCTGTTTTTAGAAACTAGAAAACCTAATCAAAATTTGGATGAAATAAGGACAGACATAACTGAGCACATTGAAAAAGATCAAATACAGCAAAAGAAACGTTTTGACAAAAATAGAAAAAAGGCTGTTGTTTACAATATAGGCGATTTAGTTAAAATAAAAAAGCAAATAGCATCAAATGATGGGCAAAGTAAAAAACTTTTACCTGTATTCTCAGGTCCCTACAAAATTACAAAAGTTTTGAAAAATGATAGGTATGAAGTATCAAGTATACCAGGTACCGACTTAGGGAAACGAAATTATAGTAATGTTTGGGCGGTCGATCAAATTCAACCCTGGATTAATACACATATTAATACTATTAGTTCGGACAGTGACGATGAATAGTTTTGATATTACTTTCAAAATAAAACAAAATATATTTATTCGCCACTATTTAATTAGTTAGTATAATAAGTTATTAAATTTGATAAAATACCGAGTTTATTTATATATTGATTTCATAAATAATGTTAAATCGTTAATTTTACGAATAAAACTTGATGAAATTACCAAGTATATCGATTTGTTGATTTTTCTTATAAAACTTGATGAAGTTGCCAAGTTTATTGATTTGTTGATGTCTAACTATATAACTTGATGAAGTTTCCAAGTTTATTGATTTGTTGATATTTAACTATATAACTTGATGAAGTTGCCAAGTTTATTGATTTATTGATATCTAACTATATAACTTGATGAAGTTGCCAAGTTTATTGATTTGTTGATATCTAACTATATAACTTGATGAAGTTGCCAAGTTTATTGATTTGTTGATATATAATATATAACTTGATGAAGTTGCCAAGTTTATTGATTTATTATTATAGACTTGATGAAATTTCCAAGTTAACTCATAAAATTTCATAAGATTACAGGTTAATTTATTTTACTCGCTGGCTGGACTTGGCGAGTTATCCAAGTACTGCTGACAGTTACTAGGTAGACTTGAGGTTCTCAAGCATACCTGTTGTTAGTTATATAATTTCGTTTACTTTGCCAAAGTAACACTTGTTATTAAGCTGTGTATATATAATGAAACTGAAAAAAAATATGTACTTAGAAGGCATATTCTAATGTTTTTGTGTTATATGTACTATTTTGATTGTATAATATAATAATCGTTGTGAAGTATTTTCCAGATGATTTAGTTAATAAGTTATGAATCTGTACAAATACATGCGTACAAGTGTATGATAACCCTTGCAAATGTAATAAATTTTGTAATTTATCATTTTGATTGTTTACATAAAAGTTTTTTTTTACCAGAGATTCATAATGATAAAATATAAGGTGTACATACATTATTTTTGGTCTTTTGATTTTAGTTTGAGGACAAACTTTTGTCAGTATGGCCGAATGTTAGAATTCAATTATATTAAAGTATCGATTATAAAGTGTCATTTGTTTTGACTACACGTCATATAAATTCAACATACGAATTATTTTTGTAATACTTAAAAATCAGGAATGAGTTGTTATAATTTATGTAATTTAATACTTATTTTAATTTCTATGTTTAAATTCGATTACATTGTATCATCATTATTAATGTTAATTATGAAAGCTAACGACACTTCCGGTGTCGTTAGAAGTTGTAAAACGATACCACCGTTGCATATAAAAGTCATACCGCCAACTCGGAGCGGGCAGTTCGTTTTGTACTATCAGTGAATAAAGTGTCACAGCGATATTGGAGTTATTATTGTGAGAATCCCTACTGGTAGCTAAAATATGTGTCTTATATATTTCTGATATCTGACTGACAGAATAAATAGAATTTCTCTTTTTAGCCAGCCATTATCCCCCTTCCAAAACAGCACTATGTTTATATAATTATATAATTTTAATTAATACAAATTATCGTGAATATAAGTCAAGCTGAATTAATATAATTTAACTTAGAAAATGATAATCAGATTGATTGTCGCCAAACGATAAATGTCGACCTTTGCCCCTCTATCTGCCTATTGCACAAAGTTCCATTTAAATTTTCTTTAGTTTAAAGCGACTATAGCGATACAAATTTTCAAATTTAGAACATTCATTAGAGCTTAAAGTCGTCATTAAACCGTGATGGACGTTTTTGCAACTGATCGTAAGACCTTTTATAATATGTCCGTATCTATCCTACAGTAGCTCGGTGCGTAGCGGATAAGCACCGCGGCCCGCAATCGTTGTAGTTAAGCCACTTTCGCAATGGTCGGTCACGGGATGGGTGACCAATGAATTATTATCTCGAGCTACTCCGTGCTTCGGAAGGTACGTTAAGCCGTTGATCCCGGCCGCATTTGCAGTCGTTAATACCCACCAATCCGCATTGAGCCGGTGTGGAGGGTCATGGCCAATCCTCCTTAGCCATCCATAAGGAAGGCCGCCTATGGTGTTGATGATGATGTTCTATCATATGCCCTCTCTATTCCATTATACGACACTCACTTGAGCGAGAGCGCGTAGTGCGTGTCCGTGTCCGCGTGGTGCGTGGGGTGCGGGCGCACGCGCAGCAGGAACGTGCCGTCCACGCGCCGCTCCAGGCGCGCCGTCGCCATGTCGCGACCCATCTCGCCCACGTACCTGACAATATTATAACGTTGCAGGTAGTTCAGTCTACTTTAACAATTGAAAATAAACTTAAAAATATTATTCTGTGTTACCCAGACGGGAAATCTTTCAAACTACAAGCGAAAAAGTAACAAATTCTTGGAAGATTCGTCAGTCCTGTTGGGTCCTGGACAGCTCAGTGGTCGTAGCAGCCGCCCGGATTGCGAAATGTCATGGATTCGAGTCCCATCACAGAGTGTCAGGGACAAAGTGGATTTTCTAGGCATTTTTCATTAAGAATAGTCTTTAGAAATTTACTGAACATATCACAATGGACTTAATATGTAATAATGCTCACCACATGTAGTAATGCAAGGCGTGGTCGGGAGCGTGCTGATGCGGGGGCAGCGGCGGGGCGGGGGCGGCGCCTCCCCCGCAGCGGCCCGACAGCGCGATACACTCCTTGTGCGCGCACGCGTTACACACCGTGCACAGGTAACCCTGCACATGACACACCTCACATACAGCGCGATACACTCCTTGTGCGCACACGCGTTACACACCGTGCTCAGGTAACCCTGCACATGACACACCTCACATACAGCGCGATACACTCCTTGTGCGCACACGCGTTACACACCGTGCACAGGTAACCCTGCACATGACACACCTCACATACAGCGCGATACACTCCTTGTGCGCACACGCGTTACACACCGTGCACAGGTAACCCTGCACATGACACACCTCACATACAGCGCGATACACTCCTTGTGCGCACACGCGTTACACACCGTGCACAGGTAACCCTGCACATGACACACCTCACATACAGCGCGATACACTCCTTGTGCGCACACGCGTTACACACCGTGCACAGGTAACCCTGCACATGACACACCTCACATACAGCGCGATACACTCCTTGTGCGCGCACGCGTTACACACCGTGCACAGGTAACCCTGCACATGACACACCTCACATACAGCGCGATACACTCCTTATGCGCGCACGCGTTACACACCGTGCACAGGTAACCCTGCACATGACACACCTCACATACAGCGCGATACACTCCTTGTGCGCGCACGCGTTACACACCGTGCACAGGTAACCCTGCACATGACACACCTCACATACAGCGCGATACGCGTTACATTTTTTATGCCTTTTGACTTCACTTTTGCTTATATATCAGTTTTGTCAATCTATCTTACAAAACTTTTGGGGGAGACTATCTATTTTACTATATTTACGTCATTTTTAATAGTAACTGTGTTGTAATAGTCCAGTAGTCATGAATCGTGTTTAAGTATAGCTACTATCCACATACCTGAAAAATCCTTCCTTTCAGAAATTTTGAACAATGATGACACGTCGCAGGCTTCTCGAATGTGTGTAATACGAACTTATGGTTTGTACTACGACATCCGGCAGGTTCTAAATTATCTCTGAAACAAATTTTATACATCAAGGCTAAAGTTTTAAACCCGTTTCTTTTGCATAAGCGAGAAGAAGGTATAATAATAAAATACACTTATTAAATATTATGCACGCGTATCGCTTTTGTATTTATATTAGACCGAATATAATGATGGCTGAATTATTAAACTATTAGTCGCTCCAGATAGAAGTGTGGGGCTCAGAGTGCGCTAGGAGAGCGTGTCAGTACTCACATGGCGTCGCGGATGGCCTTGACCCACTTGCGCTTGCAGTCGTCGGTGCGCGCGTACAGCGTGTAGGTGGCGTCCTTGGTGCGCCGCACCAGGTAGAAGTGCGAGGCCCAGCGCGCGTCGCCGCGCAGCGTCCGCCGCCCGCAACCCTCCTCCACGCGGTACTCGGCCAGCCGCACGCCCACGCGGTACGAGTACTGGTTGTCCTGGAGAATCCAACACAGATCACGTCTCATGCATTACGGCTGGATCACACGTTTGGCAGCGATCCGTTTCACGTGTTCATAGAGTATTTGTGTTGTTATCGTAAAAACAATACGTTTCGATTCGAGAAGACAGAACTGGACTGTAAGTTTAAATAGGTAGATCGGTGGTTCCTGACCTTTTACTGATAGTTAGAAATCTGATTTACGGATACTATCGATCGACAATCTGGTATCGTTGTTCAACAGACATTATTAACATACACATTACGTTAATTTACCTACATTTGCACTCATTATTAAAACTGTATATGAAAAATAATAGACGATGCTTTAAACTCATAGAAAATGCAACGGGTTCTCTTAATGCTGGACTGAACGTGATAAAAATTTATTAAGATATGAGCAAGGCATTTGATTTCGCATTAGATATAAGCGATGCTTTATTGAATTGCATAAAAGGTTACTTAAAAAACCGCACGAAATCCGTAGAAATTTCCAAATTTGAAGGCAATATCAAGAAATGTTTTGTAATTGGAAAGCACACGTTGACAATAATAACCAAACTACAGATTTATTTATGCTTTAATTAAGGCAGTGGTCTCATGTTATAAAGGCAATTCAGTGGATGCGATCAGAGCTTTCACGCTTCAGAAAAAAATGTGTAAGATCGATTTATTATGCAAGTTATTTGGACACATGTAAACCTTTATTTGAAGCTTTGAAGATTTTGCCAATCCCATGTTTATATACTTATATATTTGAAATGGTAGTTTTTGTTAAATATGTTTAAACAAAACAAGTGCTTTGTACTGAGTAGACTTACTCATTCCTAGTCAAAAACTAGTAATAATATCCAATAATGAGTACTGTATGGCGATCCATACATATAATCATCATCTAATCAGATAAAAATCTTAACATTTAATGAATTCAGAAATCTTTTGTTTTATTTTTAATAAATTAATAATATTATACAATAAATGACATTGACATGTTGAAAATTAACATTTTTGTATTTATTTTTTAATTATTAGATAAAGATGTTGAAATTATTTTTATTACATCAATTTGATTTATTGCAAGTGACAATAAGTATTTTATTAATAATTATTTTGGAATTATGTAAACATTTTGATGTTTTTTTATTATTATTAGTTAATAAGGACATGAATGAATTATAATATTTGCACGTCGTCTTGACAACAAAATATGCTGGGCATTTAAAATTGTTTGTAAACATATTTGCGCAAATAATTATTTTATTATTATTATTATTTACAAATCCCGTCACATAATAAGACCGCTAAAGTCAGTGGAACGGGTATGATTACATATTGTAACAGTCGCGTCTAGCATCAGTGTCCGACCGAAAGTTCGGTTTCCAGAAATAACGGGATTTCACTTTCGGTGGCAAACCTGCTGAAACTAAGAACAAAACCAAAACTGTATTCGAGAGTTCTTTCGCTGTGATCGGGTGGTTTTTTTCGGCGCGTTGTTTTCCGTCCAATCTGCAACTAATAAATTTTGAGCGTCCATGTATATAACTGTGTCGTGACTGGCTCGTGTTTGCAATACGTTTTGTTTGTTGGAAGTTTACGTGTGATTTATTTTGAATTCGATACATTTTATCACGTGATATAGCAGTTATATTAAGAACAAGTGTCACGTTAATTTTTAACTATTCCCAAGCACTTGTAATCCACGATACCACCGCGTACGTAAAAATACACCCGGCCCGAGTTATATAGGTATATGTACATTTACAATCAACAGTAGAATGGCGTTCATAAATCGCGCACTGCGCAGGTACTTCGCTAACGGCGACTTTAACGTGACAATAACTAATACGAGTTGAATATATTAGATTCACTTACCTTAACGGGCTTGCAAAGCAGCATGAGTTTGTCGAACACGAACACGTATCTCGTGCGCAGCTTCTGATCTTCGTGCGCCTTTACCTTGGCAGATTATACAACGTGTCGTTTTACGTACAATAAATATAAATATTCATGTCTATACACTCATTGTAAATATAGAGACGCGAAGACTATTTTATTATATTCTAAGACTATTTGTGCACTTGCGTACTTATTTACCGTCAAAGGAATTTGCAGATTCATACCGAAAACTGGTATTGAAGTAAATTTACTTTATACTAGCTCTCCGCCAGCGACTCCGCCCGCGTGGTCGCTAGGGAACTGTTTATTTGAATAGCGATATCGTGACACAGATATAATTACAATGACAAATTAAAATAGTATAAATGGGTACTATAGCAACATTTTAATTCCCTACACAAACTTCCACTCCCATTTTCATCCCTTTATTAGCTGTTTCGGAATAAAATATAGCCTATGTTCACCGCATAATATGATGTAGCTTCCTGTAGGTGAAAAAATTTTAATAATCGGTCCAGGGGACTAATTGTCTAACTTTAAATCTTTCGGTTTGAAAGATGTTGTATAACCATTGCTTGTTTCTGAAGACAGTTGAAAAAAAGTATTTGTATTATGCAGCAATGGTTGTGCAACACCTTTCAAACTGAAAGCGATTGCAATAGATTTAAAATTAGACAATCAGGGGGCAGTAGTTTTGGTGTCTATTCGTTGCAAACAAATAAACAATCAAATCTCATTTCTGTATAATATTAGTATTGAAATATAGATCTTTTCGAGATTCCAGGTTCAACTCCCGGTCGATTCAATTTAGAAAATAAACATTTCTATATTTCTCAAGTCTGGGTGTTAATAATTGAAGAAGACATTACAATTAATAAAGATAATATTACATTACTTTAATTAAATAAATATATAATTACCTTCAACTCGCCGTCCAATAGCAGCCGTCCGTAGGCAGCGAGACCCGCGCCGCCCGCGCCCTGCGCCCCTCCCTCCCAGTCTATTATGCTCTCCTGTTACATAACGTACAAATACAATGAGGAAGTATTTAAAAAAAAAACATTAGTTCCCGAAATCAAACTAGATGTCACTAAGGTACCTTCGTGATTTCTCCATGACAGGTTTTCTTTCATGTATAAAAGAAAAATAATTTTCAAAACTCAATAAACAACTCATATTCTATTTGTACTTTTTCGTATTTGTATTGATTGATATCTAACTTTAGAACTTGGCAAAATTCAGTTTTTTAATATGTTAGTTAAAAGGAACGGAAATGACTATCTTTGGTCCATTTGTTTTCTGCAAAAATCAACTTTTGCTATAGTCGCCATCTAGTGTTTTTTTCTTTTTTTTAAATACTTCTTCGTTAAAAAACAAACGAGCAACCACGAATCAGACTCGCGTACGAATGGTTCTCTACCATTATCTATAAAAACGCAAAAAATTGGTATATTTTTTGTTTTAGTATTTCTTGTTATAGGGGTAACAGAATTATATCATCTGTGATATATTTTAAGAGTATAGGTAACACGGTACCTGAGAAACAGTCTGGTGATACACAAACGGACAGCCGAGTCTTACTAATAAGGTCCCGTTTTTATATGGAGACCTAAAAAGAACACTTTGGTTTATGGAATGCCAGAAATACTAAACTTTTACTTAGTAAAAATAATTGATATGGATCAGAGATATTTTGTAGCTAGTATATTAAATAGGAAAAACAATTTAAAAATAACACATGAAAAGATCGGAAGACATTCTAATTAAAAGATTAAATTAATTGTTATTAGCTTCCAAAATTAGGTGGTGGAATTAAACAGAATGCCCTAATCGCAACAGTGTAAAATATTTCTTTCTTTGTTTAATCGGCATTTCAACCGTTCATATATCAAAAAATTCAATTCATTTAATCAATACATAAATCCGTATATTTTTCATATATCTTTAAAAATTTTTCAAATGTTGCTCTTACAACATATAGTGATTTAAAACATCTGAAACTCACCTGTACTTTGGCGAGTAACGTTAGTACTTCACTGTCCCTCTTGACTTCATTGATGTATTGTGCTACGTCTACCATGGCCTCCTTCGCGCGCTCCAACCCTCGGAACTCCTCGTGATTCTACACATCGAGTGAATCAATTATTGCAAATAATATCGGTATTATTTAATTTTAATTAAGTCATAATAAGTGTCACTCACGGGTTGAGTTTCGTGAACGAGTTTATCTAACAATAGGTGGTATTTGAGAACCCTCTGCATAGGCACCGACAGAATATCCCGCAACTGTATTCGGCCATCACTGTGTTCTTTCTGACATTTCTGAAATAAAAAAAAAAGTAAATATTGGCAGACATGAGTGTAGGGTAGGAATTAGTAACCTGCGGTTCGTGAGCTGCATACGGCTCTTAAGTTCCATTAAAAAAAAATACATATTTTACTATAGAAATCCTAAATCATGAAATCGATCCACAGTTGCGTATGCATACTATAACTATATTTAAACGAAATCTTTCAGGGACCATTAAAAATTGTGAAAATTTGTAAATTGTATTTCTTGGCTCTTCCATCTCACAAAGTTGCCAACCCCTGGTCTAACGGTCTCATTGTATAGCCAAATCTCCACATCCGCGAGGAGAGTACTATATAGGGCGACAGATTGAGCACACTGACCGCGAGCTGCTTGCTGAATGTGGAGTCTCGTGCGTCGAGCGTCTTGAGCGTGTCCTGCGCATGCGTGAGGTTGCTGCAGTAGTCGCCGTACAGCAGCAGCCGCTCGCGCCACGCCAGGAACACGTCCGCCAGCCGCGGCGCGCCGCTGCCCGGCACGCACGCCTCCGTCGCCAACTTCAACTGGCGCAGCAAGCCCGAGTGTATCTCGTGCAATTCCTGTTCATGACAACCGAAAATGTACAATCGCAAACACCGGTGTACACACGAAACGAAAATTGATACACATTTTCTTTTCTGGTAATGTTAAATAATAAAACTATTATTTTATGCTCGTTGTCACGTGACCGCAAACGGTGGGTGACGTTCTTACTCATATCAGAACTTAGAGAATGCAACCTTACGATATTCGTTTCAGAATGCCTTGACGCCATAACGATATAATAACAGAAGTGGAGCTTTCGCGGGAAATTATGAAATTTAAATTTATTTTTAGATTTTAACTTATATGAATGATATTTTTTTAAATATTTATAAAAATAAAAATAAATTTGTCTGTACCCCCATTATTATGTCTATTGTAGTCAAATTCTAATAATTTATACTAGCTTATCATGATAAATCATTTTTTTTTATATATATATATATCCTGCTCGAAAAACCATGACGATATTTGCCACAGCTTTAAATGATTGATGTTGATATAATCGAAACTGTCAATGATTGTATTACAATTTTATATGAAACAGCTGATTATTTTTTCGTGAATTCAGGGTTACTCTCATAGTAAAAGTTGTTCAATATGCTTAACTAATCCACCACACGATGTCCTGGCATATAGGTATTACATCTTAATAGAAAAGTGGATAATAAGATGTGTGTAATATTATCGCATAAAATATTATATTTACAAATGATTACCGACATAGCAGACACATATACTGTAAAGATCATTTGTAACATCTCACCTTTATCCCGAAAAATATAACTTGTAAGTCCTGAGGTTTCAAATACGGCGTGAGTGGTCTAAGAAAATACTTGATTATTTTGCTCAGTACGTCCACGTAATTGCATTCAGTGTCTACTAGTTCCCTTATAACGTAGTCCCTCTTTTCTAGACTGTGCGACGATGTCGCTAGCTGAAACACGAAATTATTTATTCATATTACAGTCCAAATGAACTCGTGCCACTAACGCGTATATTCATAAGCAATTATACAAAAACCAAAATAAAACACGTAAGACATTCTAAAACAAAACTCTTACTAAAAACATGTGTATCGCTAAAAGACTCCCAATTAACTAACTACAGGTGTACAATATATTTGTCGGACACGAGAAATAACGTGTGTTATGAATTAATTCAGAAAGTGCGCGGAACAACTCGAGAAACTTTTACTTGTTTCCTCGAGACGGAATTTCATGGCTGAGATATGACAGCGGCAGCGCGGCGGCGGCCGGTGAGACATGGCGATTAGACCGACCCCTCAGGCGTGAAATCTTTATCATAGCGATTATAGAATACTAGTTCATTAATTTAACAGAGATATTTAGTAATGGAAAAGGTAATACTTTACGGCAATTATATCGGTAGCAATTCGATAGTATCATTATAATCTAACCCTTTTTTAATTTAATTAAAATTGATTCGGTTTCCGTCTGTTGAGAATGTAATATCGAATTCGAAATTGTATCAAATCTATCTATTTGAAACTGTTATTAAATCCACAATCAATAATATATTTTTGAGAGAGCGCATGAATTAAATTACCCAAAAAAAACAACTGAAAAAATAAATCTGTAATTTAACAGTGATAAAATTAAATCAGTGTAAATCAAGTTACGTTATTATTTTTGAAAGGGTTCTTAGATACAATTAAACTTATTTACAACTTGAAGCTTATTCAACTTAATTAAGCAACTAATGCCTGACTAAACCATAGGGTAAAGTTATACTAGTGATACAGTTTTCCGTATCTTTATCTGTAAAATTCAACTATATCTTATATTGAGGTACTTTTTTAACGAATTGAAGCGAGTATATTTATCAAAAATGTAATTTCTAAAAAATATTATACAGCGAGGGGTTATTTCTCGTGTCACTACAAAAGTGTCATAGGCAAATAAATTGAAAAGAAAAAAAAAGAAAAAATCATAGTGCAGCGTACTGTATTGAAAGCGGGTGGGTGTGTCGCGGCGGGCGGGTGCAGACGCGCGCTCTTGACGGCGCACAGGTCGTGGTAGATCTCCTCGTCGTGGATGCGCGCGCAGTAGCTCGCGTACTCACCGACCTCGCCCGCGCCGCCGCCGCTGCGCAACCGCCGCCGTTAGACACCCATAACGTGCAGCGAGCGATACGTACTCACACGCGCACCGATCATCTTTTTACATTGTTTTTAACATAAACTAACCCCCCTTTTTAAATTTGATACAACTAGAGTCTCCAGCTGTGAAAACCCCTGAAAATTCCATCTCGAATTTGCGTGACCGCAAGTGCTGGATAATATACTCCGGAAAGTATGCAATATTTCGTCCGAAAACTTCCCGGTGTCCCCTGAATTATGATAAATCAGGGGATAGTATAAAGTCACTTTCTTTTGACGCAACAATGAATACTATTTATTATACGTTGTAGTCATACTCTTGATAGTTCAAGGTTACCAAAAATTACTACCCAATGATGAAAAGATTATCGTTGCGCTAATGACTATACTATACATTATCCCCGCTCAACCAACTATGTGTGACGAAACGAAATTATATGGCACCATGAATGTATGCAATATGAGTTAAATCTACATAATATTTACAATTACTGGTGTTTAACTATCTATATAATGGTATTTGTCTACTTTAGAATAACCAATATTTTTTTTACATAGCAAGAATTCCCGAAATATGAAATTCTAACACAAAACTTACGTTACACCGCATGCCGATGTAAGTTGTTTATAACACTATCCATATGTTTGACCTTGTCGAAATAAGTAGATACAGTTTACACAGAACCGATGTTTAAATTTAGAAAACAACATACAAAATCGTTCGGCTGTGGCATGCGTACAAATCACCGAATCGGATGAACATTAACATTGGTTGTTCTCTTATATTGTAGTTTTTCCCTTGTAGGTTATTGAGCGGGGATCGAGGTTAGCGTCGTGATGCGCACACGCATGCAGCGTACGCGGTCCCGAGAGACGCATTGAAGACCTCATATACAGACGAGCTTCTGATCTAATTATTTGTAGTTTATCGCTTAATTTTATGAATTAAAAATGTTATATTTCCTTGTTTTCTAGCCCAAACTTTCAAGAACAGTAGAACATACACTGCGTATAAACTAAAAATAAAGAGACCTACAGAACATATAACTATAAAACTACCATGCCCGCTAATATATAAAGAAGCTACGTTAATCTAGCCGCCAAACCAAACGCTTGCGATTTGTTGTGATAAAATTAGGGTTATCAACTTTCTTTACGTGGTGTATAGTATTTTATAGGAAGAAAAAAATTAATGGTTCTTATTTATATTTTAACTCTAATTGCATGAAAAGATGAAGTGGGGAAACGTTTTGTAGATTACGATTTTTTTTTAAATACACCATGTATTATTTAGTAGTTGTTGGTACTATACATTTAATACAGTTTGGTTGATAACCCTAACTATAATCAACCGCCACTCAAAAGGGTATGCTGTTCTTCGCACAATACTGATAAAGTAAAATTATCTTTCTCAGAACACTATCTTTAATCGTATTGGTACTTCAAATCAATATTTTTAAAGAAAAATCTCCTATAATTATGATTTGCTGAACAGTACAATTCATTAAATATGGGCGATAATTCCAAGACATATCTATAAAATATAAATACACAATTTCTTTACTCAGAAATATGATATTCTGGAGAGATATGTTGCTCTATGTATAACCCGTCCGCAGCCGCGTACGCAAGATAGTTACTGATAACAACAAAGAACAATCATTTCTGTTCCGTCCGGCCCTCAGGAGGTTTTATTGTCTATTTACATTATGTTATCTATTGCGCAAAGGACAGCATTACCGTTACACTATATTTGTTTCCAATAACAACCGATGAAAGCAATCTATTCAGATTTTAGGCGTTTTTGGGATCAGTACATAAATCGCTCGTGAACCGATTACATAAATAATAAAAGATTCGCTTTTCATACACACTCATATTCTTTATCCTGTTCGCGTATATCGACACCTCAAGGTCTACATACATATCAACATTTTTTTGTTATATTTACAAACCAAATTGCAGTTAGTAGAAATCCAAATTTATCTGAGATATCGAATTGTTTATCGGAAACAAATAGAGGACACGTAGTTATTAGTAGAAGGAACGCCACCTCCGGCATCGCTGAAGTGAACTTGACATAGCAAAGGTCCTCATATATCTCCTCGACGCGGTCCTCACAAGTGGCGCTGGGGATAGTAAACTGGACCCAGGGCACCTCGGCCGGCGCCGGGTGCTCCGGGCTCTCCTGCATGCTGTACGTTGGCGCCTCAAGAGACACACTCGCACTACCAGCCACGTTTCTTATGTTACACTCACAAATATTTCTATGTAGATAACTTAATTAATTACTTACAACTAGTAATAATCCCTACAATACTTACACAGATTGCAAATCTTTGTAAATATCTTCTTCTGACTGGGTCCTGTGTGCTGAAAAGGGTCTGAAACAATACTAGTTATTAAAGCTTGCACCATTACTAGACAATAATACCTAAGTAGTTTTTGATGTAACAAACAAATTAAAAATACTCCACATCAGACTAAACCATAAGTTATTATATTGCATTCACAATGATAAATTGATATATGTCTTATAGAAAATTGCTTTAAAGTATTTAACAGTCAAAGAAAACATTAGTCCAAACACAAAATAATTTTCATTAAATTTTTTTAAGAATGACATGTAATTTATTGATAGCCCTGATCTGTTGACAGTTAAATTTAAAACCTGTAGTAAATAAGTGACTTCTTGTGGTAATCTGTGATGTGGTGCTGTGTACATTATATTAGTCAGAGTTTTAATTTACAGTAAAACAGAATGATAATGTACAGTGAAAAATTCTTACTTTATATTCTTAATGAGAGCTTTGGGGCATTGACTAAGTTTGGCCAGTGTGCATAATACACGGTGAAAGTTGGACAGATCAAACAGCATTGATGGGTCAAACAGATCTGTCTCTCGGAGCTCGAAAACTTCATGGCAGGTTCTCAGGAAAACTTTTATGTTCCTCATGCATAAGAACTGTAGACAAAATATTATAGTGCAGTATTCCACAAACTTAAAATACATCTTTCAATATATAACTATCCAGTTTTATATTAGAACTTTGTCTTAAAAAGATTATATGAATAAGAGATTTCTTTGTTAAGACATGATTTGTATATATTTTTACTCAAGCAACAATTAAAGGTAAATACATATTCATCAGTCAGTATTTCAGAGTACAAAAGTATATAAATATTCTTTAATTACTTAGACAATATGAAATTAAAGTTGAGATAATACTTAAGTTCATCAAAAATGTTTTATCAACTCATTTCAAATAGGTTCTTCCTGTTTAAAGATAACAATAAATTACATGGTACTGCTTGTTTTAAAAAAATAAATATTTCACAACTCTGTGGCAATACCATCCATGTTCAATATTAAATTTATGCAGAATCAAAATATTATCCCTTTTGCCAATTTTTACAAAAAGCTTTATATTATATGTTTAAAAAAAGGTTCATATTCAATATAAACTTTTTTACTTTCATTTCATTGTGATGAAAACTAGGTTTATATGTAACTATATATATAAGTAATAATAAATAACAAACTTAATTTTTTTGTCATGTTATTATGTATTATAATTACTAGTATAACAGAAGTTAGGAACATTATGAGTTTTCAATATCATAACCTTTAATTGTTGTTATGTTAATTCAATGGTTATAAAACAAATGAACCCAAAACACAATCATAAAACTATATTTTTAGTACAATCTGTTTAACAGCAGGCCAGGGGAGGACTTCATACTATATCACTGTGTGTGCCATTCATTAAATACAATTTATTATTCAGATAACACCGGAACACATATTCAGAATTACTATTGACAGTCAATAGGAGCACATCAATGCATTCATAATGCCATTAAGTTCTTGCATGCATAATTAATTAAAATGGGACAGCATTTCAACAGCTCAGTTAAAATTAAGTGCTTCAAAACATAGAAATATCAAGATAACTTTAATTAATCATTTTAAATCCAAATTGTATCTTTTTCAATATTTGTTCAAAACTTTAGCAAAAATTTACTATGAACAATATCATAACGAAATACATATCAATTAACGCATCAAAATTGGAAATTACGAAATATGCATTGAATAGTACTCTTTCGTCTAAGCTTTACCTGCGCCATCTGAGGTCGCTGGTTGACGTCCTTCATGTCGATGCAGCCAGGGTGTAGGGCGTTCAGTAGATTGCACAACAGTACTCCATCGCGCAGAGTGTATGCAAGATCATGAATAGTACTCGTTTCCCAATTCGCCTTATGGTCCGGACGCAGCAAGCCACATCTTGTAAGCCAGGACGCGCACTCGCGCCACAGCTCTTCACCTCCAGTCGCCATATTTTACGTTCACCCCACAAAGTACATCGATAGGATCAACTCCGAATACAACTTTTTAATAATCAACAAGCCATTAATAAACAGGGGTTAATTGTTAATTGACATACAAATTGATATAACAAACAGAGACCCAGCCAGAACAATATTTTTTGACAACTGCTTATCAGAGTTGCAAGCTAATGGAAATTTAATAATTCGAAAATGGTAGAAGATTTGATATAGATTATATTTGAAAACTAAATATTTTAAAAATTTGACTGATTGTCTTTCATCCTATATGTCCTATATGCTTAGGAGATAATGTAAACAGTTACAGTAAAAAAAGTACTTTTGAAATTAAAATTAAAAAAAGAATATAAGTTACAATAAATTATTATAATAAACTAAGTAATCTAGTTATAACATTATCTTCATAAATTTTCCAATTTTATTGAATCTCTATTTGATCAATATGTTTTTAATATTATAATATTTCTATACACGCCTTTAATAAACAGTTGTATTATGGAAAATATATTCTATATAAATATTATTAGATTTATAAACTGTATAATAATTTATTAATATTTGAACATTAAATATTTAAGTTAAACAAGGATAGAATATTAACAAACTATTGATGTTAAAATCTAAAAGGCCTTAAATAGAAACAGAAGAACAAAAAAATATTTCCTTAATATAAGTTAAAATGAGTTAATTTAATATCAATAACATTTTTTTAGTATAGCAACATTATATAGGCAGTGTAGTGATGTTCAATGTTAAAAATATATTGACATGACACAAAATACTTTAAAATTTTAACTCATAAAAACAAAGCAAGAGTACTAATAAAAGAAATTGAGAGTGTTTATAACCTGAAAGAGCACTATAAAATTAATTAGACAGCTAAGTAAGATTGGGTGTAATATACTTTTTGTAAAATTCAATGAGGAAGTAAAAAAGCATCTCCATTAGATGGCGACTCTAGCAAAAGTTGATTTTTGCAGGAAACGAATGGACTAAAGACAGTTATTTACGTTCCTTTTAACTAATATATTAAAAAACTGAAATTTGAAAAGTTCGAAACTTACAAACAATACAAATATGAAAATGTACAAATAGAATATGAGTTTATTGAGTATTGAAAACTAATTTACTTTTATACATGAAAGAAAACCTGTCATGGAGAAATCACGAAGGTACCTTAGTGACATTTAGTTTGATTTCGGGAACAATATATTTTTTTAATGGTTCTTTGATACATTATAAACGCACTGTCAATATATTTCATGAGAATCTGTTCTATTTTTGATGAAAATAATTGTTAAAATTTAAATAGCCAAAATCACGCAAAAAAGCACTGCTCTATATAATGAAGCTGATCACCTGATCACGTGGTATTTGTGACGTCACATGCCGGTAAATTTGTCAAGACGACATAACCTATTTATCAACGATTTATTTACGACGTAAACAAACAGTATTATAGAAGAGAAATTGAAGTTAAATTATATGTTTTGTATTTGTATCTACTCTGGTTTTGATTATAAAAATGAGCTACAAAATGTATGTATGCATGACATGACAGCTCTTGTGTTTATGTGTGACGTCACATGCCAGTAAACAGAACCTGTTATTGGTTGCGACGATAACCAATTACAGGGCGTTTTCATCGTTCATTTAAATTCTTATAAATGTTGCTTTTTCTTTATGTTATTTTACTAAAGCTGAACATATGTTATCTGCAGATTCTAAGAAATAAACTTTATTTATTATCTAACAAGATGACCATAATACGCAACTTATTTGTAATAGTGTCAAATACCGTAGCTGTCTTCGATTTCAACATCAAATAGATTTTGAAACGCTTTTATATTGGGAATTTGTAATTTGAAGTCAAAAAGTCTCTCATCAAACTTGTTCCTTAATCTTTATAATAACAACACGTACTTGTATAAATTCATAGTATCTTACTTTCTTCAAGATAAGGTCTCGCAATAATAGTTAAAATCCACAACTTCAGAAATATGTACTGCACGTTATATGTAATTTCCAGCAACTCATAAGTTATAACTAAAGAAAACATAATAATTAATATAATCCAGCATTTGGAAAATTGAATTATTTACTTATCTATCAATATGTAGTAATACTACAAAGTTGAGGTTTTGAGGCGCTATATGCTGAGTTCAGCAGCAGAGGCTAACTAAATAGGTACAGTATATGATAAGCTTAGATGTAAGAAAAACATGTATTTTGTTTCGCTGTGGTCTAATAAATATTATTATTATTTTCAATATTTCAATGCAAATGATGCGGAATAATGTATGTAGTATCAAAGAATGTAAAGACTATAAAATAAACAGAGGTTTATTTATTTAAAAAATAATTAATTCACAAACTAATTTAACGTAAAACGCTTCGCAGATTCCCTTTCTTCCTCGCTTCGAAACTTTGAACCTTCAACCTGAACGACCGCCCCCCAGCAGGAGGGGATCTCATTGTCATGACTACATGTGAGATCAAGATGTTAGCCGTTAACCCTGAAGGGGCTCGGGTCATCGGATTGAAAATACAGCTGACTCCCTGAAAGGGAACGATCAGCCAGATCGGATGTGATTTGATCTGAAAGGTCGGGATATGAAGGACGGGAAGGGGAGCTATCACGTACTACCAGAAGAGTGCTATGTGATGCCTTTTAAAATTGTGTAGCAAAGGGGGTAGCGGTCAATGTGGACGGTGACGAGGGTTGACCTGAAGGGTCGGAGGGTTACAGGTTGGCGGTAAGTTTGGACGGGAATCAGTGAGAACCGATTTGGAAGCAGTCCCTAACAAACTGGCGCTTATATAGTGAGACGTCCTCTGTTGTGGAGTCGCGATATTAATTTTGACGTATGTGCTAATTAGTTCTGAAAGATTCTAATACCCATTTTCACTAACCTAGAACAAGCCTTAACTAGGAAACGCCTAATATTAATAATCGCCTAAGCAGATTTGTTTAATTCCCAATAAATATTTTTTCTTTTATCCCTTGACATATTTATGATTATATCATATCGACGCTGGAAAGCAAACACGTAGTAACCCGCAAAAACAAAATTGTTCTTCAGAGCAGAAAAACTTTTATTTTTTTCGATAAATAATTCATATAAACGTTCATGGTAACAAATAAGGTGTTCCTTAGTCAATTTATACAGAAATAAAATATTTTTTTTTGGAAAATTATAAAAATTTTCCACTTTAAATATCCATTTTGGTTTTGCAGGTTACTACGTGTTTGCTTTCCAGCGTCGATATACACAGTGCCTAGCGAAAAGGTACCGCATAACTTATATTATAACTTTAGACATTTCTTAATATTGTTAAGATGGTTCTTAGTCAATGATGAAAAGCATTTTTACCTTAGGCGGTTCCTAAATATTTAATCGACAGATTTGGGCGACTTCTAAGTTTGGTGAAAACGGACATAAGAGATGGAGGGTCGGATGAAGGACCTATGGGGGCCGGATAGTGGCCCGGGGTCGTATGTTGGACGTAACTCCTAGCCCTAATCCCTAGGGGACATTAATAAGCTGGTGATGATGCTGTTTTTTTGACATAATTAGATGATAAGTACGCGTTTAAAATAAAGTTAATAAAATTGTATTAAATGTAAATAACAAATACATAGTTCATTTACTTCTATTTCGCATATATTATAATAAAATATTGTTTACTATAACATGCGCTCAGTGAAAAAATCGACATGTAATAAATAACGTGCTATGAGATTTACGGCCGGTTTCTGAATTGAGAAAAGTGCAAAATCTCATCTGATTATTCTCAATAACTTAATTTTTTTACGTTATACATAGCAAAAAGTTCTAGTTTTAGCAAACTGCTATCAACTGATTATTAAAAATATTAAAATCAGAAACAAAAACCTGTTTCAACGACATTTGAAATGTCTTAAGTTCGCATTGAGACGTGCTTAACTGTAAATTCTCAATTCAGAAACCGGGTGTTAGTGTACTGCTTGACTTAATGCGTCTGTCGCTCACCCTTTTAATGATGTACTTAGCACGTTATTAAATTAACGCATTAATTAGCACGCTAATGTTTCTTAACATTTAGTCTGCAGCGTGTTAATGTATTATAGCCATTTGGAAAGCTCTAGTCGGTGGCGAGTGAATAATTTTCGACAGCACTAGATTGTGTGACGCGTTTGCTTGCGTCTTGAACGAACGATTTTCATGAAAATTATTGATTAAAGTGTTTTATTTATAAAGTTATCCGTTTTCTTATAAATAGGTGAGTTTACTAGATCTTTATACAGTCTAATTACCATGCTATCTTCTACTTGTATCAAACATTGCTTTATCTATTCATGGATATGACACACCCATGTATCAGCTAGTATTCCTTTTCATTTTACTACATTCGTTAAAATATTACTTTAAATTATTTCTTAATCTCGAGATACATAGCTGCTAAGTAGGTACACGTTAGTTCATTGCTTATATAATTTTAGTTTTCCTGCGGAAGTCTATATTTGTATCGTTTCTACCGTTATCCTTATTAGGTTTATTTTGGACCATTACGTCATACTTATGAGGGGAAGACGGCATCTAAGTGCAATTTGGTAGTTGGTATGCCGGCAACTGTATATTAGTTAGCGGAGCGTGTCTGGACTCTGAAACTGGAGCACCGCCCCACACTGTCGCGTTCGACGACTTTCTATCAATTGATAAAATCCGTGATACTTAGATTATACTTCGTGAATACAGATTATATTGCAGTACTGATGTATTATTGATTAGTGCTCAAGGTATAAAAGGTTTTAAGTAGAATTTTGTTAGAAAGTAAGTCTTGTTAGAAAATTATTACTTAGTAGATCAGCTGATTGTCAGTTTATATCATTATCATAAATTTTAGATATTAATTGTAAAAACAACTGTAAAAATAATATTTTTTTAGATAAATAATATTTGACCAGCTTTAGGTGTGTGGAGTGAGTTACTAACCACACCCACACATAATACATGCTTGTATATTAGTGCTGATCAGATTACGCTATGTATTGATTACACTGCAGAGAAGGTGAAGTCACCAACCATGACAATAATATATATGTAAATGGAACTTTGTTGCTGCTAAATTGTTTTTTTACTTTAAACTATTGATGATATTATTGTTTGCTTTATTTTGATCTTATTTGATTATTTGGCTAATGCGTTGTCAATGTAAGATGCGATTGTTAATTAAATCACAAATATAAAGGTATACACCCAGTTTCTGAATTGAGAATTTAAAGTTAAGAATGTTTCAAACTTCTTGAACATCAATAAAACCGGTATTCCTTTCTGATTTTAGTTTTTTTAATGATAGTTGATATTGATAAAAATTAGGAGTTTTGACCTTGTGAAAAGTAAAAAACTTAAGGTAATGAGAATAATAAGTTGGGTTTTGTACTTTTATTTATGCAATTCTATGATTGTTTAAAAATCTTCTGTGCTAACAAAATTTGTACCTAATAACACTGTGATGAGTCACAAGGTCATATGATGTCAGCTAGTAAATGATCTTATTGGAATGAATAACAACAAATTTAGATACTTAAATCCGATAGCTAGACATATATATATATATATATATATATATTATATTTCAATAAAATAAAATAAACGCCATTTATCTTATAGCAAATTAGATTATTATCCTCTCAACAGTTTTATTCTACTAGACCCTGATGAATTCTTTTTTTTTGAGCTACCAAATTGTAAAATTTTAATTAAATTATTATGTGAGTGCTGTTAAAAGTTATAATTTAATCACAGATTATAAGACGCATCCACTATGGAGCAGATTCCTCCCCCCAAGGAGGTGAAAATCCTTGAAACAGCAGAGGACATCCAGGAGCGACGTGAACAGGTATATATTTTTTTATTAATTATTAAATTAAAATTTAAACCTATATATATGGAAAACATTTGACCTTCTTATAGTAAGCATATGTGGTGCTGTGTTAATGATAATAACAATTCTCTTATAAATTAATTAATATATATTCAACTTTTTGATTCTTTGAGTTTGAAATCTGAGTTTATATAACTCTGAGTAAGAATCAAATCATTACTTATAAATCCATAAAATAAAAAATAACTCAAATGATAGAGTACCGTCACACCGTATCTTCTAATTATTAATAGTAAAATTGTGATGACTGATATTATTCTCAGGGTATGAATATATCTGATTATTATTATAATAACCAAAAAAAAAATGTTAATATACATATCTGATATTTTTTCTTTTATTTACTTACACTTTATTGTTAAACACACTATAGTAATTATAAAATCTTAATTGAAGAATAGGTGGCCTTATCGCTTAACAGCGATATCTTCCAGGCAACCTGTTACCTCTAATTTTTACATTATATTAAAATAGTACATACTTTTTCGTATTAACATAGTTATTTTAACTTCAAGCTTTTATTACAAAACTAATGCATTAAGTGCTATTAATTTGCATACAAGATAAGTTTAAATATATTAATCCTTCATGACATAATCATAGGTGTTGAACCGTTATGAAGACTTCAAGCAAGAGGCCCGCGCAAAGCGTGAGAAATTGGAAGACTCAAGACGCTTCCAATACTTCAAACGTGATGCTGACGAGCTAGAGTCCTGGATCCAAGAGAAACTCCAAGCTGCTAGTGATGAAAGCTACAAAGATCCCACCAACCTCCAGGTAAAAGCATTATAGTATTACAGCAGTAGCATGAAAGTGTGGGCATGGCCAGTAATTTCTTATAATGTTTCAAAAACAAAAGCATAACTTCTCCAGGCACAAGATATGATGCCCTAGTATCCCTGGCCAATAATGTCTTGTCTTGTTTCTTCTCCATTTCTTTTGTTATATTCTATTTTCCAAAGTTCTACATGCAATTTGTGGAGCCACAAGACTAGTATGATTAAATTTAATATGCTCAAATTCAATTCATATTCTATTAATGACTATTTATCTGTATCTGTTAAATAGGCCAAAATCCAAAAGCATCAAGCATTTGAAGCAGAAGTGGCAGCTCATTCTAATGCGATTGTGGTGCTGGACAACACTGGCAGTGAGATGATCACGTCAGGACATTTCGCGTCGGAGACCATCCGCCGGCGGCTGGATGAATTGCATCGCTTGTGGGAACTGCTGCTATCGCGACTCGCTGAGAAGGGCATGAAGCTGCAGCAGGCCTTAGTTCTCGTGCAGTTCCTGCGCCATTGTGACGAGGTCATGTTCTGGATACATGATAAGGTAAGCTTGTCAATGAGAAATTGTACAAGAAAAAATTTCTTAGGTAATTGGTTTTGTATTTTATGTCTGATTAGCTTTCCGCCAGCGGGTTCGCCGACGTGGTCGTGTTTTATACATATAAACACTATATAGATGGAAAGTGCATTAAAATTAAACAGCACAATGGTGCAGTTAAAAAGATTTCAGCTTTCAGACAGCAGGGAAGTGACTTTATTTTATATTATATATGTAGAAGTGGGTTGAATTATACAAGTTTTAGAAGACAACAATATGTCATTGAATAATACAGAGATATAAATTCGGAAATGAAAAAATCATTCTCCCACTTAACTTACTTCACTGACTACCAAACCTGGAATCCATTTTTATACGATATGCAAAGGTTAAAGCTTGTTTTAGTTCGTTAATTATTTTATTAGATATTTTAGGGAAACAGTGTTAGTATTACATCAACTATTATGGTTTTTAAAATAAAGGATCCTTTAAAAGTCTGAATTGTTATTTATGGGTTTAACAAAACACCCAATTTATTTAATTTCCTAGTCCTTACTCTTGATGACTAGTGATTTCTTTTATAATGTATGTTGTCTTAAAAATTACTGATTGTTAAGAGTTTAAAAAAGTACAAAAGTTATTATAATTTGACCTTGTTTGTAGGAAACATTTGTGAACGCGGAAGAGTTCGGCTCTGATTTGGAGCACGTGGAGGTGCTGCAGCGCAAGTTCGACGAGTTCCAGAAGGACATGGCAGCGCAAGAGTACCGCGTCACTGAGGTCAACCAGCTCGCGGAGAGTCTCGTGCTCGAGGGACACCCTGAGCGGGAGACCATCGTCAAGAGGAAGGACGTAAGTCACAATTGGTAGACATTAGTAACAGTGCCGGATTAAGCCAGGACAGGGTCTGTAACAATTTTCTGTATGGGGCCCTTGGTTTGCTTGAGGTGAGATGTATAATTGAAATGAAACAAAATTCTTACAAACACACGTTTCTTGATTTGTCATGTTTCAATATAAAAAGTAACCACTAATACAACAATTCAGACTCAATTTGACTTAAAATGTGAGCCTTCTTGTTTTTGAGGTTTAACAACAGAATAATAGATATGTACCATAACATGGGTTTCCAAAAAAATTAGGGCATTCTTCCAATCACCTAATATATATCTTTCGTGACGACGATGACGAATAATCAGAACCAGTAACTTTGCAAACGAAACAGATGTCATCCTTTGCTTTCCGAATGACACAATTAATCTGTGACTTAAATTTTACTTGTCAGTTTATACTAAAAAAATGAAAGTTTAGTGCGCGGGGTCTTTAGCATTTGCTAGTTTTGATACGTGGCTAATACGGCACTCATTATTTATACAAATTGGATTTGCATCAAATGATTTTTCGTACTACGAATTAGATAAAGGAATAAATAATATTTTTTTTATTTCATGTCCAACTAAGGTTGAATAGTAATAAGGTTAAAGAATTTGAGGATTAGTAGCTCTTACTTGTGGCACATTCAACTTTTTATTTGATGCAATGAAGTGTGAACAAATGAAAATTCACAAAAAATACCAAGCTAAAAATGTAAACTTGTTTGATTTTGTGACATGTATTATTTATTCCAATACCAGGAGCTGAATGACGCGTGGCACCGTCTGCGTCAGATGGCGCTGATGCGTCAGGAGCGTTTGTTCGGTGCCCACGAGATCCAGCGGTTCAACCGCGACGCGGACGAGACCATCGCCTGGATATCGGAGAAGGATGTCGTGCTCGGATCTGACGACTACGGCCGAGATCTCGCCACCGTACAGACCCTGCAGGTCTGTTGTTATGCCTGATAACAAACTGAGTGGGCGCCACGTGGATGTGAATTTAAAAGCAATTTATTTTCCTACAAAAAAAAACTAAAAAAGTAGAATGTTAAACATAGAGAATAATGAAAAAAGGCAGTTGATCCAGTTGTAATTTTTTTTATGCCGCTTTATATATAGGGTATATCGGCAAATATTAAATATGTTTTTGAAATGAGAAATTTGTGTTTTAGCGTAAACACGAAGGCGTGGAACGTGATCTCGCCGCTCTAGAGGATAAAGTGTCGACTCTGGACGGCGAGGCGGCGCGACTGGCCGCCATACACGCGGACCATGCGCCCGCCATACACGCCAAACGTGATGAAATATCCGCCGCTTGGCAGAAACTCGTGCAGAAAGCTAAGGTCAGTTCTCTTATTATGATAATTAAATATTATGATGATGAGGAAAAAAAATTGAAGAGGCTTTTTGTGCTACATCTAATTTTATGTAATACTCACAGTAATACTAAACAGAATTAAACGAAATTAATATTTTAGTTTATTATAGGGGAAAATATTGATGTGTAAAAATATGCACTAACATTATGTGCTTACATAGCCATATTCAATCACATAATGTTAGTGTTATCCGGCGATAGCAATAGGAATAGTATTGTTGGTATTAATGATTGCAAATGTAATCAGGATCAATGATTTAACATGTATTCCGCAGCGCAGAGATGTTGCGAAAATTGCTCAATCGTTTAAACTAAATATTTCGATAAACTCCTAGAGTTTAGTTTATTGAAATGTGACGTCACACGATGGTTCGTCATGGCCGCTCGCGTTTCGGTTCTTGTAATTCGGAGATTATAAATAAGTTACCATTTCCAGCACATTTAATAATTTATTTTTACTGTCAAGTAGGCTATCTTTGCATCATAGAGGTGTATATAATTTTTCTTGATTATTTTGGTCGGTGTAGGAGCGTCGGTCCGAGTTGGAGTCGTCGTACGCCCTGCACCGTTTCCTGGCGGACTACCGCGACCTCGCGTCGTGGATGTCCGACATCCGCGCGCTAATCGCCGCCGACGACCTCGCTAAGGACGTGCCCGGCGCTGAGGCCCTGCTTGAGAGACACCAGGAGCATAAGGTATGATACCCTAACATCACTATTGATGTTTTAAAATTAAACTAGTGCAAATTAATATGGCTTATTCTGTTTGTCCTTAAAAAAACCGAGCTGTTCCAGTAACTTTGTAAAAATGATATTGTAAAATTATCTGTGCGTCAGATGCAAGCTCGAGTTCTACCTCCGTTGTAACATAGATAATCAGAAAACGTTTATTCGGAGGCCGTATTATTGTTTTGAAAGAAGATAATTTTTTTTTTGACAAATAGAATTGAATGAGGATGTACTTAAAAAATTAAAATGAAAGCACTAAAAAGTACCTCGACTAGATAGCGACTCTAGCAAAAGTTGTTTTTTGCTGACTCCTTTTAACTGACTTAATAAAAAAATGATATTTGAAAAGTTCGAAACTTCGGTATCAATACAAATACGAAAAAGTACAAATAGAATATGAGTTGTTTATTGAGTTTTGAAAACTAATTTACTTTACGTTCTTGATTTCTCCATGACAACCCTTCCGGTCCGTACTGTAGCGACATGTAGTTTGATTTCGGGAACTAAATTTTTTTTAAATACTTCCTCATTCTAGATGTCTACTTAAGACAGGTTATCCGTTATAAAGATGTTTCCATGTTAAAACATCATTTGAATATTTAAAGAAATTTTTAAATCGTCACTCTAACACCGTTAGTAGAACGATGTAATTGTATGCGAATGCGAAACGTTTGTAATTTCTTGTTAATTGTATGACAAATGTTTCGAATGTGCTTCGTCTCTCACTATTATTAGCTCGACGATATAGCTGCGTCCTTGTCATTACAGTTTCGCAGTCAACTGCAAAAACGTTGCTGCATAGACGCACACATTTCGTATTCAGGGTTGCCGCTCGTCTCTTTTTTAATTACTAACCGAATGACACGAATTTTGTTTTCAAAAAGGTGACAACCCTCTTCGCATTCGCATAGCTTCGTCGGTGTACTAACGGCGTAAAATCTAATGTTCAATTAAAAAAGATTACGTCTCGTGAATAGTTCGTTATCGATAAGATTTGCGACGGACTCAGATGATAAGACAGATAGACATATGAGATTTTTTTAACCCCGGCCCCTCCGGTATTGTAACGGTGTGCCGAACCCGTCACAGATTTATTCAGTAACTAGTGGCCGCCAGCGGCTTCGTCCGCGTTTTCCATTATTTCTTCGCTCCTAATAGTCGCAGCGTGATGTTATATAGCCTAAAGCCTTCCTCGATAAATCGCCTATTCAACACAAAAATAATTTTTCAATTCGAACTAGTAGTTCTTGAGATTAGCGCGTTCAAACAAACAAACAAACTCTTCAGCTTTATAATATTTATATAGATTTATTTAGTAATAAGGATGGGAAGCATGGTGATGGTTGTGTCGTGTGCATGTGGCAGGGCGAGATGGACGCGCGGTCGGACGTGACGCGCGCGTGCGTGGGGGCGGGGCGCGCGCTGGTGGCGGGCGGGCACCGCGGCGCGGGCGAGGTGGAGGGCGCGCTGGCCGCGCTCGAGCGGGACTCGCACGCGCTGCACGCGCTGTGGGAGCAGCGCCGCGTGCTCTACCTGCAGTGCCTCGACCTGCAGCTGTTCTACCGCGACACGGAGCAGGCCGACGCGTGGATGCACAAGCAGGAGGTCAGTACTTGTCTGTTTACACTAACGCAAAGTGATAAAAATCTGTAATCAATTATGTGTAAACCTCTAGCCATTAGACGAGCGGACAGGATATTCCGCTCCCGTTTTAAGATAAACAAACCCAGTGTGATTGTATCAAAATTTAAAATAGTCTAAACTCTGTTTTTTATTATAACCGTAAATAGTGATGTGCCTCAACAGGACCGAAAAAGTATACTAGATTACCGTTTTTTATAAAACGTGGGAACTTGTTTTGGTACAGAAGTACTCACTTAAGAAGTAAATAATAGTATGTTTCAGTCTATTTAAAAAAAAAAAAATCGTTGAATAATTTTGCTAAATTTGTAAAGTTATGTTCGTAATTCTTTATGTACTGTATAAATGATAACTGTAACAATTGCATTTCCTCCACCTCATTTTATCTTATTTGAGATTGAAAAAAGTGCGCTTTATTAGACATATATTTTCATTGCAGTTGGGGAACAAATAACTACTGAAGATGATTTTAATGAGAATGTTTAAGTTTTCACCATTGTTGACGACAGCGTCATTTGCATCTCCGATGTTATTTCATTTTTTGTAAATTACACCTTTTAAAAAGAGAACGAAGACCACATAAGTCAATCTGCCAGTGATTCTGTTGTCTAAAAAACTCACTTCACACTTTTTTATTTCATAAAATAATATTTCCACCGTTTATAAACGATGTGTTAATTTTTTACCTAGGCGTTCTTAGCCAACGAGGATGTCGGAGATTCTCTGGATTCGGTAGAAGCACTTCTAAAGAAGCACGAAGACTTCGAGAAGTCCTTAGCGGCGCAGGAGGAGAAGATCAAAGCGTTGGACGAAGTCGCGTCGAACCTCATCGAGGGACAGCACTACGCTGCGGACGACGTTGCGCAGAGGAGGGAGATGGTCAGTGATTCAATATAACAGGCCATTAAATTATTACAAATGTACACGTAAAAATAATAGTGAGATAAATGTGAAATCACTTTTTTCGTATAGCTTCTGGAGCGCCGCGCTGCACTGTTAGAAAAGTCGAATCAGCGGCGTGCCCTACTTGAGGACGCGTACAAGTATCAACAGTTCGAGCGTGACTGCGACGAAACCAAGGGTAAGTCAACTATTAACATTAAATGACCATTCCATTTAAAAACTTTAAAAATATACAATACAGTTAAGAGGTAAGTTGATTACTAGTCTGCAACAAAAGAAGATATTTTTTTTAGTTGAATTATCCATAATCCGACTCCTCTTTCGATCATAAGATTCTCCTATAAAACAATTTGCTTTAAAAACTTGATGAACCCTGTCTGTAATTAATAAAATGATATATATACCTTTTGTTTGTTATTCTGATATATATGTAATAGGAAATGCACACAGAACAGAATAAAGAGATTTGCATTCAATGCGGTTGTTCTTATGCGGTTGAATTATATTACTTCCTCATCGTGTACACAGGTTGGATAAACGAGAAACTCAAGTTCGCCACCGATGACTCGTACCTGGACCCCACTAACCTGAACGGCAAGGTCCAGAAGCACCAGAACTTCGAGCAGGAGCTCCAAGCGAACAAGCCGCGCGTCGACGACATCACCGCCGCCGGACAACGGCTGCTGGAGCAGGAACACTTCGCGAAGCGTATGTTTCATTATTTTACTCGCTACTCTAAAACATGTATAAGGCCCTACTCACACAGAGCTATTTAAAAGGGACGAAACTGATCAGTAATTATAATTGAAAAAAAAAAACATAGAACATGTATATTCGCACATGACGCTACTCAACATGTACAGTTACAGTAGTTTCTGCTTGTAAAAGCATACTGACAATGACGTCAGTGTAGCCGAATGACTCGCTGGTTTCAATGTTGATTGTTTTTTATATTGTCGCGAGTCTGGGTGTTGTGGGACCAAGGCTTGAAACCGGTTCAGAATAAACCGTTTTTATTTAGGTAAAACCTGTTCTTTTATAATTTTCCGTTCCGGATCGGAACTAAATGCGGAGTGAAATTCGGATAGAATAAAAACCGGTTAATTCGCTTGGTTCATTAAAAGCAATGTTCTTACATATTAATAATTATATCATTTTTAAGCGACGACATTTATCATACCTGTGTACGGATGTTATAGATAGCAGTAATAGCACTTAAAAACCGCGCTCAAGTTTGTGAGATCATTGTTTGGAGTCATATTTAAACCGGTTAATAAAGAAACCGTATTTCTAGTGAACCGGTTCAAAAACCTGTTCAAAGGAGCCGAATCTTTTATGTAAAGTTCCGCATGTACTTACGTCGAGCCGGTTCAAAAAATTAACCGGTTTCCAAGCCCTGTGTGGGCAACTTTCGTTGTTTCACAAGATTATTGTAGAATATGAAAACACACACACATTTTAAGTATGTGTCAAACCATACTTAAACAACTTAAACATCACTTAAGGAGGTTTTAGTTTCAGATTTTTTTTAGTTATTGGGATTAAGAAGTCGAGATTTTGTATTTATTAAGGTAATGGCCGTAAGACTACTTTTCTTTTAGAGGTGCTCTGAGTGAGTAGGGCTTTCGCAATTCAATAAAAATAATCTTCAAATGTTATAGTGATAGTTATGTGAGTATAATCATCATAAACGTGTACGTTACTATTTTATCATACACAGCTCAAATCGAATCTCGTGTGAACGAGCTGGCGGGACTATGGGAGAAATTAGTGGCAGCATCAGAGCTGAAGGGCAGCAAGCTACAGGAGGCGGCGCAGCAGCAGCAGTACAACCGCGCTGTGGAGGACATCGAGCTCTGGCTCTCCGAGGTCGAGGGACAACTGCTCAGCGAGGACTACGGGAAGGTGACATGTCTCATATATAACTATTACTGCTCAAGCAGCAGTCATCACTTCGCACTTCGAGGACATTCTTATCGTGAAGACCCATTCGTGTTTTTTTCCAAAATGTTTTTTTTTTTCTTCTAAACAAAGGAGCCCATTATTTGATAAAGCTCTGATGCAGAGATAATCACGGGTATGATTTTAATAAAATTAGAGTTAGAATAATTTGAAATTAGTTGAATTTTCGTTTTTGGCCAAACAGAGTAGACCCTCTTGTCAGGCACGTATTATATCAAAATATTATTCAAATAACATTTAATTGTAATCACTTAAATTGTTTGTTAAAAATTATTATCATAAATCTTTCAGATCGGTGAACCTTTTCGAAATATATTCTATATGAGTTATGTGCTGAATCTTTAAGAGCCTTCTCCTACAGAACAAATGTTCTGTCATATGACTTTGCACAGTCCGCGCTGAAGTAGTTTTCATCATATATTTTTTCATCCAGGACCTGACCAGTGTCCAGAACTTGCAGAAGAAGCACGCCCTCCTGGAGGCGGATGTCAGCTCGCACGCGGAACGTATCGAGGCGATCCGCTCTCAGGCTGAACAGTTCATAGACAAGGGACACTTCGACTCTGATAACATACGCGCTAAGAGAGTGAGTACACTACATAATAAAAGCCATTAGAACTATTCAAAAGGCCTAATAAGGCCTAATAATAGTTAACACGTAAGCAGTTGTACAAAATGCTAGCGTGAGGACATAAATTGACTGCTATAGCCTAACTAAAGAACGTTATTAGATTCATATATGAAATAAAAAAAAATATCGTTTGTTTTGCTCAGGATGCCTTGGTAGGACGGTACTCGGCTCTGGACAAACCCATGGCAATCCGAAAACGGCGCCTGCTGGATTCCCTGCAGGCTCAGCAGCTGTTCCGTGACCTGGACGATGAGGCCGCCTGGATCAGAGAGAAAGAACCCATCATCGCCTCTACCAATAGAGGTATCAAATTACTTTGCTTAATCGCGTTGTTATTAATTTACTTTCGAACTTGTTTAAAAAATATGTATTTATAAAACAGATTTTATTCTAAGTATTTATTATTAGTTTTATTAAAATTAATTAAACTTATGAGTTATGTAATTTGATTTGAAAAACCGTCAATTGAGTAATTTATTTATTATCATAAGAATATTTTACTAAATACAGAGTCGAACAGGCCACCTTTATTCACTCTTATTGAAAAACTTTCAATATATTTATATCGATTAGTATCTCATCTTCATACCAGATTCCATGCGGGGTAGGTAGACATTCGCAGCTAACTAAATAAACGGAGTAAGAACGATGCGTTTGCCGTAGGGCGCGACCTGATCGGTGTCCAGAACCTGATGAAGAAGCACCAGGCGGTGATGGGGGAGATGGCGCAGCACGAGGCGCGCGTGGAGGCGGTGCGCGCCGCCGGCGCCGCGCTGCGGGACGCCGGGCACTTCGCCGCCGACGACATCGCCGCGCGCCTGCAGCACCTGCACCAGCAGTGGACGCAGCTGCAGGACAAGGCGCTCCAGGTGAGGCCACACTCTCACGCGGCACCTACACCCACCTCTATACACTCGCGGCTGACATTGCGGGACACTCGACACCACCGCCCACCTGCAGCACCTGCACCAGCAGTGGACGCAGCTGCAGGACAAGGCGCTCCAGGTGAGGCCACACTCTCACGCGGCACCTACACCCACCTCTATACACTCGCGTCTGACATTGCGGGACACTCGACACCACCGCCCACCTGCAGCACCTGCACCAGCAGTGGACGCAGCTGCAGGACAAGGCGCTCCAGGTGAGGCCACACTCTCACGCGGCACCTACACCCACCTCTATACACTCGCGTCTGACATTGCGGGACACTCGACACCACCGCCCACCTGCAGCACCTGCACCAGCAGTGGACGCAGCTGCAGGACAAGGCGCTCCAGGTGAGGCCACACTCTCACGCGGCACCTACACCCACCTCTATACACTCGCGTCTGACATTGCGGGACACTCGACACCACCGCCCACCTGCAGCACCTGCACCAGCAGTGGACGCAGCTGCAGGACAAGGCGCTCCAGGTGAGGCCACACTCTCACGCGGCACCTACACCCACCTCTATACACTCGCGTCTGACATTGCGGGACACTCGACACCACCGCCCACCTGCAGCACCTGCACCAGCAGTGGACGCAGCTGCAGGACAAGGCGCTCCAGGTGAGGCCACACTCTCACGCGGCACCTACACCCACCTCTATACACTCGCGTCTGACATTGCGGGACACTCGACACCACCGCCCACCTGCAGCACCTGCACCAGCAGTGGACGCAGCTGCAGGACAAGGCGCTCCAGGTGAGGCCACACTCTCACGCGGCACCTACACCCACCTCTATACACTCGCGTCTGACATTGCGGGACACTCGACACCACCGCCCACCTGCAGCACCTGCACCAGCAAAGGACGCAGCTGCAGGACAAGGCGCTCCAGGTGAGGCCACACTCTCACGCGGCACCTACACCCACCTCTATACACTCGCGTCTGACATTGCGGGACACTCGACACCACCGCCCACCTGCAGCACCTGCACCAGCAGTGGACGCAGCTGCAGGACAAGGCGCTCCAGGTGAGGCCACACTCTCACGCGGCACCTACACCCACTTCTATACACTCGCGTCTGACATTGCGGGACACTCGACACCACCGCCCACCTGCAGCACCTGCACCAGCAGTGGACGCAGCTGCAGGATAAGGCGCTCCAGGTGAGGACACACTCTCACGCGGCACCTACACCTACCTCTATACACTCGCGTCTGACATTGCGGGACACTCGACACCACCGCCCACCTGCAGCACCTGCACCAGCAGTGGACGCAGCTGCAGGACAAGGCGCTCCAGGTGAGGCCACACTCTCACGCGGCACCTACACCCACCTCTATACACTCGCGTCTGACATTGCGGGACACTCGACACCACCGCCCACCTGCAGCACCTGCACCAGCAGTGGACGCAGCTGCAGGACAAGGCGCTCCAGGTGAGGCCACACTCTCACGCGGCACCTACACCCACCTCTATACACTCGCGTCTGACATTGCGGGACACTCGACACCACCGCCCACCTGCAGCACCTGCACCAGCAGTGGACGCAGCTGCAGGACAAGGCGCTCCAGGTGAGGCCACACTCTCACGCGGCACCTACACCCACCTCTATACACTCGCGTCTGACATTGCGGGACACTCGACACCACCGCCCACCTGCAGCACCTGCACCAGCAGTGGACGCAGCTGCAGGACAAGGCGCTCCAGGTGAGGCCACACTCTCACGCGGCACCTACACCCACCTCTATACACTCGCGTCTGACATTGCGGGACACTCGACACCACCGCCCACCTGCAGCACCTGCACCAGCAAAGGACGCAGCTGCAGGACAAGGCGCTCCAGGTGAGGCCACACTCTCACGCGGCACCTACACCCACCTCTATACACTCGCGTCTGACATTGCGGGACACTCGACACCACCGCCCACCTGCAGCACCTGCACCAGCAGTGGACGCAGCTGCAGGACAAGGCGCTCCAGGTGAGGCCACACTCTCACGCGGCACCTACACCCACTTCTATACACTCGCGTCTGACATTGCGGGACACTCGACACCACCGCCCACCTGCAGCACCTGCACCAGCAGTGGACGCAGCTGCAGGATAAGGCGCTCCAGGTGAGGACACACTCTCACGCGGCACCTACACCTACCTCTATACACTCGCGTCTGACATTGCGGGACACTCGACACCACCGCCCACCTGCAGCACCTGCACCAGCAGTGGACGCAGCTGCAGGACAAGGCGCTCCAGGTGAGGCCACACTCTCACGCGGCACCTACACCCACCTCTATACACTCGCGTCTGACATTGCGGGACACTCGACACCACCGCCCACCTGCAGCACCTGCACCAGCAGTGGACGCAGCTGCAGGACAAGGCGCTCCAGGTGAGGCCACACTCTCACGCGGCACCTACACCCACCTCTATACACTCGCGTCTGACATTGCGGGACACTCGACACCACCGCCCACCTGCAGCACCTGCACCAGCAAAGGACGCAGCTGCAGGACAAGGCGCTCCAGGTGAGGCCACACTCTCACGCGGCACCTACACCCACCTCTATACACTCGCGTCTGACATTGCGGGACACTCGACACCACCGCCCACCTGCAGCACCTGCACCAGCAGTGGACGCAGCTGCAGGACAAGGCGCTCCAGGTGAGGCCACACTCTCACGCGGCACCTACACCCACTTCTATACACTCGCGTCTGACATTGCGGGACACTCGACACCACCGCCCACCTGCAGCACCTGCACCAGCAGTGGACGCAGCTGCAGGATAAGGCGCTCCAGGTGAGGACACACTCTCACGCGGCACCTACACCTACCTCTATACACTCGCGTCTGACATTGCGGGACACTCGACACCACCGCCCACCTGCAGCACCTGCACCAGCAGTGGACGCAGCTGCAGGACAAGGCGCTCCAGGTGAGGCCACACTCTCACGCGGCACCTACACCCACCTCTATACACTCGCGGCTGACATTGCGGGACACTCGACACCACCGCCCAACTGCAGCACCTGCACCAGCAGTGGACGCAGCTGCAGGACAAGGCGCTATACACTCGCGTCTGACTAGCTTCTGCACCAGAAGGTCATCAATGGTGTTTTGTCCATAATTTGTCTATTTTTCGTTATAGAGGTACACAACTTGCAGCTTACTCAATCCGCTAAATATGTGTATAATATTCATCACGTTTCTCAGTTTTTTTTCTATTGAACTAACAGAAAAACTATATTTATCACATTTCTCATTTGCTGTTTAGTTTAAATTTTAAATGAATTGAGACCAAAACTTAATTATTGAAAAATCTGTTTCTTAATAATATATATATTTGTGTATCAGCGCAAACAAGACTTGGAGGACTCGTTACAAGCGCAGCAATACTTCGCGGACGCCAACGAGGCGGAGTCGTGGATGCGCGAGAAGGAGCCTATGGCGAACACTCAGGACTACGGCAAGGACGAGGACTCCTCCGAGGCGTTGCTGAAGAAACACGAGGCGCTATTGTCAGACCTCGAGGCATTCGGGAACACCATCAAGTCGCTGAGAGAACAGGCTAACTCTTGCCGGGTAAATATAGTTTGCATGGGTATAGTAAATACATAAGGGGTCTTATTTAAAAAAATCTAATTTCAAAATTTTTGCAATCTCTTTCAGCTTGACATTTAAAAGATATTTCCGAACATCACACTTCAACTGTTCGACATATGATAACGATTGCGATCGCAGCGTTTTTTTTTAGATAGTGAAGCAGTGATTTTGTTAATTTGAAGTTTATTGTAATTGTTTTAGCAAAGCGTCAATGCTTAAAAGCTATTGAAAAATGTCAAATGAAAGAGTGGAATTCGAACTGCAATCTTTCGAGGGGTTAAACTATGCTTTTATTATGTTCCCTGATCATTCAAATTATATTCGTTCCAGAAGCGATAGCAATTACAAAGAACTAAGTAAATAGCAATCGGAAACGCTGTCTTTGAAATGGTTTGCGACAAATTATGAAATTAGTTAATTACCACACATGGTACTTGGTTATAAGATGAATATATTTCTTTTAATGGATTAGGATTTAAAATCGTTTGGAAAATTAAAACCCTTTGTAACAATATTTTGTGCTCGACTGTTTGGGTAAAGTTATGTGTCTTTTCCTGTACACAGCAACAGGAATCGCCTGTGGTGGACGTGTCCGGCAAGGAATGCGTGGTGGCATTATACGACTACGCGGAGAAGTCCCCGCGCGAAGTCTCCATGAAGCGCGGCGATGTGCTCACCCTACTCAACTCCAACAACAAGGTTGGTGCTTACAATATACTTTTCAGCTTAAAGATGCAATCTAGCGGTCTGGCACGAAGTGCAGCGAGAAGAAAGCCCGTATCTCCCGTATCTCTCTTGGAACATGAATCCATGTCCGCGTTATTCAAAAGTACAACATTTTCAGAACAGACGGACCTAAGGAATTTCTTTTGTCATTGCCAAACCTACATTTGTTTAAAAAAAATATGCCTTTTTTATGGGCGTTGATCCAGTGTTATGTCTAGGACGTCGTGTTTCGTTGAACCGGCGCCGTCCGTATCGGATTTTATATTAAAATCCGTTCAATATTTTTTACGTGCAAGAGTAACAAACATACATATAGGTAAATCCTCGTAAAATTACACATTTATAATATTAGTGGGATTTGACGTAGATAACGCTCCCACTTCCTAAAGATAATTAATAAAAAATAATTCTTGTCAAATTGTAAGAGATACATCCGAATGTGTTTTTAAAATGATAAAACAACGTTATCTATCTTTATCATCAGACTGAACAACGTGTAGTTATATCGAGTTGGCATAACCCAAGTGTGTTCCGCTAACTCAATACATACAACAAAAGTGGGCTTCAATCGTTACGTCTTCAAGTTATTGTTGTGAAAAATTGAAAAGAACAGTGATTGATTGTGTGAGCGTCTTACGAACAATTCCCATTTAATTAATACCATCTATAGTTCTGATTTAGTATTTCCAAAAAATAGTCTACTATAATGAGAGTCGTAATTCAAACTAGTTGGCTATTCAAATTAACTTCAGTACACAATTGATGCGCAAAGTAGATGAATGACTTAGATCATGGTTTATTATGTCCGCTTCGAACCGAATTTGTTTATGCAATGACGAGATGCGGTCGGCGGCTCCGAGACGGATTGTTTCTAAACAATAACATGTAGTTCTGCTTGTGATGCGAATCAAAGTATCTGTGATAGATTAGTTCATTGAAATGATTGTCGTCAGCTGGTTATTTGTGATACTGTTGGGGAATGTGTTCAGTAATAACAGGAGATTTAGGAGAAGGAAAAGATGCTCTCACGTAAGTCTGATAGGAATTTTGTAAATATAAATTTTTCTTGTGTTATTTATGTAATGATGGTTTAGTTATTTATTACCCATTTCGTAGACTCATTTTTTAAATTTTGTTTTAATAAAATTAATTTGAAAAACGATACTTGAAAAAAAGCGATTCCTAAAAATGTTAGAGTTGAGTGCAGTTGATTTGTAACGCAAGATAATTAATATGATCAAATTGTGTTTCTTTTTTAATCGAATCATTGTCATTAAACTTTTGAAATTGTCATCAAGTGATAAATAGAGAGACCTTAAATTAATAAATAATTGGGCGCTTGCATCAATGCAAACAACTGTTTTTACACTGTTATTGTTATTATATTACAAAATAACAAACATACCTGTTCCTATTGATTTATGAACAAGATAACACTAATAATATTAGGCTTCATGTAAATAGTGCAATGGCAAAACGCAATTAATTGAAATGCCACTAAGATGATTATTATCTTAACATTAGCTAAAGTGTGGCCTAGTTCTAAGCTAGACTGGAACTTGTGATTTTTCGCAACCGCATCTTTGTTGTAGATATTTGCTACGTATAACACGGGGACCTCGATTGAGACCGAAACATATGCGTAACCGACATTTTGGTTCAAATTGCCGCGCATTCTATCAATACCGTTCTCATTGTAAAATATTAAATGATCATGGTTGTTTTATTTTACCCTTACACAGGACTGGTGGAAGGTGGAAGTAAACGACCGTCAAGGGTTCGTGCCAGCCGCGTACGTCAAGAAGATAGACGCCGGCCTCTCCTCCTCGCAGCAGAACCTCGCCGACTCTAGCTCCATCGCTGCCAGACAAAACCAGGTAAAATGCTATTTTTTTATTGAATTCATCTAAACTATATATAAAGCTAAAATATCTGTAGTTCGACATATTACACAATAAATTGACTAATACAAAAATATATATATATATATATAATAATATATATATAAGTTTTTAACACTAATACACACACCACACACATTGATACACACAGATATATTTTTTTATTACAAAAGACAACAATTTCAGCATTCACTTCCAAGCTTTCGTGCACACAGCTGCAGCGCGCTGATAATATGGAAAGCGTGTCAGATTTTTATAAAACATGCGGATAAGATAATACTGATTTAAATAAATTATATTGTTTATACATGATTATTTTATTTTTATCTTATTCAAAATGCACATGATGGCGATTATTTTTAGTGACATAGGAGAAATGCATAATCTCGTGAGCGATAACTCCGTTGACACTTAATTGCTAGGATTTAATCATATTTGATATGCGCAATAAAACTTTGCATATGCACTGATAGTTAATGTATTTTGAATATTTATGCTGCGAGATGGAGAATAAGATTTTATTGTGATCTGTTACACTTTTCTCTGTATTCATACTTTTTTACTACAAATATTTATAAAAATTTACATAACTATAAAGGCTTACACCCTTCCTGCTTTTAATATCAAATAGGGTTGAAACAAGCACAGTCAACAGAACAGCTTATCCGAATTTATTGAAATATCAATTTTAGCCAATTTGTCTTAGGTGCTTATTCTATAATGACAGAAAGTAAGTGTCTGTCAAATTAATGTTTCTTTAATTCTATTCCAAATTTAACCCCATGGCATAAATAATTCTAATTATATTAAGATTTTAGTAATATATAGGATGTTGTTAAATAATTACATGCCCATTGTATACAGATCGAGGCGCAGTACGACAACCTGCTCGGTCTGGCCCGCGAGAGACAGAATAAGCTGAATGAGACTGTAAAGGCTTATGTGCTCGTGCGAGAGGCCGCTGAACTAGCCACATGGATCAAGGACAAGGTGACACACATTTTTACTAATTTTAATAATTACAATAACATTTTACTTGTACATTAATATTGAATCTAAAAGTCTTCTGAACCTTTTATTTTTAATTAGTGTTGAAGATGAAGAAAACCTGTTATTTAACACAACATTTTGTTTTATGTAGGAGATGCATGCCCAAGTTCAAGACGTGGGCGAAGACCTGGAGCAGGTGGAGGTGATGCAGAAGAAGTTCGACGACTTCCAGAACGACCTGCGCGCCAACGAGGTTCGTCTCGCCGAGATGAACGAGATCGCTGTACAATTGATGACCGTCGGCCAAACGGAGGCCGCGCTCAAGATCAAAACGCAGATGCAGGTACATGTCGATATCTAATGATATCTTTACTAATATGTACCTTTTATAGATTAGCTGACTTAACAAACTAAATACTATGCTAGCTTGTCCAAAGAAAGTAGGGGTTTATCTTCTTCTCAATTTTTCCATTTTTTTTCTCTTCATAAAAAGGTTTTTCACAATATCAACTCTATGAAGGTTTTTTCACATTTGGGATCATTAGGTCCGGAAGAATATACAACGATATCAATTAACCGAAAAGTATGTTTATTTAACATCAGATTGTAGTCAACATATGTTTTTAATTAACTTCCGAGAGTTCAGGTAAATAATGAGATCACGCACAAATCGTATATCAGATTTGATTGTATAGTTTTGAATATGAATTTTATAACAAGCATTGTGTATATCAAACAACACATTAGATTACTGTACAATAACAATCTATAATCAACTACCAACCTGTAAAGGCTTAACCGTTCATGACAATTTAGAGCAACTGGTGTCTGATTCGACGTTAAAAGAACAGATTAAAAAAGCAATATCCATTACACGAAACAGGAATTGAACTCGAAATGGACGTCTCTGCAACAACTGACATCGGAGCGCGCCGCCCAACTCGGGTCGGCGCACGAAGTCCAGCGGTTCCACCGCGACGTGGACGAGACCAAGGACTGGATCGCGGAGAAGGAGGCCGCGCTCGCCACTGACGACCTCGGCAAGGACCTGCGCTCCGTGCAGACGTTGCAACGTGAGACAACCTAGCCATCAATTTCCTAGTTTAATTCAACGGACTTGATTTCTCAAAGGAACCTTGTTAATTTTAAAATGAGTGAAGCCTAACAATGTAGCCCTTAAGAGATATTACATACTTTATTGACTTTTAAACTATCGCGCTGCATTATTACATACTCAGTGTCAGTGTAAAAATCGCGTCTAATACCCGTTATTAAAAGTATATTACATACTTTATTATGTCCTAGTACTTTTATCAGTAGCTCATATAAGTGTACTCACTACAATAATAGGGATGACGACTAATTTTTGTTTGTTTGTCCGTCAGGTAGAGTGTTAAAAAATATTAAACACGTATTTTTTTATATTTTTATATCATAAAATTACGGCGTTACATTGAGTTGAAATTTCGTATGACGTCACGTTAACTATAACGCACTAGCGTTTTCTACTCAGCTGTGACGTAGCGAGCCCCCACTCCTCAACTTTAATCCCTGTTATCTAAGCTATTTCTTGTTAAATTGAAGTAAAAAAAATACGTATTTAGTATTTTTCTATTATCTGACTGACTGACTAAATAGAATTGCATTTTTTTTTTACCCAGTCATCATCCCTATTCACACACTTCCTATTATAAACATAAACGTAGTCATTAGAACAAACGAATAGTCAGTAGTGTCGCAGGAATCACCCCATTTACGGTGATATTTACAAAATAGGTAAACACGAGGGTCTGGAGCGCGATCTGGCCGCGCTCGGCGACAAGATCCGTCAGCTGGACGAGACCGCCAACCGTCTGATGGCGACGCATGGCGACTCCGCGGACGCCACGTACAGTAAGCAGCGCGAGATCAACGACGCCTGGCAGCGGCTGCAGGCGCGGGCCAACGCGCGCAAGGAGAAGCTGCTCGACTCGTACGACTTGCAGCGGTGAGTGTACACTACCATGTATGGCCCTGAAGATTTATAACGATATTCCGAATGGTATAACTAGCTTTCACTAATTAAGCATATTATGTGATCACTGAATTTCTGCTAAATTAATAATAGTTCTACGACGTTTCATGTTGCGGGCGCTTAAATTATTTTGCATAATTACATAATCTGAATTATATTATTTGACATTTTAATCTGAATTGACAGTGTATTTGAACTTAATGATGATTTAGTTGAATTACGGTCAGTTGCACTAACGTCCATTAAGATTTAATGACGACTTTAAGCTCTAATGAATGTCATATTTGTATTGGTAATGTCGTTTTAAACTAATGAAAATTTTAAAGGACGTTTGAGCAACTGGCCGTTAGATGTTAAATTTTGTTTAGAAATAATTGATAATAGCTTTTTGAAATTGCTATTTATGCATGAACTGATTAAATATACACATGCAATTTGTATTGTATACCTTTTAAATAGATAGAAATGTGGTGAAACAATGTGAAATTACACTAACATGTAAACGAATTACCTGCATTTCATAATAAGTAAATTATTATTATTACGTACAGCAAGCAGCACGAGATTAACGCGAGAACATTATTCAGTCTAGGTGTTACAAAGCATTTCTGAATGTCGAAACTCTGTGCCATCGGTTCGTAATCTACGGCGGGAGACCTTGTCGACAAGGGCTGCTTTCTCCCTGTTTTATTTCATACAGAATCGTCAAGATTGAAAAACAACTTTACTAAAATATGAAGTTATTTTTTATCATTCCAAAATTTTAATTACCAGTGAAAATATTCCCCTCTCTCCCGCGGCGCTTCTAGCTGGAACTCAGGTACCTGGAAAAAATAATCTTATCATATTTACTTCGTTTTGTTGTTAGATTCTTGTCGGATTACCGCGACCTGATGGCTTGGATCAACTCCATGATGGCGTTGGTCAGTTCGGACGAGCTTGCCAACGATGTGACCGGCGCTGAGGCACTTCTCGAACGTCACCAGGTAATATATCGCTAGTTTAACATTTAACATAGTAACAGGTATTCGAACAGAAAATTACACTTCTTACGTAAATATAAATGTAATCTGAATGTAACAAAAAAAAATATTTTATTTTTTTAATGACACATTATCCTCCCAATTATTTATTGTATGTTAATATAATCTGTATATAAAAATAGTCTCTCTATTATCGAGTAATCAACAATAATACTACGTGACTGTTCTAGACCCAGCGCTTGGAGATAGACGCGCGGTACGGCATAATGCCGCAGGTCAGACGCATTGCACGCATGTGTGCTCCCAGCCTAACTCTCGTTCTTAACATACGTTTGCAACTGTTAATAAGATTTTATTAAATGCCAATTTTAAAGCAATTTACTATTTATAAACGACCAGAGATGGGTACAATGTACCAAGACCAATTATATTTTGCATTCATAAAAGTTATGATAAAAAATTGCAGTTACAGTATGTAATCTTTCACCCAAAATAGAGTAATAAATTACATTTTGCCCATGTTTATAAACAGTTTTATAAATACAAAGTTAGTTAATTTACCTTTTATTTAGTAAGAAACCTAATACGTTTTTTTATAATAAGTTTTTTTTTTATATTGGTCTTTCCATCATAATATTATAATTATATATACAATCTTATTTAAGTTGCGGACGTAATACACTGAACTACACAGTATGCCACGAACAACCGATACAACTCACACTTCTATCGATGTGCGTGCTACATGTAGGTTTTCTTCTAATTCGCAATCAAACACGAGATTAGTATTAAAATAGTTGACGGTGGGTTTAGATGTATTGCCTAACACAAAGTATTAGAGTTCACATTCCATTAACATATATTAAAACAATCCAAATAATGGTGCGAATTTAAATACAAGTCAATGTTGTGACTTCATCGTCTTTCTAGCCACTCTATGAAACTTTTTATTTTATTTTTTTTATGCAGAGTGTATTTTCACTTTTATTTTTCAATTCTATGTGTGATGTTGTCTCCTTTATTTTTCCTTGTTATTTTTGTGTGTGTTTGTTAATTGTTGTCTTCCTTATGATGTTACTTATTAAATGAAATGTTATAAATGTGCCCAGAAAAGGATTCCCGATTTAAATATAATAAAAGATTTAACATTAAGATTCTGAACTGGAATCTGTTCCTTTTAATTGTTAAGTAATAGTTGCCAATTTCCACATTTTGTTTCATTAAATTAACTGGTAAAGTTTTAAAAGTTATATGGGCACTTTAACATAATATTGGCTTTTTATATGTTTCCTAACGTTTATTCAAGATCCATCCGTCCATTTCTTATTAAAAGAGTTTGGTATTAAAGTTTGAGACTTCTAAATATTAAACACGACACCCCACAAGGTAAATGCGTACATTTTGTATGCAAAGAGTTTGAAAATAAATTTACTTAATAATTATTTAGAAACAAGATATAAGATGATCACTCTAAGATATAATTGTTGGAATATAAAAAAACTAGATACTGACACGATTTTAAATTTTGTTAGGCAGAGTGTAGAAATAAATCAAATTGAACTGGGTTCAAGGCAACGGGAATCGTTTATATAATATTTTGATGAGGTTCTTATATGTAGGAACATCGCACGGAGATGGACGCGCGCGCGGGCACCTTCCAAGCGTTAGAGCTGTTCGGACAGCAGCTGCTGCAGGGCGGACACTACGCGAGCGTCGATATACAGGAGAAACTCAACACCATGGGCGACGCCAGGCAGGAGCTAGAGAAGTCAGTACAACACTTCAGTTTCTGAAGTTATAATTAAAGTTCAATTTTACTAACGTTTTCTTGATATAAAATTGAAAATCTCTTTTTGAAGTATTTGGGGAATTATTTTTTTGTATCAGAACTGTAGGCAATGATAGATTTTCTCCATTTCATTTAACTATCTCTTAAGTATCCAGGTATAACTTAAAATATTATGTGGATGTTTACTCTGATCTGTCGTTGCAACATTTATTAACATAAATACATATAATTTTTTTAATTTATGACATCAATGATAACGCTTTGACATTTAAAAAAAATATAAATTAATACTTGACATTGAATAAAAAATACTTGATGTTACTATTGTAATTTATAAATTTAAATATTTGTGTTAATTGCCTAACTTCAAGCCGATTATTTTTTGAAGAAATTTAATTTAATATACTTTTAAGATCTGCCTGTAGTTCTAAATTGTTATGCCCTACAGGGTCACATGTTCACATGTTCATAGTTATGCCATCTGTCTTATGTTACATATGTTAACAATAAATGATTGACTGTTGAGTTTATAAATTGCGACGTAAGAAGAGGGGTAATAAGGTGTGTTGGGTGTGTTCAGGGCGTGGGTAGCGCGTCGCGTGAAGCTGGACCAGAACCTGGAGTTACAGCTGTTCTACCGCGACTGCGAGCAGGCGGAGGGATGGATGGCGGCGCGCGAGGCATTCCTGCAGCCGCCCGACCAACCCGACCAGCCCGATCAGCCCGACAATGTCGAGCAGCTCATAAAGAAACACGAGGACTTCGATAAGGCGATCAACGCACACGTCAGTCGTTATAACTAATTTTTTTATGTCTATCAATTAAGCTGCTCGCTACTTCTTATATCACTAAAATTACTTTCGTTAAAGTTATGAGAACATGGTCACATAAATCTGTTTTCTATTGTTTATTTACCTAAAAACTAGAACATGTAGTACATAATTATTAATACCAGTGAACCGACTTACTATGCTTTTATTTAACGTAATAAAAAGCTTTTAAGATATCATTGGTCAGTATTTAAGGTTTTCTTTTTCTGTTCTTGGATTTTAAATATGCGTCTCATGGATTCTTATCATAACAATAACTCTATTAGAAAACTATATCTATTTATTTATGATTGAATGCAGGAGGAGAAGATAGCCCAATTGCAGACGTTGGCTGATCAGTTGATAGCGTCTGATCATTACGCGGCCGCACCCATTGATGATAAGCGTCGTCAGGTGTTAGACCGGTGGCGCCATCTTAAAGAAGCCCTCATTGAAAAACGCTCCAGGTAATTTATTATAGATATTTTTAAAGAAATAAAAAGTTACAACTATTGTTAGTCCACATGAGGCATACTATAGTGTTATTGTGTCATATAAATTAACGTTTGCATTTTGAGCGAAAAAGTAATACTAATTGTTTGGTCTAGGCTGGGAGACGAACAAACGTTACAACAGTTCTCCCGCGACGCGGACGAGATGGAGAACTGGATCGCTGAGAAACTCCAACTGGCCACCGAAGAGAGTTACAAGGTATAAATAGAAATTTGACCTACATATTCATTAGCAAACTTTTCAAGCTCACATATATAAAAATCAACATGTTATTATATATTCATAGGATAAAAAGTTGCTTGCAAGTTATCCATGTTTTATTCGAATAGTGAGACGTAGAATTGCAACATATTGATATAAGTGTCACGGATTTTATTTTAATAGGATAGGATGGGATATTTATTTCAGTAGGAAATTGAATATTATTGTGTGTAGGACCCGGCCAACATTCAGTCTAAGCACCAGAAGCACCAAGCGTTTGAAGCGGAGTTGGCCGCAAACGCTGAGAGGATACAGTCCGTACTCGCGATGGGCGGCAACCTCGTCCAGCGGGGACAGTGCAGCGGCAGCGAGAACGCAGTGCAGGTACATATAGAGATGACAATTTCGGAGGACGGAATTACACTTTTATCATCCATCCACTAAAGCTTTTTATTGATTTTAAGATAAGTATAGAACATTTAAATTAAAAGTTAAATTAAAATATATATATGAATTTTATAAACAGGATTATTTTTACATGGCAAGATAGCTAATATCATAAACAACAACCCCTCTGGACTGTATAGAAATAATTGATTATTTAGCACTGCTTGAAATTCGTTCAGATATGAAATCCCAAATTTCATGTATATTTGTGTAGGCCCGACTTGCATCTATCGCGGACCAATGGGAGTTCCTGACGCAGAAGACTACGGAGAAATCTCTTAAGCTAAAAGAGGCCAACAAGCAGCGCACATACATCGCCGCCGTCAAGGATCTAGACTTCTGGCTCGGAGAGGTATGATATAATTGCGAAAGCGGCTTTGTCTGTCTCATCAGATTTGAATTTAAATTTGTGCTAAACTAACTGCCAACAGGTGGAGAGTTTGTTGACATCGGAGGACTCCGGCAAGGACTTGGCGTCTGTACAGAATCTCATGAAGAAACATCAGCTAGTCGAAGCCGACATTCAAGCTCACGAGGACAGGATCAAAGGTACTAACATTGGAGATACTGGAAAAATTAATTTATAAATACCTTTTAATTTATATCCTACTGTATCCGAAGTTTGCGGACAGATTTTTCAATATACCTGCAGTTCAATCACTATTATTAAAATAAACTTGATAATGATTTTAAATACTAAAATTTTGATTTAAATGAAATTTCAAAAAAACGGGTAATGCCGTACCAAATTCTCTCTTATGCTTAACATCAACAGAAATACATCATCTGTGATAATTTCAACTGTCTAGCTCTCACGATTTATGTGAGACCTCTTAATGGACAGACATCGGAGGCCTAAAATCCAAAGAAATGTTCTATTAACAATACTAAACCGTTGTATAGAAGTAGGTGCACTGACACGTATTGTAACCCTGTATAAATGTGTGGGTAGATATGAACGCGCAGGCGGACGCGCTGGTCTCGTCCGGGCAGTTCGACAGCGCGGGCATCGGGTCGCGGCGCGCGGCCATCAACGACCGGTTCGAGCGCGTGCGCAGCCTCGCCGCCCACCGCCGCGCGCGCCTCCACGAGGCCAACACGCTGCACCAGTTCTTCCGGGACATCGCCGACGAGGAGTCCTGGATCAAGTGAGTTGTGTATATCTGTTACGGAAACACCTGATACTCAAAACTACTTTGGTCATTTGTACGGAGGAGTTATCAATTTCTGTAATAATATTAATTTTGATCGAAAGAAAAATAAAAAATAAGTTTTCTTTTTCAATAAAACAATATTTTTCATAGATTTGTTATATTAACAACTAGCTTTCCGCCAGCGACTTCGCCCGCGTGGTATTGTTTTATACATAAAAACCTTTCTTTTGACTCACCCTATCTATGAAAAAAAACCGCAACAAAATCCATTGCGTAGTTTTAAATATTTAATCATACATATGTATAGGGACAGAGAAAGTGATTTTGTTTTATATTATTTAGTGATACATTGGTCATTCTTATCACAAGTTGATGATGAATGTTACACAATTCATGCAGTAAAATTCAAATACAAAATAATGATAAATTAATGAGGCTCGTAATGAATTATACAATAATTTCGGAAGCAGTTTATGTAGATGATGTGGGAGTTTTTGGTTTTTATAAAAAATATGGTTAAATCCAGGGAGAAGAAGCTGTTGGTGGCTTCAGACGACTATGGACGTGATCTGACCGGCGTGCAGAATCTGCAGAAGAAACACAAACGGCTGGAGGCTGAGCTAGCCAGCCATGAACCTGCTATACAGGGCGTATGTGCACATGTTCCGCTTTTTTTTAGTTAGGATTTTTTTGATTTCATAACATTTATTTCATTAGAATATCAATATCTACTTTAAAAGTAAATTTTGTTGTAATATTTCCATTTAACTGCTCTGCAATAATCTTTCGTTCATAAAATTCTAACTGATCGATTTATTGATTCGAAGTTTTTACGGATATAATTTATGTAATGGAAAAAAAATTACATCTGACAGGATATTGCTAGGGATTTTGTTGCACAAACTAGTCAAAATTTAGGTTTTATTCATGCGATTTACTACGTTTACTAGAAGTTAATTTATTATATTATGATAGTATAGACTAGAGAAAACTATAATTTAATTTCTCTGATTTCATCTTTGGTTAAAAGAAACGCAAATTAAAAATAGATTTTTTAAAAGTTGTATTAATTTAGAGAGTTGTTTAACAGAATTGACTCCATTTTCTCAATTTTTAACGAAGCGTCCATGGAAATAGCCACAATGTGAATGATTGACTAGATTTTACTATTCCTATTTCTTGAAAATACAGCTTAAAAGATCACTACCATGTTATTTGTATTATTTGTATTGTATGCAGAAAAAACATAGAATTAGACTGTATTTTCTTACAGGTGCAAGAAGCAGGCGAGAAGCTAATGGATGTGTCCAATTTGGGTGTACCAGAGATAGAACAACGTCTGAAAGCTCTGGCTCTAGCGTGGGAGGAACTCCAATCGCTGGCAGCAGAACGTGGAGCCAAACTGCAGCAGTCACTCGCATACCAGCAGTTCCTTGCCAAGCTGGACGAGGAGGAAGCTTGGATCAGGTCAGTATATGATCCTTGCTATTACCGATAATTACATCTATGTACTAATGAGTACTCATTCCAAGATAAAAGAATAATAGTTGGACAAAGACAAAGCAGTTAAAAGACGTGCTTACTCTTTTCTTTCATTATCATTTGTTACTCTGTATTCACTTCTATTTGTGTGATTTTTTAGAATTTATTTTCTTTGGCTTAGTTTTTTCGACGATTCTTTTTACATAATAGTTAATAATTAAGCACACACAAATATGTAGTTTATTTTTAAATTATTGCATGCTATTTAACAGTAAAATATGAGATGCTTATATTCCTTGACGTCTTTTTTTGTAAATCATATTTTATTGCAAAAAATAATTGATTGGATTTAAGGAATGACGATCACGTATGTGGTGTTTCTCTGATCATAGATTAATCAGCCATATAAAGGGCCCAAACTTGTATTGTACAGCGAAAAGCAGCAGCTAGTGGTGGTGGGCGAGTGCGGCGACAGTATGGCGGCCGTGCAGGGGCTGCTCAAGAAGCACGAGGCGCTGGAGGCGGAACTGGCGGCGCGCGGGGAACGGGTCAACGAACTCGCCGCCGACGCGGACCGGCTGCTCGCCGCCGGGAACCTGCACGCGGATGCGCTCGCGCACCGCATGCGGCAACTGCAGGTACGCATATACTATTTTAATTATGCGCCTCGGTATATTTCGTGTTTATGAATTTAACCGATCAAGAAACCAATGTGTGATCGTCGTCTTTGCCGCCAAAACTCGTCACTACCTCGACTGTGATGGAAGTGACAGCACGCAATATTTCAGTATTAAGAATTGTATAGAGCTGTAATACGCCAAATTACCTTATTTGAATATAGGTACTAAAATGTTGGTTCCAGCAGCGACAGTAATAATTCTGAGTCTGAAATGTATAGGTATAGAAGTCATATCAAATTGTGATTAATTGATAAATTTATATTAATTGATGAATTTTGTTTTATTAAAAAAACTGTTCTACTTACTGGTGTCAGAAACTTATTTAGTTAGTACAACCGATTTATCTTAATTTGATTTTCTTTAATCTGGGGTTTTCATTTTGGTATCAGCTGATGGCAAGAAACACAGTATACTTTTATTTTGAAATTGGCTGCCCTAATCTAAATTTAAGCGAAATGATTAATTATGTAATAACAACTCTATATATATATATATATATCTTTAAAATACATTAGGATTGCCGAAGCTTGACAAATATAGCCGATGCACATAATTTAAATAGTATATGTGCAAGCACTGTTATACGGGATAGCCGAATTAAATTTCACTCGCGACGATTTATCTATTATATCTATATATGCGAGGATCAAGGGATCCTAGACGACCGCTCTGAATGGGTATTGAAATTGGACTGAACTAAATTTTAAGTACTAATAAAGAAGCTCTGTGAAGAGACTGCTGACTAAGCTTAGCAGTTACGACTTAGAGTTTGGGATAAAAATTAACGCCAATTTAATTCGCAATCCGACATTAATTACTTATTATAATTACAAAAATAAACTACAAAATCCACACTTCGATTTCACATTTCATATCACTACAACCGCTTCACGACACTTCGATTGCTCCGCTCGCCTCACTAGGTTTTGCTTTCGTTTCTAGTTCACTGAAAAAATGACAAGTTTTAGAACGTCTATCCGTCGCTTTCCTCCCAAGTGACCGGTTCGTTCACTGTCGTATACCTATGTGCCACGTAGTTTCGACGATGTTAGCGCGATTTAAATAACATGTAATGCCATCTAGTAACATGTATATAAAACATCGCGCCGCTGCGCTCCATAAAATTATGTTAGTATGCTGTTCTAGAAAAGTAAGCTATATATCATTACCACATAAATCATGGAGCTTCATAAAAACAATGTTCAGTACTACCTAAAAGGTTCCTATAGCCATTTCGTTTTTATTACGGTTATTTAAGGTAAACCTTACTATACAAAACACAGGCTAAACTGGAGAAGCTGACATCGCTGGCGGCTCGCCGTAAGGCCGCCTTGGTGGACAACTCTGCGTACTTACAACTCCTGTGGAAGGCCGACGTGGTGGAGTCCTGGATCGCGGACAAGGAGACCCACGTACGATCCGACGAGTTCGGACGGGATCTGTCCACTGTGCAGACGCTGCTCACCAAACAGGATACTTTCGACGCTGGTATGTAATTCCTTGTAACTAGACATTTTTTTTATAACTTAGTAAACATGCACACGATTTCGTGTTTCTATATTGGTGCTAGTGTCTGGCAAACACCCTTCCCTGTTAGATGTTTGGGTCTCGTAAGCACGCATTTATTGGGCTAATTTATTTATTTAAACTTTATTGCACAAATAAAAATGTACAATTGAAATTATCAATAGAATAATCTTGATTTTTTTTTAATTTAATTAAAATGCCATCCACCATGATGTGACGTCATTCGGTTATCAAACAAACAATATGTCACCATCGGCGTTGTTGATTGTGATTCTATCCATGGGTAAGCTCTTTGATAGGCAATTGTTAACTACTTAGGCACTATCTGATATTTGGTATCGGATAATCTTATGGGTTTTAAGAAAATATAAATTTGCCAAAGCTTTGCTTATAGGTCATGAAATTGTGAGGTAAAAAAAAATTGCTCAAAAGATAAAGCGATTTTGTTATTGAATAACACTGCAAAATTGTGTTATTGCACTGGTTGCGAAACCAAAAGTGTATTAAGATATTTCGACATTTTCGGTGCTTTAAAGGCATGCTAAGCTGGTCTTCCTCATTTGTTTGCTGCATTCGCACGACATTAGTACTAAATTTTCCACATTTAGCAAGCATTTGTGATTATCGACCGATTTCTGAAGTTAGGATAGTAAAGAATCTCAACTGATTATTCTCAAAAACTAGTTTTACTACTAAGTTTGTTAATACTAAGACGTTTTTGGCAAAAAGTCTTAATTTTATCAAACTGCTATCAACTAATCATTAAAAAATATGGTTCGAGACGTGCTTAACTTTAAATTCTCGATTCAGAAACCGGGTATATGTCCTGTTGTTCGTTCTCGAAATGTTTTCCCAGGAGGGCATTTATAGATAGCTGATGGTGATGTTCCGTATCAGGGTTGGCGGCGTTCGAGCACGAGGGCATCCAGAACATCAGCATGCTGAAGGAGCAGCTGGTGGGCGCGGGCCACGAGCAGGCGGCGAGCATCTCCAAGCGGCACGCGGACGTGACCGCGCGCTGGCAGCGCCTGCTGGCCGCCTCGCTGGCGCGCAAGCAGCGCCTGCTGCAGCTGCAGGACCAGTTCCGGCAGATCGAGGAGCTCTACCTCACCTTCGCCAAGAAGGTACACCATATACCTACACCGAACTCACCGTGCTTAGAGTACAATCTTATTTATAAATTATTTTGCTATTTCTATAGCGTATCAGTTGCCAAAATCGTTGCGTATAAAGATACTTTGGTATATCCTTATAAAAAAAGTGAAAATTTCAAGTATAATTCGGAAATACAATTGTACTAAAACTTCGCTTGAAAAACTATTACAGCAGGTCAGTATCAGTACAGAGTTCAGAAAATAATAGAGTTTTCGTTTATGGACTTTTTTATATTTTTATTTTAAAGATAAATAAATATTTCATGTATTATGAATATTATGAAGAAGTATCATTCTAAAATAAATCTAGTTTTCAAAATTTCCGTCGATAACGCCAACATCTGTCATGACGTTGCTATATATAACGTGACGCCCTTCTATGAGTAATAGAGGCGTGATGGCGCTGTTTTTTCGTTTACGTTTTTTCATCTGCACCCGAATTGTAACAGATTTTTATTAGAGATCGTTAATGAAAGCCTTCATAATTCTCAAAAATTTCTATTGTGTAGTTTCAGTGATAAGATATTAATACATATGTATTATTTATTTTAAATAGGCGTCCGCGTTCAACTCGTGGTTCGAAAACGCAGAAGAAGACCTCACGGATCCAGTTCGCTGCAACTCTATCGAGGAGATCCGCGCTCTCAAAGATGCGCACGCACAATTCCAAGTCAGTATCTAGAGCAGTCTTTCGTTCACTAATAACAGTTTTATCATCATCAGTAGTCAATAATGTCCCCACTGCTTGGACTCGGGCGTTATCCATGGCCATAGCCCATCACATGGGCCCAGTGTGGATTTCTGGATATTAACGATTTACGCAGCCAGGACCAAAAATTTAAGGAAAAAGTTTTTTAGACACCATTTCATGACAGACCTTTCTAAAAATTACATAACATCAACAAGACCAAATGCTCATAACGTAACCAAATGTTATCGTATTGAATAATTAAGCACCACATGTTTGATTTATAAATACCAATTTAATATTGTACAGGCGTCGCTGTCATCAGCGCAAAGCGACTTTGAGGCGCTAGCAGCTCTGGACGAACAGATCAAATCTTTCAACGTGGGCGCCAACCCTTACACCTGGTTCACTATGGAGGCACTCGAGGAGACCTGGCGCAATCTGCGCAAGATTATTGGTACGTATAAAAAACTCGATTCTGAATACTTTTAAAGAATTTTACCTAATGATAGCTTTGTGAAAGTATCATAATAATCTTTTGTAGAGCATCCTTTATTTTTTATTATAAAATTATGATATATTGCAGCCGAACGTGATGTCGAACTAACTAAAGAAGCACAGCGTCAAGAAGAAAACGACAAACTGCGTAAGGAGTTCGCCAAGCACGCCAACGCATTCCACCAGTGGCTCACCGAGACACGGTATGTAAAGTTAACTTAATGTCAATCAACTAAAGTTGAAAATTAAACATCCTGAATAAGAAGACACGTGACTTATTTTCTTAGAATGATTTAACTTTTTGTTTTATTATTAATCATTTTTTTTTGTAATAAATCTGCCAATTCTGTCCTCTCAATGTTTTTAAATCAGGTTTGATGGAAGAGCGTTGAAGTCACATCCAAGTGGATCTGTGTTCTAATTAAGTCGTAGCTATTCGTTGCTGCTTCTTTAATTGGGAATATTTAGTTAATGCTGCACACTGATAATTATTATATTTAAATATTATTGAATCTTAGGGGATCCCCAACAGGCTATACTATGCTCCGCAGGGCAGTTTAAGTGTAGCTGTCGTATCAAAAGAATAGATAATATTGTAATGATCTATGATGATTTTGATTGGTGGTAGATTGTTTGATTTGATGGTTGGTGTACAGGTACCGGCTGCTAGGCTGGGACGGGTAATGTACCGAATGTCGCGTGTCGTATCAACTAATAATTGCTTTTGGCTGCATTTAGTGTTACACGAATTAACCTCGTGAGTGCGATTCAATGACTAACAAAAAAAAAATTACCCATGCAGTTTCAAGTCAATACCACTAATAAGATTTTGCACTGTTACAAAAAAAAAACATAACGTCTTAGAAACATGCCTAACTATTTCTATGACTTGAATACATACGTTACCATCTCTCCCTGTTATTTAATAATCTGTTACACATATACAGTAATGAATATTGGTCAGTTCATTGGAGGTCAGTTTGTCCGCGTAGAACTAAACGCAGCCTTTATTTTAATAGCCAGTGTGCTATACTTTTGTCCCATTCGAATTATTGAACATGAATATTGTGGCCCGCACACGTGCTCTGCGTCAACACTTCTTGCAGCTTTAATAAAATTTGCTTTAAGTTTTACACAAATAATGTATTAATATTACTGTAAATAGATTACTGACATGTTGATTCATTTTAATTCTACTAATTTATTTTATTAAATCTATGATTTTTTTTAAATTTGTTGTGATACTGTTATTCAAAGTTGATGTTGTAATGAGGTTATTGATTATGATTGATGAACCAAATGAAAACGTACCCCTAAACTGCTAGATATGAATCTAATTTATCAAATCAGTTGGCTCTCAACATTCCGCTTTTATCTGCTAGCTGAAAAAGTACTACGTACCTAGCTTTACATACTCGAAAAAAGCTTTGTTGACAGATTTTCAGTAAAACATATGCGATTTTTCTAAAACATTTCGAAACTAGGTCAAAACATTTTTTTATTTATGTGTAACAGCAGTAGATTTTCTCATTACCTGTGCAGAAAGTCTAAAACATAATTAGTAAGATTGTCTTAAAATTTTTAAGATTAACATTTCGGAGAAATTGACACCGCTACGTATATTTCGTCTTAAAATGTTTGTTTACCTTTGATAAGTGTACATAGTGATATTAATTATGACAGCAAGTGTGTGGTTACAGTACATCAATGATGGAGGGCACCGGTTCCCTGGAGCAGCAGCTGGCGACTCTACGGGCACGCGCCGGGGAGGTGCGCGCGAGACGTGCCGACCTACGACGACTGGAGGAACTGGGTGCGTCATAAGTCACTGGACATTGTTAATTATATCGGATCGGAGGTATTAACCTCTGAATCTTTGTAACTAAAGAAGCATTAAGGTCTAATTATCAGACATGTAGTAACTACATCTTGTTACAGGGGCGGCGCTGGAGGAGCACCTGATCCTGGACAATCGCTACACGGAGCACAGCACCGTGGGCCTCGCCCAGCAGTGGGATCAGCTCGACCAGCTGTCCATGCGCATGCAGCATAACCTCGAGCAGCAGATACAGGCCCGCAACCACTCCGGTAACGCTTAAATCTTACTACACTACCGCAGCACTCTCGACCATCACAATTTAATTTGTAATCGTAAATGGATTATAATATCATAAATATAATTGAATAATATTCTACAGTTTGAATGCTGTAACTGAATCTAAATAATACTTATCTAAAATCTATCAAACGTATTGCTTAATAATTCTTCATTTATATATTTTGTTCTGACATTACTCAGGTGTAAGCGAGGATGCTCTGAAGGAGTTCTCGATGATGTTCAAGCACTTCGACAAGGACAGGTCTGGACGTCTGAACCACCACGAGTTCAAGTCATGTCTGCGCGCGCTCGGTTACGATCTGCCCATGGTCGAGGAGGGACAGCCTGACCCGGAGTTTGAAGCTATACTCAGTCAGTATAATGTTTGCATTTGTGAAATAATTATTAATTGTCAGTGTTTATTTGTAAACTATCAAATATAACATCACGCTGCTGTCCTTCGTCTATAACGAATCCTCAAATGCTATTACAACCAAATGGATATTTTTTTATGATTCGCTTAATAAGAAATGTGATAATTAATTAATTCAAAACATTACATTGATGGAAGCAATGTCTGCTTGTAATTAGTTTATGTACTCTATATAAATTTAAATAATTATGATCTGTAAACGACAAAAAATAATGTTACAACACCTTACGTTCAATCCAAAACAACCATAATTATATCTGCGATGTCTCGTTATAACCAGTGGTCGGAATTAGGTAGAGTTATTCATGTACTTACACTGATTTCATACAGCGAAAGAGTATAGTGGATATGCCTCAAATCCCGAGATTAATTTTAAAGAGCGGATAAAATCCTGTGATTTTTTAAATAAAAAGTTATTTACTTTTACACAATTTAAACTACTGCACGCACGACGTTGCCAAACTTACACCAATGAAAGAAATAAATAAAGAAAGAAGAAATAAAGAAATCCCGGGAAGGTCCACATTAATATCAACATTTCGATGCAAGTACATAAATAACTCTACCTAATTCCCACCTCTGGTTATAACAATTGTAATATAAACATTATAATTTTACAGACGTGGTGGACCCTAACCGCGACGGGCAGGTGTCGCTGCAGGAGTACATGGCGTTCATGATCAGCAAGGAGACGGAGAACGTGCACTCCTCCGAGGAGATAGAGAACGCCTTCCGCGCCATCACCGCCCACCAGGACCGCGCATACGTCACCAAGGACGAGCTATACGCGGTACGTAACCTTCACTACTGTGGTACACGGGTAATATATGTATTAATATCATCCTAATATCAACACTTAAAATGCTATAATTTATCCTGAACATGAAACAATTTCATGTTTGAACAGTTGTCACTTCTTTAGACATTCAGATCGATCAATGTAGGTATTTTGAGTGGATCTCGAAATGTTGGAAGATGTATTGATTGTAATCAGAGCTCAACGATATACATCTTTTTCTCTAAAACAATCTCAATATTTGAATTTGGTTCGAAGTCTTTAAGCCCAGTTAACTTTAACGACCATTACTGTAGATTATTTTTGCCATCCCGAGTTGCGCTTTACAGTCGTTATTATCGAAGTGCCCCATTTAATTTTATTTGGAAGTAGTTAATTACTATTACACATGGCATATTATCTAATAATATATATTATCTACAGAATCTAACGAAGGAGATGGCGGACTACTGCGTGGCGCGCATGAAACCTTACGTAGAACCGAAGACGGAGCGTCCCATACCCAACGCGCTCGACTACATCGACTTTACGCGCACTCTGTTCCAGAATTAAATCATAAGCACAATCGCGCGCTGTGTACTACCGCCCTAACGCAATTAAACTAAAACAAAACACTCAAGTCTTTCAATTCGTTTCTCGTCTCAACCTCTCTCTTCATTCACTGTAAACTAATATGCGCAAGCATACTTATGCTATTGCCTTGTAATGACTTATAGAGATCTCCGTTACATTAATGTCCTTCGTACTTTGACAAAGAAGGGAGTGTTCACACATGCCGCGCGAGGAATTAGCATTTGCTTATTTCAATGCTTTCGCGTTTGCTTCTTTCTGCACATTTTCCAATTTTATTATTGATTGACTGAAACTTGAATAAATATCGCATTTTACTTTATAGTTTTAAGCTGTGCTGTTTGCTGTCGAATGGCGCTAGTTGCGACTTCAATATAGAAGCGTAACAGCCTCCTTTTTAATTGTTCGAATTTCACTACATTTTGTAGTCAGACCCTGATTTACGTATGTAAGTGTACAGAAGGGTTAGAATTCCTTTTCTCTGAATACAGCAGAGAGATAAGAAGCTCCCTTAATTTAATGCTTTTAAAGCGATTCACTGTTTCACAATTCAAATTCTATTTGCATTTCAACACTTTTTGTGCTTGATAAAAGTAAAAGAATTTATGGTATGTTAACTTGTAACAATCGATAGATAATTTTAAAAACAAAATTAAAGTTTATAACTTAAAATTCTATTTATTTTTTGTATACCTATTTATGATTGCAATAAAGTATTTATTCCTATTTGGTGTTTAAATTAAAACTCATATTGATTATTCATAACCAATTATTTATAGCTTCATTACAATATATTTATTTATTTAGATGTACGGATGTTACCAAAATATATGTTAAGCCTGACACGTTTTCGACTAAACACAAATTCATGTGATGGGCTTAGTTGTTACTATAGTAGTTACTAAAAAGAAACATTCAAGATTAACAAGAATATCTATATATTCTCTACCTACATTATAATAGATTGACATTGCAGACTTAACAGGTATTTTCGTACAGTTTTATATTTTAAGTTACATATTTGTTAATTTACATTAATTTATTATTTCTATTTACACTGTCACTTTTAATTTTGTGATAAAAGTTAATCTAAAATATTCAATATTTATTTTTCATAGAACCAATTCATGTCTCACTATTTACTTACACAAAGTTGGAATTCAGATTGACGGCCGATTTCTGAATTGAGAAAAGCATAAATCTCAACTGATTATTCTTAGTAACTTAAGTTTTTTATGTTTCATTTGGCAACAAGTCCTAGTTTTATCAAATCAACTCATAACAAAAATATAAATCAGTAATGAAAACCTGTTTAATTGAAGTTTAAAATGGCTTAAGCATGATTTGAGACGTGCTCAACTTCCAATTCTCAATACCGAAACCGGGTGTTAGTATATCATTAAAATACAACCAATATTATTATAAGTCATCATAGTACGGTCGCCGAACAGACATATGTTGACCTTTATGGCTACTGATGGGTATCGTGAACGTGTTAGTTTTCCTTTATTATGACAAAATTCGGTAGATGCATCTGTGCGAGCGCAATAGCGATATGTTGGCGCAAGTGTGAAAGAGATATCATGCTGTTGTTGTTTCTGTTTGACGACCGTGCTATACAAATTAATACTCTTCGAAAGTAAAAACAAAAGTATTATACTATTTAGTCGGTCAATAATTCATAAATATTTTTTTATAATCTATTTCTACAATATGTTCATTAGTTACTGCTATTCTACACGGATATTTACAATTTATAAATATTACTGCCTCGTACGTTTTACGTACGCGATAGAAACGCTCGATTGCCTTCTTCAGTCTTGTGCGCGAATCATCGCTGGCAAACCAACACCTCCAGGGTTTCAAACCTAATACAACAAGACAAATATTAAGTATTTTAAAATTGCAGGCGTTATAGAATTCTGGCAGTGCCACTCTCATCGATTTTGAAATAATCTTGATTCATCAGGCCCCTTTTTATCAGAAATAGGGACAAACTACGTAACTAAGCAATTACGTAGTATCAGAGATAAACAAGACTTAGTTAGACTTAGCCGCTGGACTGACATCAGTCTGGTAGAGCGACAGCTAGAACTCCGTAGTTATAATGAATCCTAAAAAACGTCCCCGTTCATCATTTAACCCCATATTTATCAAACTGGGGCATAGCGGCGATATATTCAAATTCAATATCATTTATTAATACTAATTTTCGACTTTCACACGACTAAGTAAATACTGAAATAATTAAGAAATGATGTAGAACTGTTAGGCTAAAGTCTATTCAGCAGCGCCACAATCTATCTTGTAAACTATAGCATTTAAAGAAGCCCACTCTTCATTTAGCATGAATATATGGCACATCGAAACTTTAATATTGATCATTTTAGGGTACCAGGAAGTGGAATTACAGTCTCGGTAACTATAAAGTATTATAACACTCTACTTTCTTTTTATGACAAAATACCGTTACCGTTACAGTACTAGCTTTCCACCAGCGGCTTCGCCCACGTGGTCTTGTATAAAAACCTTCCTTTTGAATCGTCCTATCTATGAAAAAAAAATCGCATCAAAATCCGTTGCGTAGTTTTAAAGATTTAAGCACAATAGGGATTAAGAATATAGGGACAGAGAAAGCGACGGAAGGCGAAGAATTTTTTTATACTTTGGAGTGATAAAAAAACTAGTCTGAATAATTATGGGTCATAGTCAAACATGCAACGCCTGTCGATTCGAAAGTGCGTTGTCTATGATATTGCGGTGTGGAAACTCACACAGCGACTATATCTGCGCGCGCTGCAGCAGCTGGTAGTCGTGCGCGGGCAGCAGCGGGCGCAGCTTGTGCAGCAGCGCGGGCGGCAGCGGCTGGCGCGCGGGCCGCAGGTACGGCAGCGCCAGCAGCTCGCTCACCGACGGCCGCGCGCGCGCGTTGTACGTCAGGCACCACTGCAGCGCCGACAGCAGCGCCGGCGGGAGGTCTGATACGGACAATATAAGGATATCAATATAAGGACTATATCGCATACGATAATAGCGCACCCGCTGGATAAACTAGACTAGATTTAATAAATAATCAAGTTAAAGAAATAAACTTTTGTTAATGCTACTGAAGCTTTGTAACCGACGTCGTAAGAAAGTTAAGTTTTAGTTCTTCCAGCTAATTTCTATATTAATGTTTCAAAATTATTGTAGATATTATGTGAACATTGTAACAAAGTAGTATTTATGTATTTCTCAAGATGATTCTATCTATAAATAAAATTGCTCACAATGAATAAAGCATTTTTTCGTTTTCATATTTATTTGACCAGCAAAGACGAAAGATCGAGACTAAGAAAAGACTTTTAGTTTATTTTGTATAGAAAATTATATAATACTAACGCTCGACGGGCGGATAATCGATCTTGTGGTTGGGGTCGAGTATGGCGGCAAGCTTGGCGAGGTTCGGAATGTGACCGAACGGAGTGCGCCCGTACACCATACTGTACAGGATGCAGCCCAGCGACCACACGTCCGAACGGAACGAAATCTAAAAATTCCATAACATTATATACCTACAGCCTGTACACAAAGGGAAAACAAAATCACAGCTGTCTATCACGCCACGAAGTCAAATCTTGGTAAATATAGGCAGAATGATAGCTACTGATTACATCTATTAAATAAATCAATACGGAAGCAAAGAATGGAGTAGATTTTTGTTTGTACGAAAACGTACTTATGCTCTACCTGCACACTAATGAGTAGAATCAGCAAAAATCTTATATCATCATATTATGTCACACATCTGTTAAATATGCCATCAGCACTACTCATTTATATTAATTCCTCAAAACCCCTGAAGTCTGTTTTGTGTACCTAAGTCACATGATATATCATCAGCCCCTTTTACGTCCCCGCTGCAGGGCTCAGGCCTTCCTTATGGATGGTTAAGGAGGATGGGCCATGACCCTCCACGCTGGCCCAATGCGGATTGGAGGGTATTAACGACTGCAAATGCAGCATAGACCAACGGCTTAACGTGCCTTCCGAAGCACAGAGTAGCTCGAGATAATAATTATTTGGTCACCCATCTCGTGACCGACCCTTGCGAAAGTTGCTTAACGACAACGATCGCGGGCCGCGGCGCTTATCCACTACGCCACCGAGCTACTCGATATATATAAGAGATCAGTTGATACTGTTGACTGTTGATCAAATCGTACCTTGATAGGTGCGTTGCCATCAGCGGCGGAGACGCCATACCCGCCGGCACCGCCCATGAGCGCCTCGGGGCTGATGTAAGAGTACGTGCCGGTGGCCTGCGACCGCACCACGCTTGTCGCGTCGCTGCTGATGCTCGACGCGATACCGAAGTCGATCAGCTTCAGCCGCCCACACACCAGCAGAAAGTTGGCTGGCTTCAAATCCGCATGAATCACTCCTGCCCACATGGATGGAGGGACACTTTAAGCAATACTTTAAGAGTAGCTCTTTTTATATAAATAATATAAAGTTAAAAGGATTTATATAAACAGATTAAGAATCATAACTAGAGATGACAAAAAAGACTAACTGAACAAACATATTCAGTAATTGCTAGAAGTTTGTTTTGAGCCATCACCCATCAGGTATTCCAGCGCCTGATCTTCAAACTGGGTACTGAGTGATGTTTACTCTTAGTACTTCTACATACTAAAATAGCTAGCGCCTTAGAAAGCTCTTCCACATTTTTGTCACAAGCTCTTTAGACTATGACATTAACATTGGTAGATGGATTGTCAAAAGGTTATGGTAATAGATTATGAACAATCCATTACCATGTTGATGTATGTAGTGGACGGCGTGCAGCATCTCCTCCCAGTAGTGCAGCACGAGCGCAGGCGGTAGGCCGGCGCCGCGTGCGCGCAGGAACGACGACAGGTCTGTCTCTCCCACCTCCAGCACCAGACGCAGGAATTGGTTAGCGCGATCATACTCACTGTATATACATATAGATGCATTTTTATTATAAGGTATTAAGATTTAAAAACGTGATGCAATGAATAAAAAGATTCATAATCACCAATTATTTACTATATATTTTTGTATATTTTTTTTTACATGAATATTACAAATTTTGTGCTTTTATTACAAATTATTACCAATGGTAAATTTTACTGACAGAATCTCTTCACATACATATTTAGTGCATATAAAATTAATGTGATTTTAAAATACCCTGTCAGTATACCCATGGTTGTTTGGTTGTTTAGCAAAAAGTATATTTTTATTTAGTTATTTTAGCAACTTTTTAATAGATTGTTCACTAAATATTGAAAATTTGATGCTTACTAGTCATATAGCCTGATTACTCTGTCAGAATTTTGTAACTCTCGCAGTAGTCTCACTTCATTGATGTAGCCCTGAGCCAGCTCTTGGTCAGTTGCCAGGTAGACACACTTGACAGCATATTCACAAGATGTGCCAACTTCTAAAACCTATAAAATTGTTTTAAGTAATGAATAATACAAATATTAGTACATTCTAAATCTTTATCCGTTTGATATATTTTAGGTTTTATAGGTCAGCTTATGAAAGCAATAAGTAGAGTAGTGATTTTAGGTGAATCTATACAAATGTAATGTTATAAAACTGAACAGTTTATTTGTTTGAAAGTGCTACTTTCAGGAAGTACTGGTTCTTATTTAATTGTTTTTTTGTTGAATTAAATTCATTTATTGAAAAAGACTATAAGCAATATAACATCATGCTATGACTAATATGAGTGGAGAAACAATGAAAAATTTTGCAAAATCAGGAAAACTGCATAAGCAAAGCAATCAGTGAAAAGTTAGTGAATATATAAAGAATTAAACATAAATACCCAACTTACTTTGTACACTTCACTGGATCCTCCAGTTCCTAATTTTTTTATAAACAAATATTTCTTATCCTTTATGCTAGTAGTCTTAAAAAGTATCTTGGAATTATTACCAACAGCACCTTGTGGGTAAGATGGTGTAGCCACATATGAAGCAGGCATCGCTTTCCTATTAACTGGTGTCTCTGGTACAGGTGCTGGAGTAGATGCTATCTCCACTCGTGGTACAGGGCATGGTGCTTCTTCTTTTGAGTTCTGAGTAAATAGCTCACATCTCACCTTGTCTCGATTTTGAGTTAAAACTTTCTGTGGAGTTTTCTTTTGACTTTTTTTAGCAGAAGAAGGTGTAAATTTTCTAATACCAGACTTTATTTTAGGAGTTGCAGACTTTTTTTGACTACTAATGGGCATTTTAGACATTTCAGGAGTCTTTTTATGCACAGAACCATGTTTATTTTGATGGATCCTGTTGATAGCATTATGTGGCATAAGCACACCACGGTTTTTAACTTCTGAGGTAGATTGTACAGATGATGTAACATTTTTCTGTGAGTTTGACTGAGCATTGTGAATTATGTTACTATCTTTAATGGGACACGATAGATTAAACGCTAAATCTTTTTTAAAATTTTCCTTGTCATGATCTTTATTCGTCACTTTTCTCTCTGAAGCGTAACCCTTGATATCCTTGTTGACTTCTGTCACACGAGCATTAGGTGTACGAAACCCATTGTTTGTTTTTCGAGGCGATGGTTTCTTTGCAACAGTTGCAACAGTTTCACTAAATGAATTGTCGCTTTCTTCTCCGGAGGTAAAACTGGTGTCAGGACTGTCCGATGATTTCTGAAGAGGCACCAAGTTGGCTAGTAGTGCAGATATCGGCATAGGGGCAAATTTGAAGCTATTTGCCGTTGACTCTGTATTTCCACTCATAATTTTAATTTATTCCACTCATTAGCAAAAAATGTATATGTTTTAAACTCGTACCCCAATAAAAACACAATTTCATCAAAAGAAAACAAATACTTATACAAAACCTACGAAAATCCGTTGCACAAGTTTTTGAAATTATGTTTTTATTATTATAGAATACAAAGGGATGTCGTCCATACAGCCATAACTGAAATAATAGCATAGAATAATATAATTTTGACACTTTTCTGCAAATTATTATGAATGATTGTATGATATATTATAAATAAACACACTGTCGATATATTTCATTAGAATCTGTTCTGTTTTCGATAAAAATAATGAAGTATTTTAGGAAAAAAAGAAAGCACAAAAAAGCATCTCACTAGATGTTGATGTTAACCAAAAGTTGATAACTGCAAGAAACGAATGGACCAAAGACAGTCATTTCGAAAGAAATTTGCAAAGTTTAGATATTTCAATACAAATACTTTGTAAGTTAATGGTTATTTACGGATTTTTCTGAAATATTATTATTGTTTTTATTTTTATTCAAACGTTAATGTAATTCTAGAGCTTTTTCTTAAAAGTATATTTTATATAATGTATACGATTGAAGAAACTTATATTATTAAGTATATTGTATTGAGGCCAGAGTAATAAAAATACTTCCAAAGATTTTTTAAATTTAGGCATAGAAGCCAAATGGCAACCACAGATGGTAACTGTAAATAAGCCGTATCAAGCAATACTCGATACCGAAAATTTTTATGAGTACTTACCATGCTGTAGTATCGAGTACTCACTATCGAGTATCGCTTTTGAAAGAATCGATACCGACTCAGTTTCGAAAGTATCGTTCGAAACCTAGTAATAAATATATCAGTGAAGGATGGTGTCAAAAGT